ATGCACACACAAGCAACGAAAGTGGATAAAAGTGGGCAATAAAAAAAACCATTTAAAAAATAAAAGCCCCCACCGCAGGCCCCATCTTCCAGAATCTGTCGCAACAGATTCACCCACACTGGTTAACGGTATTTGCGGTTTGCAAGATGCTACACGTCCCGGGAAAATGACAGACAAGTTATTATCACCTCTCCGCTGTCCTCCTGCCCAAACCTGCCCGTGCCGGGCACCCAGCTGCCGGGGAGCGAGGAGCGGGCATGAGGAAATTAGCAGCCCCGCGCCGCACCCGCCCCTCGCCCACCCCCGCACCAGCCCTGCCAGGCCCAGGGCTCCCAGCCAGGCCGGGCCCATGTTGGACTGGGGCGGGGGAGGAGGGGAAGGAGAGGAGGGTCGGAGAGGAGCCGGCAGCGTGGGGAGGGACGGGTGCAGTGGCGTTTGGGCAAACCCTTTCCTGCAAGCAGGATGGCGCATGCACCCTGGGCAGGCAAGTCCAGGCGGCTCCGTGTCAACAGCCGAAGATAAATACGATTTTATCAGCTCAGAATCTGTTGAAACACATCCATCTAGCGGTTCTAGGGAAGGAGAAGGTAGGAGGGGGGCGGCAGAGAGGGAGCGTCTCCACGTGACCTTTCCTATAGAATAGGCTCCACTGGAGTCCTCCTCCTCCTGCCTGTTTTCCACAGGGCCAATCCCAGGCCTGAAGCCCAGAGGCCTGCTGGGGAGATAGGAGGAAGGAGCTGGGGGAGCGCTCAAGCCGTCCTGGGCTCAGCCACCCTCTGGAAGGACCTGGATCTCTCAGGGCTCCCTTCCTTCCTGTGGCCACCTATGTCCCACCCCCAGATGCTGCCAGGACAGGGGACATCACAGACATCGACCCCCGAGGTCACCCAACTCCGGCCAGGCTGGGCACCTGGGGTCCAGCTGGTGCCAGGGTGAGGTCTGCCAGGCATGTGTGCCCCGAAGGCCATGTGAGCACTGCACTGGGGACACCCCTGTGGGGAGGAGAGCCAGGCCCAGGACCTTGGTGGCCTTACCGGCCAGAGGGGAGGAGAGGTGCTCACATCGCCTGAGGGCAGTGGCCTCCTTGTTGTCCACCCTGAGGCCTGGGCCTCCCTCCACCATTGGCCCAGGTCGACCTAGGTCACTCCACACTCCAGTCCCAGCCCCCACTTCCCGGGGTGGGTGGTCCCGCCGCCGCCTGCACCAGGTACCAGGGACAGCTCCCGCGCACCCAAGCTCCTCCCCGGGGCGGGGCGGGGCGGGGCGGGGCTGGGCGTCCATAGTGCTCCCCGCGCCTGGGCCCCCAAGACCTCATGCCGACAGGAGTCCCTCAGACAGTGCAGACAGAAGCACGCACTGGGTCCTGCACCTACTTCGTGTGCCCTGGCCCTGGGACGCCCCACCACGCAGCTTCCAGAGCAGGAATCGCCACTTCACCCTGCCTGGAGCCCCAGAGGGAGCGGGGCGGGCTCAGCAGGGCGCTGCCAAGAGGCTGCTGCTGCGTAGGTCTGCGAAATGGGAGCACGGCTGACCCTGAGGCCCAGGCGGGCGGGCGGGAGCTAAGGCTCCGCAGAGGACTATGGCCGGGGGTGCTGGGGCAGGGGCCTAGGGGAAGGGCTGCAGGGACCAGGCAGGAGCTGTGAAACCCCTCACGTTGTTGAGACTCCATGGGGCTGTCAGGGAGTGGGGGCTGCCGGGGCCTCTGCCCTCAGGCTTGGTTGCACCCAGAACCTTACTCCATCTGTGTCCAACCGACTGAGGAGCCCAGGAGGCCTCCCCTCCCCCTGAGTGTCTGGGGCTCCTTGGTGGATCTAATGACCCCCACCTGAGGCCGTGGACTGGGGCACCAGGGTGGAAGACGCCTCGGGAGACTCAGCCCCAGACAGGGAACTGCGGGGGAACGGGGCATGTGTACCTCCAGCCCCCCACAACCAACACCTCCTCACCTGGTGCTGAGAATGACAAGGGTGCAGTAGCCACTGACACCTGCAGGCCACTGTGTTCCCAGGGGACACGCAGTGAGTCACAGATGCAGGCGGAGAGGCTTGTGCAGGGGCTCGAGGTGTCCCAGCAGGAGAGCACAGAGCCAAAACTGCCACCCACAAGGCCAGACCTCAGAGGCCCTTCTCCTTTTGATGCCCCTGAGACTCTAACCTGAGCCACCTCGGCCAGGGTCTGCTTCAAGGGGGGGTCTGTCGCCTCCTCCCTGCTCTGTGGTTTCCCTAGGGAGCGGCTAGGATGGATGGCATTTATTGAGTACCAACTGCATACCTCCAGCTGCTACACATTACTGAGGAGAGACGAGGGGGACAGAGCCAGGTACCTAAACTCCAGGGGGCCTGTGTTCTCTGCACACAAGAGGTGCTCCGTAAATGCTCAGCAATGGGCGGCCTCAGAGAAGCCTGGCGACACAGCTGCAGGCCCTGTGTTCCTCTCCCCTGCTCGGGACACTGGCAGACAAGAGCCTGCCACCACCTGGCCCCTCCTCTTTCTGTCCCCAGCCAGCACAGATGGAGACCACGCATGGTGTGTGGCTTCAGGCCGGGCCTTTGTCCACGAGACCAGTGTCTGGACACAGTCCACTCCAAGGTCGGGCTGAGAGCCCTGTCTGAGTCTCCTGTGGGTCTAAGTCTCAGAGGATCTGAACTGTGAGCTGTTCCCATGTGCCCTGGGGACGGGGCTACCCGCTTATCCTCCCAAGTGATGCTGTGGGGAGCAAAGGGGGCATTTGTAATGGTGGGGACACTGTACGTCAGCGGTCACCTTCAGGGAAGCCAGACTGACCCCACAACAAGGGGACTGCCGTCCTTCCTGCCGTGCCCAAGGCTGCAGCTCCAATTGTCCAGGGCAGTCACCCACACAGGGCTGAGGCTGAGGGTTGCTGGCTCTGCAAGGCTGATTCTGCTTTCCTTTTCCTTTTTTTTTTTCCTTTTTTTTTTTTTTTTTTTTTTTGGTGATGGAGTCTCGCTTTGTCAGCCAGGTTGGAGTGCAATGGTGAGATCTTGGCCCACTGCAACCTCCGCCTCCCGGGTTCAAGCAATTCTCCTTGCCTCAGCTTCCTGAGTAGCTGGGACTATAGGCGCCCACCACCTTGCGTGGCTAATATTTGTATTTTTGGTAGAGACAGGGTTTCATCGTATTGGCCAGGCTGGTCTCGAACTCCTGACCTCAGCTGCCTGCCTCGGCCTCCCAAAGTGCTGGGATTACAGGCGTGAGCCACTGCACCCGACCTGTTTCCTGCTTTTCTAAACAGCGCCCAGCCTCGCCTTCGGGGTTGTGCATGATGGTTCCTTTCTGCATTTTTAACAGGACTGGGGATGGGCAGCTTCCTGCCTAAGGCCCTGTGCCCAAAGCGGGGGTCGCAGGCAGGGGCAGTGGAGCCACTCTAGCTCCAGGGGCTCCAGATGGATGGAGGATCTAGGAGGGGCCAGCCCTTTGGTATCCAATTCCCATCCTGAGGAGGCCACTGAAAGACCCCCTTCCACTTGTGCCTGCAGTCCCCTCACACCCACGGCAGGGACAGGCCAGCGTTCCTGGCTGGGTCCCATTCGGGGATCCCAAGTAACTCATCAAAGAGGGGACTGATCCTACTGCGCAGACAGGGGTGCTGAGGGTGCTGCAGACCCAGGCCCCACCCACCATGGCTCGCAGGCTCCATCAGCTCCATCTCCCCTGTCTCTTTCCTCCTTTTTCTTTCCTCGCTTTTCGTGTGCCTGCACCTACCAAGGACCTGTATGGCTCCTGAGAGCCCCTCGTGTCCCTTGATGGCCAGAGAGGCAGCACGGGTGCCCAGTGGGGGTCAGGGGGTCAGGGCTCCCTATCTTCCTTGGCAAAGGGCTTTCCTGGTTCTGCCAGTAGCTCCCTGTGTCTGACCTCAGTTTCCCCAACTGTTCCATGGTGGAGTGCGATGCGACATTCTCCAGGGCACTTGCGGCTGCAGTGACTTGTGATTCTGTCATCGGGGGCTGGTGAGGGGCGCAGAGGGCATGGGGTGGGAGCAGAAGTCATTCTCTGAACCTGAGACCGGGGATCATTCCTGATGGCCCTGTGGGGAGAGGGCATGAGGACTCCCAGCAGGTGCCCAGGAGCCAGACACTTGGCAAATCAGCCAGCTTGGAAGTGAGTGGACGCCCCTGCAGCAGCCTCAGCGGGATCCCTTTTAGAACTCATGAGGGCCGGCCTGGGTCCTCAGATGGGCAGCCAGGCCCTGTGGGGCAAGGATGCTGGAGGCCTCTGCAGGGGCTGGATCAGGAAGGATGTCATCCAGTCCTCCCACAGCAGGGCCCATGTCGGCTCCGGACAGACCTTTTAGCTCCTCGAGTCCCAAGCTGGGGATACTGGGGCTTGGCTCAGCTGCTCAGACTTGGTGGCCCCAGCAGGAGAGGGTGTCAGAGTCACCAGGGCTGCTGAGGCCATAAGAGACCTTCACACCTTCACAGGCCTTCACTCACACACCAACCCAGAGAGCTCTCTATGGAAGCTTGAATGCATCGTGGGCACCCAGCCCATCACACATTAACCACCTGCTCTGTGCAAATGCCAGAGAAGCCTAGCTCTGGTCTTAAAAACAGATTCAATGCTGCAAACCTACCTCTTCAAAGCACTGCAGTCAGGGACATGGCTTCCGCAGGCCTGGCTCCCAGCCCCCATTCCTGCCCTCAGTCTCCAGCAGCCCCTTCTTGCTCTCCTGGCCTTTCTTGTCCCCATCCATAAACCTAAAGCCTCTCCACCTGGCTGCCACTGGCACTCACACCCCTGCTGTCATGGAGCCCAAATGACCCAATGGCTGTGAAGTGGGTGCCAGGGCAGCCGTGCCTGGATTCGCACCTCGAAGGACAGACACCTGCAGGGACTCAGCAGAGGGGCTGCTCGGGGCGGTCTTCATCGGGGGCTTGTGGAGGGGGCTCCCGTGGGGAGAACGTGGCTCCCGATGGGGGGTTGCCTGGACAGGGGTGCAGTTGGGACCACCAGTCTCACCTGCTCCCTCTCCCCCACCCCAGTACTCCCCACTCTTGAAAAAACTCTACTGCCAGATCGCCAAGACGTGCCCCATCCAGATCAAGGTGTCCACCCCACCACCCCCGGGCACCGCCATCCGGGCCATGCCTGTCTACAAGAAGGCGGAGCACGTGACCGACATCGTGAAGCGCTGCCCCAACCACGAGCTCGGGAGGGACTTCAACGAAGGTGAGGCCCCCAACTCCTCCCCTCTGGTGGCACTTTGCCCAGCATCCTGCACAGCACAGCTGGGGGCTGCCTAGCTGGGAGAGAGTGGGGCTGATGGCATGGGCTTAGCATTCCCCTGGGAGGGCTTTCGGTGACTCCCCCAGCCCCCTTTTTCCCAGTTCTGACTGGGGCCTGGGGGGGCCCATGCTCCTGGGCAGGGGCAAGTGGTCTGGGCAGAGTCTGAGGGGCAGCGGCCTTCTGGGGCTCCAGAGATCCTATGTGCCATAGCCCCTCTCTCCAGTGTGCCTGGCAAGGCCTATGGGCTACCCCATGGATTAGCAGGAGAATCAGGGAGCAGAGCCACTGGGCAGGCATCCCCAGGCACAAAGGCTGCCAGCCGGCCTGAGCCTCATCTGGAAGCCCATGGACTGGGCCTGGTGGTCTCAGTTCTGCTGCGATGCACCTGGCACAGTGCTGGGCACCTCTCTACCTGGCACGGGTAGGCACCTCTTTGAACCTGGCACCGGGCTGGGCACCTCTCTGCCTGGTACAGGGCTGGGCACCTCTCTGCACCTGGCATTGGGTGGGCACCTCTGTGCACCTCTCTGAAGTGTTGCCCCCTCCCGGCAGGACAGTCTGCCCCAGCCAGCCACCTCATCCGTGTGGAAGGCAATAATCTCTCGCAGTATGTGGACGACCCTGTCACCGGCAGGCAGAGCGTCGTGGTGCCCTATGAGCCACCACAGGTAGGCCGGGAGCTAGGCTGTGCCCAGGGCCCTGCAGTCAGCCGTACGGGGTGTGGGGTCCCCTGAGGCAGCCCCTGTCCCTCCTCAGTTGGCTGATCTGCCCATCCCGCGGCGTCTGTCCGGGGCTCCCTGCTCTGTGTTAAGTGTGCGTCCGGGACTCCCTCACCCACACAGGCCCCACCGTGCACACTGGTGCTCTGGCCCCGCATCCGCCTCGGGCCCTCTCAGGGCCTCAGTGTGCCCCGCTCCATAGTGGGGGGTGGGTCTTCAGCCTTGCCCTCCGTTGGTGCCCAACACTGCTTCTGGCTTGGGGCTCCCAGACACGGATTCAGGAGATGGGAGGTCCCTGCCCATTTAGACCCTGGTCTGGCTGGGACAGAACCGAACCAGCAACAGTGCCTGAAGAGGTGGCAGATTCTACGAAGGGCGTTGAGGGATGGTGGAAAGACTCCTAGGCCAGGCCAGGGGCCCAGGAGAGGTGGCCTGCAGGAGGCTGAGGCTGGTCAGCAGGGCGGAGAGCCGGGAGGCCCCGCTGGACACCATGTGGGTGGGGGCTGCAGGGAACTGGGGGGCATGCAGGCTGGAGGGAAGGGGACACGGAGAGGCTGGGGGGTTTGACCTTTGGCCCAAAGGCAGCAGAAGTTTCTGGGACACCATTCTGGAGCCGATGTGGGGCCCAACTGGTGTGAAAGGCTGGGGTAGGGGGAAACAGAGGGTTTGAAGTTGCTGCAGGATGGTGGGGCAGAGGCAGAACAGGTGAGGAGTGGGTACCAGGCCCCCAGGGAAAGGCAGGCAATGGCAGGCCTCCACCTTCCTTGTACCTGGTTCTGAGACCAGGCTCCACGCTGTACCCAGCCCCAGCTTCCCTCACCAGGTCCCATCCCTGTACCAGGCCCCCAGGACACCCCAGGCTCCTGTCCCTGTACCCAGTCTCCAGGTCCTCCACAACCCTCTACCCTGTACCCAGGCCCCCTTCGAGGTCCCCATCCCACCATCCTCTAAGAGCAGCCCCTATGTCAGCAGAACCACGGTCCAGGAGGGCTCCCTGAAACCCATGTCCCACCCTCACCTGCCCCGGCCTGCCAGGAAGGCAGAGCTCTCTCGCCCCCTGGTGGCTGCCGTGTGACAGCAGTTCTGAGAAAGGCCAAGATTTTCCCAAACCCCAAATGGCTTATGTATTTGTTCCCAGGGTGATGTGAAAACTGCCCACATTGTGGTCTGGGGATACTCATTGATCAAGAGTTTTGGTTCACGGCTGGGCGCGGTGGCTCACGCCTGTAATCCCAGCATTTTGGGAGGCCGAGGTGGGCGGCTCACAAGGTCATGAGATCGAGACCATCCTGGCTAACATGGTAAAACCCCGTCTCTACTAAAAAACACACAAAAAATTAGCCAGGCGTGGTGGCAGGCACCTGTAGTCCCAGCTACTCGGGAGGCTGAGGCAGGAAAATGGTGTGAACCTGGGAGGTGGAGCTTGCAGTGAGCCTAGATTGTGCCACCACACTCCAGTCTGGGCAACGGAACGAGACTCCGTCTCAAAAAAAACAAACAAACAAAAAAAAACAAAAAAAAACAGATTTTTGGTTCATGTCTCAGCTGTACTGCAAAATCCCTGGGAAATGGGAGTGTGCTGGGGATGGGTTCGCTGGGGACAGCTCTGGTTCTTCTTTCTGCCCCGATGAGCCCACAGCATGCAACACACACATAGGCCCCCAAAATCTGTGCAGGCACACACACTCACACCCAGCATCTGGGCTTGACCTCCAGCCTGTGTCCGGGGAGAAGCTTGGGGCAAACAGACCGCAGGACTCTGTGCTGCTCTGAGAGCAGAGACCAGGTCTGAGCCCTCCCAGAACCCAGAACCAGCCCAGTGCTTGGTGTTTAGTGATCTTCATGAATGGGTGGGTGGATGGGGTGAGTGGGTGGATGGGTGGATGGATGGGGGTGGTTGGGGTGGATGGGTGGATGGATGGATGGATGGATGGATGGGTAGGTAAGTGGGTGGACGGATGGATGGATAAATGGGGTGGGTGAGTGGGTGGATGGATGGATGGGGTGGTGAATGGGTGAATGGATGGGTGAACGGATGGATGAATGGGGTGGGTGGGTGGGTGGGTGAATGGATGGGGTGGGTAGATGGATGGATGGGGTGGGTGAGTAAGTGAATGGATGGTTGGGTAGAGGGATGGGTAGATGGGGTGGGTGGCTGGATGGATGTATAGATTGATATTGAATGGATGAGTGGGTGGATGCATGGTTGGATGGATGGATAGATAATAAATGGGGAGTGGATGGATGGATGGATGGATGGATGGGAGTGGGTGGTGGATGGATGGATGGAGTGGGTGGGTGGGTGGATGGATGGATTGATATTGAATGGATGGGTGGGTGGATGGATGGTTGGATAGATGGATAGATAATAAATGCGGGGGAGTGGATGGATGGATGGAGGGATGGATGGAGGGATGGATGGAGGGATGGATGGGGTGGGTGGATGGATAGATAATAAATGGGGGGAGTGGATGGATGGATAGATGCATGGACGGATAGGGTGGGTGGGTGGGTGGTGGGTGGATGGATGGATGGATGGATGGATGGAGTGGGTGGGTGGGTGGATGGACTGATATTGAATGGATCGGTGGGTGGATGGATGGTTGGATAGATGGATAGATAATAAATGCGGGGGAGTGGATGGATGGATGGATGGGGTGGGTGGGTGGATGGATGGATAGATGAATGAATAGATGGGTAAATGGATGGATGGATGGATGAATGGGGTGGGTGGATGGATGGGGTTGGTGGATGGATGGATGGGTGGATAGATGGATAGATGGATGGATGGATGGATGGATGGATGGATGGATGGATGGATGAATGGATAGATGGGGTGGGTGGGTAGATGGATGGATGAGTGGACAGATATACAGATGGCAAAAACTATAGAGCAGGGCATCCCCCTGCCTACCTTGAGCCAGAACCAGACATGGAGCTGGGGGCTGCCACCTTAGTGGATTGGGGATGCGTGCTGATGCTAGCCCCCCCTCTCCCTGCTCCCCCGTGTGCAGGTGGGGACAGAATTCACCACCATCCTGTACAACTTCATGTGTAACAGCAGCTGTGTCGGGGGCATGAACCGACGGCCCATCCTCATCATCATCACCCTGGAGACGCGGGAGTGAGTCCCGGGCACACGGGGTGGAGGTGGGACAGGGCTGGGCAGGCACGGCTAGCGGGAGAAGGGGGGCTGTCATGGAGGCCTGCGTGCCGAGGCCAGCTCGGGGAGGAGACTGGGCCGTGCTGCTGGAGGAAGGGACTGCCCTCTGGCCTGAAGGGCCTGCCTGGGCAGGAGCGGGGCCTCTGGAGGGAGGCGGGAGTCCCGGGGCGGGCGAGGTCTCAGGGCAGCCTCCCAGCTTTGAGCCTCTGGCTCCCTCTGGTGGGAACACTCGCTGCCGGCACTGGGCGCTCCACGGTGACTCAGGGCTCGCAAGGCCGGTCCTGAAGGGTCCGAGGTGGGCAGGGAAGGTGGGCAGGTTGAGGGTGGGCAGGATTGAGCTCACAATTCTGGCCGTGCCCACCCGACAGTGGGCAGGTGCTGGGCCGCCGGTCCTTTGAGGGCCGCATCTGCGCCTGTCCTGGCCGCGACCGAAAAGCCGACGAGGACCACTACCGGGAGCAGCAGGCCTTGAATGAGAGCTCCGCCAAGAACGGGGCTGCCGGCAAGCGCGGTGAGCAGCCGGCGGGGGGAGCTGGATGCTGTGGGAGGGGAAGGGGACACGCTGGCAGGACGCAGTGCGAGCCGGGGCCCCAGGGACAGGGCCAGCCCCCGAACGGCCCCCCAGACCCAAAATCCTCCCTGACGGAGCCTGAGAGCAGCCCCCAAATAAGTCGCCTGTCCAGGCCTGGGGGGCACTGCAGGTTTGCCCATCCCTGTGGGCTGCTCACCACCGGACCCACCTGAAGAATCTATTGGCCCCAAGGGTAGGGCAGGTCTCCCTCCTCCCGGAGGGTGGCCTCACCCCACCCGCCCTGCCTGGCCTTCCAGCCTTCAAGCAGAGCCCCCCTGCCGTCCCCGCCCTGGGCCCCGGCGTGAAGAAGCGGCGGCACGGAGACGAGGATACGTACTACCTGCAGGTGAGTGTGCACTCCCGTACAGCGGCCGGGAGACCTGCCTCACCTCTGTCGTCTGCTGAACCCAGGCTGGGCCATGGGGAGAGACCCTGGAGACCACGGTGGCGGGGGCGGGAGGCACCCAGCCCTGCGTGAGAGGGTCCAGAGGGCAGAACCTGCTTGCAAGAGCCAGACCAGCAGGGCCCAAGTGCAGGGCATCCCTGAGAGTCCCCTCAGTCCCGAAAACCCAGCGTCATGCCATTTACAATGAAGCCATGTGTACATAGCACAGGTGGGGTGGTGCGGAGTCCACCGGGGTAGAAGTTCAGCAGGAATCCAGGACCCTAACATTGGCCAGGACCCGTGGCCATAGACCCCCTGAGTGTGCCTCTCACATGTGGCCTCCAACAGGTGAATTAAATCGGCACAGGCTTGGCGAGGATTCATCTTCCATGATGTGAGCTTTCAGGTTTTTGAGCTCCAGAATGAGCCCCAGTTGGGGGCGGTGGCTCATGCCTGTAATCCCAGCATCTTGGGAGGCCAAGGTGGGTGGATCACTTGAGCCCAGGAGTTTGAGACCAAAGTGGGCAACATAGCGAGAACCCCATCTCTACAAAAATTAGCTGGGTGTGGTGGTGGCAAGCACCTGTAGTCCCAGCTACTCAGAAGACTGAGGCAGAAGGATCGCCTGAGGGCAGGAGGATTGCCTGAGCCCAGGAGTCCGAGGCTGCAGTGAGCTATGATGATGCCACTGCACTGCACTCTAGCCTGGGCAACAGAGCAAGACTCTGTCTAAAGAAAGGAAGAGAGAGAGATACTTGTTTTTTAAAAAAAAAAAAAAAAAAAAAACAGTATCTGTTGGTGGGGGAGGAAGAGGGAGGCTTAGGGACCACAAAGAGCAGGCATGGTTCTTGGGGACAGACCTGCCCACCGAGTCATGGACTCTAATTAGACCTGCTTCTTGGGAAGAGGAAAGAAGGTCAGGGGATCCTGAGCCTCTGGGGTGCCGGGGAACCCCCACAAAGGACAGACGCTTTGCCAAGCCCAGGTCCTCCTGAGGCTGCGGCCGCCCGCCTCCCTCCCGCGGGGGTCTGGGGCATGTGGGCAGAGCATCTGCTCCTCTGTGCTCAGGTGCGAGGCCGCGAGAACTTCGAGATCCTGATGAAGCTGAAGGAGAGCCTGGAGCTGATGGAGTTGGTGCCGCAGCCGCTGGTGGACTCCTATCGGCAGCAGCAGCAGCTCCTACAGAGGCCGTGAGTCAACCCCAGCCCACCATCGGTGTGGGGAAGCTCATGGCTCAACCCCGCAGGAGAAGGCCAGGAGGACCAGAAACCCCTCCAGAAGGCATCATCTGCCAGGAACAGGCAGCAGGGTCCAGAGCTCAGGGGGCCCACCCCACACCTCCTCCTCCAGGAAGCCTGGTGGGACTTGGGGCTGCCCTGGGACCCTAGGCCATGGCCCTTGCTATGCCTCTGCCACTGAGGGGTCCTGTAAATGTCTGCTGGGTGGAAAGGCCAGGAGGGGTGGCCAGAGTGACCATGACCCACCAAGACCAGAGGCCAATTCCAGTGGCACAGGTCATCCCCCTGCCTACCGGCCCCGCCATGGCCAGTGTCCTTCTCAGGAGCAGGGCCAGTGGCTATGCATGGTCATCCTCCAGCCACTCTCTGACATCAGAGGACAAAGCCACTCTCTGACCTCAGAGTCTCCACCCATTCGCAGCATGGGGGCATCGCGGGCGTGGGTGGTTGGTGGGCACGAGGCTGCCTTGCTTCCCACCCATGCAAGCCATTGCTTCTGAGCAGGAGTCACCTACAGCCCCCATCCTACGGGCCGGTCCTCTCTCCCATGAACAAAGTGCACGGGGGCATGAACAAGCTGCCCTCCGTCAACCAGCTGGTGGGCCAGCCTCCCCCGCACAGCTCGGCAGCTACACCCAACCTGGGGCCTGTGGGTGAGTCCCTTGGGCAGTGGGGGCCCATGGGCAGGGCGGGGAGGCCCACTGGGGGCGCCTGGCTCAGGGCACTCCACCCAGCTCCGGACCCAGGGCAGGTGTGTCTGTGGCTGGCTCCTTCCAGCGGTTCTACCCTCTGGGCAGCCACGGACAGCCCTCTCTGCCCACTCCTGACTGTGGGAGGTGGAGGGGGCATGGTTAAGAGCGTGGAACCCACACGCCTGCACCACCTCTTGGCAGGCAAGGAAGCGTGCGGAGGGCTCTTAACATTACACAGCCTGTTTCCCCATCGGCAAATGGCCACAGAAGTACCAGTCTCACTCCTTGTGAGGATTAAATGCTGCAAGACCTCCTCAGGGACCCCAGCACAAGCTGGGGGCTCCACTGGATAGAGTTTGGGCCCCCTTGCCCTGGAAGGTCCTCATGTGGGCAGGACCAGGCATGTTCCCAGTGCTGCGAGCAAGCACCCCAGGTGTTTCCTGAGGCCCCAGGATGGGCGAGCACTCCAGTCCCCCCGGGTGTTTCCTGAGGCCCCGGGATGCGGCGAGCACTCCAGTGCCAGCTGTGATTGCCCTTACGACCCAGTGCCTTGTGCGCACAGTCATCACCGTCCCTACTAGGCGGGGCTAGGAGACAAGGCCCCAGGTGTTCAGCCCTTGCTCAAGCCTCCAGCTGGCTGGGGCGATGCCAAGCATCACATCGCCAGGCCTTGGGGTGGCTCCCCTGGTGTCCAGAGGTGTCTGGAGCCTGGGTAGAGCCTGCACCTGGACGCCTGGCCTGGCTTCCCTGAATGCCCCACCTGCCTCTCACCCAGGCGCTGGGATGCTCAACAACCATGGCCACGCAGTGCCAGCCAACGGCGAGATGAGCAGCAGCCACAGCACCCAGTCCATGGTCTCGGGGTCCCACTGCACTCCGCCACCCCCCTACCACGCCGACCCCAGCCTCGTCAGGTGTGTGGGCTGCCGAGGGCCTGAGCATGCGCTGTCACCCTGTCCGTTCACCTCTGTCCTTCTGGCCATGTCAGCTGCCCTGCCCCACGCTGTGTGCTCACCACTCGAAAGCCCAGATCAGACAGGCGGGCGAGGGCAGTCAGGCGAGGAGCATCGAAGATGCTGGGGAAATGGTCCACTTAGAGGAAAAACACCAAAAGCCGAGTCTTCACTGACCTGTCCCCAGCTGAGCACGTCCCCTCCCTGAGGGATGCCATGGCCACCTGTGGGCTGGAGGGAGACAGTGACAGTCTCTGCCCTAGCCAGGCCACTCCCAGAGATGAGGGCTCACACAGCCCTGTGCTCGGAAGCTAATGCTGCTTCCTTTCTCAAATTCTCTCTGCAGTTTTTTAACAGGATTGGGGTGTCCAAACTGCATCGAGTATTTCACGTCCCAGGGGTTACAGAGCATTTACCACCTGCAGAACCTGACCATCGAGGTAACGCCCGGGCGACCCCCGCTCCGCACAGGCAGTAGCTGGAGGGGCCCCTGACCAGAGGGCAAAGAGCCTTCTCTTCCTTGCTCTCGTGGCTGGGAAACTTGGAAACCCTCTCCCACGGGCAAGTGGATGTGATGACTCGACTCTTGAGAGCTCAGGCAGGCGCAGCCAGGCGGGCGGCTGGCGGCGCGGGACACAGGCCCAGGCCTCTGGATGCTGAACTGGTCATTTGGGCCTTTTCGGACTCCCAGCAGCCAGTGTGCCTTTGATTTTAGGGGATGGGCTGTTTCCAAGGCACAAAGAACAGAAGAATGTAAGGCCCCAAGGGAGTCAGTCCAGTTCAGCGCCATTTACACCCGGAGGAAAGGGGACCCAGGGAAGGCAAGCGTCTGACCTGAGGCCACATAGCTCTTGGCACTTGTGGGAGCTGATCGCAGGCACCATGATTAAACAGCCACGGGCTTGTCTTTGGGTTAAGTGAGACTAGCGGTGTACAAAGCCTGCTCGTAGCCTAGGACAGTGTGAACCACAGGACACTCTCAGTCAAGGAAGAGCAAGCCCTCTGCCGGGAACCCGCCCCCAGCCAGTGCCGCAGCCCAGGTCCAAGGCCCCTCCCAGACCATCCCCAGCCTGGGGCTGCAGACAGAGATGAGGGTCAGTGCGAGCTGGGGCCACCTGCTCGGCCTAACTGTCCCTCGTGCAGAGGGTGGCCTGGTCTGTGTCCACTAACCGCCCTCCCTGCAGCCTGTCTCCAGTACGCTGAGCCAGCTCCAGGTCACGTGTTAACCCTTGCCTCCCCTGCATGTGTGTGCTTCGTGTGGTGCCTACAGGGTGCTGGGAGCTCATGGATGAGCTGGGGATCTGCTCTGGGGGGCAGGGACATGGAGACCAACGAGGGCCCTGCCCTGAGGCTGGGAGGCAGTTCCTCCCCCAGGGCCAGGTAGATACATGCTCAGGGAGCTCCATGTCTAATGCTCCGAGGTCAGGGCTCAGGCCCCACACAGGCCAGGAGGGGCCCTGGTGGGCTCTCCCCCTCCCCCACGTCCCCTCTCCTGCCTACTCGGGTTAGACGTGTGGGGGCCGGGGTGTGGTGTGGCCAGACCTCCAGGCCCAGGGCGGCCCTCCCTGCTCTCCCTGTCCCCACTGCCCCCTGCCCCTAACGCGCCGGCCTCTCGCAGGACCTGGGGGCCCTGAAGATCCCCGAGCAGTACCGCATGACCATCTGGCGGGGCCTGCAGGACCTGAAGCAGGGCCACGACTACAGCGCCGCGCAGCAGCTGCTCCGCTCCAGCAACGCGGCCGCCATCTCCATCGGCGGCTCCGGGGAGCTGCAGCGCCAGCGGGTCATGGAGGCCGTGCACTTCCGCGTGCGCCACACCATCACCATCCCCAACCGCGGCGGCCCCGGCGCCGGCCCCGACGAGTGGGCGGACTTCGGCTTCGACCTGCCCGACTGCAAGGCCCGCAAGCAGCCCATCAAGGAGGAGTTCACGGAGGCCGAGATCCACTGAGGGGCCAGGCCCCGCCAGAGCCTGTGCCACCGCCCAGAGACCCAGGCCGCCTCCGCTCTCCTTCCTGTGTCCAAAACTGCCTCCCGAGGCAGGGCCTCCAGGCTGTGCCCGGGGAAAGGCAAGGTCCGGCCCATCCCCAGGCACCTCACCGGCCCCAGGAGAGGCCCAGCCACCAAAGCCGCCTGCGGACAGCCTGAGTCACCTGCAGAACCTTCTGGAGCTGCCCTAACGCTGGGCTTGCGGGGCAGGGGCCGGCCCAGTCTCAGCCCTGCCACTGCCGGGCGTGCTCCATGGCAGGCGTGAGTGGGGACCGCAGTGTCCGCTCCGACCTCCAGGCCTCATCCTAGAGACTGTCATCTGCCGATCAAGCAAAAAGTCCTTCCAGAGGAAAGAATCCTCTTCGCTGGTGGACTGCCAAAAAGTATTTTGCGACATCTTTTGGTTCTGGAGAGTGGTGAGGAGCCAAGGGACTGTGTCTGAAACACCGTGTATTTTCAGGGAATGTCCCTAACGGGCTGGGGACTCTCTCTGCTGGACTTGGGAGTGGCCTTTGCCCCCAGCACACTGTATTCTGCAGGACCGCCTCCTTCCTGCCCCTAACAACCACCAAAGTGTTGCTGAAATTGGAGAAAACTGGGGAAGGCACAACCCCTCCCAGGTGCGGGAAGCATCTGGTACCGCCTCAGCCAGTGCCCCTCAGCCTGGCCACAGTCGCCTCTCCTTGGGGAACCCTGGGCAGAAAGGGACAGCCTGTCCTTAGAGGACTGGAAATTGTCAATATTTGATAAAATGATACCCTTTTCTACATGGTGGGTCAGCTTTTTTTTTTTTTTTTTTTTTTTTAACTTTCTTTCTCAACATTCCCTTTCCAGCTCAACCTAGCACCCGTGAGCCGGGCTACGGAAGCTGAGTGAGAAGCCAGGTGGGCGGGACTTGTCCCCAGGAAGGCCGGGCGGGAGGAAGCCTAGAGGGAACGCTGGGAAGGGCAAATTCACAGGAACGCTCTGCCACGGGAGCAGCTCCTCCCTTGCCGCGGCCACCTTCTCTACCACTGCGAGGTCCAGAGGGCGTTGCTTTCTTTTCCAGGGGGCGGCGGCGGCAGTCAGGGAACAGACTGAGGTAGGTGCAGGGGGCGTCTAGGCCTTCGTGGAGCACCCCAGGGAGTTAGTGGGCCCCAGGGAGGCAGTATCTGCACAGGTCCCTGCTGGGGCCACCTCCATCCACGAGGAGCAGCCTGAGCCTTGGTGGCTGGAGCTTGACCATCCCGGAGCACAGCTCCAGGACAAGGAACCGGAGTCCCCAGGGAGCCTCACAGGTGTGACAAGGCCCTTCATTCCAGGCAGGTGGGCCAGTGGAGAGTGGTGAGCAGCCAAGTGACTGCGTCTGAAACACCGTGTATTTTCAGGGAATGTCCCTAATTGCATCTTGCCTGTGCCGGGGGCTGGGGACTTTCTGCTGGACTTGGGAGTGGCCTCTGCTCCCAGCACACTGTATTCTGCAGGACCGCCTCACTCACGTAAGCTGAGACACCACTCAGAGTGCAGGCTGCCTGGCCCCTTCTGACACGGCCAGCTCCACACTCTCTGCCTACGGTATGTGTGGCATCAGCTCCTAAGGGCTAGGAGCTTCCCCCACTAACATCTCCCAGAAGCAGTTAAGCCCCCCAGGGCACGGCAAGGTTAGACACAGCCCCCATCCCCAGATCAGGACTCCATCTTGCTGAGTGGCATCACCGTCACCAGCCTCCCCTTATTTAAAAGCAGCGACTGGTGTTGCCGCAGATGCCTGGTCTACAAAGACGCAGGCGTCCCTCTCCCACACTGTCCACCGCCCCGGGGACCACTGACAGCACAGCTGCCTGGGTGCACGTTTGTGGGGGCAGCAAGAACGGGGCTGCCGCCTCTCAGGGGATCTGGCTGCAGCCAGGGCAAGAGCCCGGCCCTTCCTTCTAGCTCCTTCTAGCCCAAGGGCAGGCTCTGGCTGCTCAGCTTCTGGGGTTCCATCTCCCTAGAAAGGTGCCCACACCCAGGGCATCAGTCAGTAGGGGCAGCAGCAGCGGACTCAGGGCTTTCCCAGGGTGGCGCAGCCACCCCAGCTGCATGTCACCTCAGCTCTCCATCTTACTGCCATTTCGTAGATGAGGAAGCTGAGGCCAGAAAGGCTAAGACCCGTGCCCCAGGCATCACGCCCATCTCCTGGGGGCTGGGCACCTGCTACCCGAGTCCACCTCCTGAAGCCCCACTCTGCCCCATGCTCCGCTTCTAGAGCGGCGGGGGCCCATCCCGACACTCGGGTTCCCGAGCCCAGCACAGATGTGCTTCAATTCCAGGGGATGTTGAGTTGTTTCTTAGGCATGTTCCCTGTGCACCAAGTCCAGTGAGGCTGTCCCAAGAGCCCCTGTAGTGTGCTGCTGGGGGGGGGGTGGCACAGAGCAGGGAGAGGCCCAGGGGCAGCTGTCACTGGAACCCCAGCCAGACGTCCAAGAAGCCGGTCAGAACACAGAGCAGCCAGATGGCCCCAGCTGCACCTGTACAGCGAGCCCGCGCAGCCTCCTTGCGCTGGAGAAGCAGCAGTGAAAGTAAACAGAGTCGAGACTTTGCCGTGGTTAGGAGAAAATGCAAATTCCCAGGAACAAGAATCCTTTAAGCGATGTTTTTTATACAACTAAACAAATCAACAAATAAATCTTGAAGGCAGATGGTTTTCCCGGCAGTGCAGGGGTAGGAGGGAGGCTGCCGGCACTCCTGGAGCTGAGGGGGACGGGCAGTGGTCCTGAGTCTGCTCAGAGAGGCCAGGCAGGAGGAGCTCACGAGGCAGGTCAGCTCACGTCCGTCCGACTCACTCTGGTCAGAAACAGCGACTCTCCCCCATGCCCCCAGCGTTCCCACCAGGCCTGGGCTGCTGGAAAGCCCTTGCTGTACCCAGGGGCCCGACTCGCAGTATCCTGGCACAGAGACACCTGTCACTCGGAACAGTCAGTGTCTCCAACGCACAAACATCCACTCCTCTGTTACCAGTTAAAGCACTTGAATGCTTTAGGGTGGACACGCGACCCCATCTGTGTGTCCATGTAGGCTGGTGCTTCTCCGAGCAGTATTAACGGACGCCCTCCAATGACGTAACAACTGTTTTTGGTAATGTAATCTTGGGAAAATGTGTTATTTTTTTAGCTGTGTTTCAGTGGGGATTTTTGTTTTTGTAACATAATAAAGTGTATGTTCCAGTGACTGGTTCTCATGACTAAACCTCCATCTCCGAGGGGCTCAGACATACAGGGCGGCTCCTCACAGGCGGGAAGCCTGTGGCCTCTGCGGCCGGCCCAGCAGCCCACCTGCGTTTCTCTGTGTCGTGAGTCTGATGGGTCCCTGGGGTGTCCCTCTGCCCTGTGCCTCGGAGGAGCTGCGGGCCAAGCCGAGTAGCCTCATGGGACTGACCGGGCCTCTCAGGCCTCCTGAAGTGCAGGCCCGTGAGCCCTCATCCAAGCCCTGTGGGGCCCAGGCTTTCTGGACTTCAGCGAGGCCAAGCAGGGTCTCCAGGTGTCACAGACACCCACACAGAACGCACCCTCGTTTCTCAGCAAAACCTAAGAAAACAAAAGGCAGCAGAGAGCCTCGTGCTGGCTCAAGCCAGGCTGAGCCCAGAGGCTTCGCTTCAGTTCTCTTGGTTCTGAGGTTTCTTGGTTTCAGACTTGTGAACAGTGACTAGGGTCCTGTCACAGCAAAAATAAGGCTCTAGAAATCTGTTCAACCTCAAAGGAGGCCTCAGTCTTTTTAGAAATTGGCCTTAAACAAAGAAAGAAAAGACCAAGGCAAAAGGGAAAGATGCCGCCAGGAAGCTCCACTGAGTTGCCCCACAGGTGAAGTGCAGGTGAGGTGAGGTGCAGGTGAGGTGAGGTGCAGGTGAGGTGACGTGCAGGTGAGGTGAGGTGCAGGTGAGGTGAGGTGCAGGTGAGGTGAGGTGCAGGTGAGGTGAGGTGCAGGTGAGGTGCAGGTGAGGTGACATGCAGGTGAGGTGCAGGTGAGGTGAGGTGCAGGTGAGGTGAGGTGCAGGTGAAGTGAGGTGCAGGTGAGGTGACGTGCAGGTGAGGTGCAGGTGAGGTGAGGTGCAGGTGAGGTGAGGTGCAGGTGAGGTGACATGCAGGTGAGGTGCAGGTGAGGTGAGGTGCAGGTGAGGTGAGGTGCAGGTGAGGTGAGGTGCAGGTGAGGTGAGGTGCAGGTGAGGTGAGGTGCAGGTGAGGTGCAGGTGAGGTGACGTGCAGGTGAGGTGCAGGTGCAGGTGAGGTGAGGTGCAGGTGAGGTGAGGTGCAGGTGAGGTGAGGTGCAGGTGAGGTGAGGTGAGGTGCAGGTGAGGTGAGGTGCAGGTGAGGTGCAGGTGAGGTGCAGGTGAGGTGAGGTGCAGGTGAGGTGAGGTGAGGTGCAGGTGAGGTGAGGTGCAGGTGAGGTGACGTGCAGGTGAGGTGAGGTGCAGGTGAGGTGACGTGCAGGTGAGGTGAGGTGCAGGTGAGGTGACGTGCAGGTGAGGTGAGGTGAGGTTAGGTACAGGTAGGTGAGGTGCAGGTGAGGTGAGGTGCAGGTGAGGTGCAGGTGAGGTGCAGGTGAGGTGAGGTGAGGTGCAGGTGAGGTGAGGTGCAGGTGCAGGTGAGGTGCAGGTGAGGTGAGGTGCAGGTGAGGTGCAGGTGAGGTGAGGTGCAGGTGAGGTGAGGTGCAGGTGAGGTGAGGTGCAGGTGAGGTGAGGTGCAGGTGCAGGTGAGGTGCAGGTGAGGTGAGGTGCAGGTGAGGTGAGGTGCAGGTGAGGTGAGGTGCAGGTGAGGTGAGGTGCAGGTGAGGTGCAGGTGAGGTGAGGTGCAGGTGAGGTGAGGTGCAGGTGAGGTGAGGTGCAGGTGAGGTGAGGTGAGGTACAGGTGAGGTGAGGTACAGGTGAGGTGCAGGTGAGGTGAGGTGCAGGTGCAGGTGAGGTGAGGTGAGGTGCAGGTGAGGTGAGGTGCAGGTGCAGGTGAGGTGAGGTGCAGGTGAGGTGAGGTGACGTGCAGGTGAGGTGAGGTACAGGTGAGGTGAGGTGAGGTGACGTGCAGGTGAGGTGACGTGCAGGTGAGGTGAGGTGCAGGTGCAGGTGAGGTGACGTGCAGGTGAGGTGAGGTACAGGTGAGGTGAGGTGAGGTGACGTGCAGGTGAGGTGCAGGTGAGGTGAGGTGCAGGTGAGGTGAGGTGCAGGTGAGGTGCAGGTGAGGTGAGGTGCAGGTGAGGTGAGGTGCAGGTGAGGTGCAGGTGAGGTGAGGTGCAGGTGAGGTGAGGTGCAGGTGAGGTACAGGTGAGGTGAGGTGCAGGTGAGGTGAGGTGCAGGTGAGGTGCAGGTGAGGTGAGGTGAGGTGACGTGCAGGTGAGGTGCAGGTGAGGTGAGGTGCAGGTGAGGTGAGGTGCAGGTGAGGTGCAGGTGAGGTGAGGTGCAGGTGAGGTGAGGTGCAGGTGAGGTGCAGGTGAGGTGAGGTGAGGTGAGGTACAGGTGAGGTGAGGTGCAGGTGAGGTGAGGTGCAGGTGAGGTGCAGGTGAGGTGAGGTGAGGTGAGGTGCAGGTGAGGTACAGGTGAGGTGAGGTACAGGTGAGGTGAGGTGCAGATGAGGTGAGGTGCAGGTGCAGGTGAGGTGAGGTGAGGTGAGGTACAGGTGAGGTGAGGTGCAGGTGAGGTGAGGTGCAGGTGAGGTGAGGTGCAGGTGAGGTGCAGGTGAGGTGAGGTGCAGGTGAGGTGCAGGTGAGGTGAGGTACAGGTGAGGTGCAGGTGAGGTGAGGTGCAGGTGAGGTGCAGGTGAGGTGAGGTGCAGGTGAGGTGAGGTGCAGGTGAGGTGAGGTGCAGGTGAGGTGCAGGTGAGGTGAGGTGCAGGTGAGGTACAGGTGAGGTGAGGTACAGGTGAGGTGAGGTGCAGGTGAGGTGCAGGTGCAGGTGAGGTGAGGGGAGGTGAGGTGAGGTGCAGGTGAGGTGAGGTGCAGGTGAGGTGAGGTGCAGGTGAGGTGAGGTGCAGGTGAGGTGCAGGTGAGGTGCAGGTGAGGTGAGGTGCAGGTGAGGTGCAGGTGAGGTGAGGTGCAGGTGAGGTGAGGTGCAGGTGAGGTGAGGTGCAGGTGAGGTGAGGTGCAGGTGAGGTGAGGTGCAGGTGAGGTGAGGTGCAGGTGAGGTGAGGTGAGGTGAGGTGAGGTGAGGTCAGGTGAGGTGAGGTCAGGTGAGGTGAGGTGCAGGTGAGGTGAGGTGCAGGTGAGGTGAGGTGCAGGTGAGGTGAGGTGAGGTGAGGTGAGGTGCAGGTGAGGTGCAGGTGAGGTGAGGTGCAGGTGAGGTGAGGTGCAGGTGAGGTGCAGGTGAGGTGAGGTGCAGGTGAGGTGAGGTGCAGGTGAGGTGCAGGTGAGGTGAGGTGCAGGTGAGGTGAGGTGCAGGTGAGGTGCAGGTGAGGTGCAGGTGAGGTGAGGTGCAGGTGAGGTGAGGTGAGGTGCAGGTGAGGTGAGGTGCAGGTCAGGTGAGGTGCAGGTGAGGTGAGGTGCAGGTGAGGTGAGGTGCAGGTGAGGTGAGGTAGGTACAGGTGAGGTGAGGTACAGGTGAGGTGAGGTACAGGTGAGGTGAGGTGCAGGTGAGGTGAGGTGCAGGTGAGGTGAGGTGAGGTGAGGTGAGGTGCAGGTGACGTGAGGTACAGGTGAGGTGAGGTACAGGTGAGGTGAGGTGCAGGTGAGGTGAGGTGAGGTGACGTGCAGGTGAGGTGAGGTGCAGGTGCAGGTGAGGTGACGTGCAGGTGAGGTGAGGTACAGGTGAGGTGAGGTGAGGTGACGTGCAGGTGAGGTGCAGGTGAGGTGACGTGCAGGTGAGGTGCAGGTGAGGTGAGGTGCAGGTGAGGTGCAGGTGAGGTGAGGTGCAGGTGAGGTGAGGTGCAGGTGAGGTGCAGGTGAGGTGAGGTACAGGTGAGGTGCAGGTGAGGTGAGGTGCAGGTGAGGTGAGGTGAGGTGAGGTACAGGTGAGGTGCAGGTGAGGTGAGGTGCAGGTGAGGTGAGGTGAGGTGACGTGCAGGTGAGGTGAGGTGCAGGTGAGGTACAGGTGAGGTGAGGTACAGGTGAGGTGCAGGTGAGGTGAGGTGCAGGTGAGGTGAGGTGAGGTGACGTGCAGGTGAGGTGAGGTGCAGGTGCAGGTGAGGTGACGTGCAGGTGAGGTGAGGTACAGGTGAGGTGAGGTGAGGTGACGTGCAGGTGAGGTGCAGGTGAGGTGACGTGCAGGTGAGGTGCAGGTGAGGTGAGGTGCAGGTGAGGTGCAGGTGAGGTGAGGTGCAGGTGAGGTGAGGTGAGGTGAGGTACAGGTGAGGTGAGGTGCAGGTGAGGTAAGGTGAGGTGAGGTACAGGTGAGGTGAGGTGCAGGTGAGGTGCAGGTGAGGTGAGGTGCAGGTGAGGTGAGGTGCAGGTGAGGTACAGGTGAGGTGAGGTACAGGTGAGGTGAGGTGCAGGTGAGGTGCAGGTGAGGTGAGGTGCAGGTGAGGTGAGGTGCAGGTGAGGTGCAGGTGAGGTGAGGTACAGGTGAGGTGAGGTGCAGGTGAGGTGCAGGTGAGGTGAGGTGCAGGTGAGGTGCAGGTGAGGTGAGGTACAGGTGAGGTGAGGTGCAGGTGAGGTGCAGGTGAGGTGAGGTGAGGTGCAGGTGAGGTGCAGGTGAGGTGAGGTACAGGTGAGGTGAGGTGCAGGTGAGGTGCAGGTGAGGTGAGGTACAGGTGAGGTGCAGGTGAGGTGAGGTGCAGGTGAGGTGAGGTGCAGGTGCAGGTGAGGTGAGGTGAGGTACAGGTGAGGTGAGGTGAGGTACAGGTGAGGTGAGGTGCAGGTGAGGTGAGGTGCAGGTGAGGTGAGGTGAGGTGCAGGTGAGGTGCAGGTGAGGTGAGGTGCAGGTGAGGTGAGGTGCAGGTGAGGTGCAGGTGAGGTGCAGGTGAGGTGAGGTGCAGGTGAGGTGAGGTGCAGGTGAGGTGAGGTGCAGGTGAGGTGACGTGCAGGTGAGGTGAGGTGCAGGTGAGGCGCCATGCCTGGCCTTGGCCCCATCTTCCTGGCTAACGCTCACCCCTTTCCCTAGGCTCCTACCTGTCCCCACATCCACCAAGGAAGGCTGGGCGGCGGTGGGCCCAGCCCCTCACAGCCACAGAACTCTGGATCACCAAAGTGCTGAGGCCTCAAACTAGACAGGAAGTGGAGGGATTGGGGATGTTCCCTCGGCAAGAGGGTGCCATGTAGAACGTAGAAACAGGGACTCTAAAACGCCCTTTCAGGAATGGACACAGAAACGTGAGCGCTTTTGGCACAAGGGTGAGTTTGAATATCTTTGTTTAAAAGGTTATTTTTTTTAACTATAGCATGAGAAATACATGCCATTATTTTCAAATATATAAAAACATCTTCAGTAGGTTCCACACAGAATTTTGGAAAGCTAAGCTGGACTCGGAGCAGGTCTGCTGCTCCCCAAGGCACTACCCTTCGAAGGAAGGTTTCCACCACCTGGCTGCAAAACGGAAAGGAGAAGGCCTGTTTCCAAAAGGTCTCCACACCCCTTTGGGCGGAAAACAGCCGCCGTTCATTCCTGCGCTCACATCCAGAGAGGAAGCCTAGATTCAGGCGACAAGAACAGAATATGGGCTTCTCATACCACACACATATATTTCCTATTTCTCTGGAATGTTGCTGTGTCATTACTATGCACAAAATCAGATTCTTCAAGAAAATTGTTTTTTAGACCGAGCAGGTGGCTCACGCCTGTGATCCCAGCACTTTGGGAGGCTGTGGCAGGTGGATCACGAGGTCAGTAGTTCGAGACCAGCCTGGCCAACATGGTGAAACCCCGTCTTTACTAAAAATACAAAAATTAGCCGGGTGTGGTGGCGCATGCCTGTAATCCCAGCTACTCAGAAGGGTGAGGTAGATGAATCACTTGAACCCAGGAGGCAGAGGTTGCAGTGAGCCGAGATTGCACCACTGCACTCCAGCCTGGGTGACAGGGCAAGACTCTGTCTCAAAACAAAAAAAAATGTTTTTAAATACTGGTGTAATTACCCCAAAAAAGGCCTAAGGAGGCCTGCAGTCTGCCTCATGCATGCCACATTCAGTCTTAACAGCTTCACCAGCCCTCGGCCCTGTTTGCCACAGAAAAGCTGAAACCGCAGGTTTCTGGGTCAATTTACACTGTCCAATCCCTGACCTGCCCTCTTCCTGAGACAGCCAACCAGAGGCCTCCGAGGTCCTGCCAAGGGAACTCTGAGGGGAAGAGCATCTCTGCGGCCGGCGCGCAACACAAAACAGCTAAGCAAGCCCAACTTGTGTCCTTGGTCTGAAGTCACATCCTGAAAAGCCTGGTCGCACCAGAAATGAAACACACATGGTTTCCCAATGCTTCCTGTTCTGAGTCTCCAGTGAGGACAAGATCGCCAGAAGGTTCTGTCTCCCTCTCTCAGTAACAGTGAGAAGAGAAACAGGCAACTGGATATTGGGCAGGATCTTGGCTCCAGCCTTGGGTTGGTTCACGGAGCTTCTGTCTTCACCACGGAGGCCTCTGCCGATTCGCAGGGCAGGGCCACAGCTGACCGGCTCCACCACGACTGCTCCGCGGCCACGGCCGCCCGGAAGGCTCTGAGGAACTGCTCTTTGGTGATTTCAGGAGGTTCTTTCCCTGCACATTTGCACAGATTCAGGATAAAACCCAACACATCGGAGCCAGACAGTATTCTTGTTGGGACATGTGAAGGGGCCACTGGCCTCGGGGTGGGACACTGGTCCTAGAGAGACCCACCTGCCCCTCTTGGACAAGCCCAACCCAGGTCCCGGAATTCTGTTCCACCTCCCTGGTTCCCAGTCACCCCCAGGACTGACAGAGGGTAGAAGGCGTCCTATCTCCAGGACACGTGGTATCCACTAGATCTCAGGAGTTCAGAAGTAGTCATCATTTTATAAACCTCGGAGTTCTAGAAGATTTCTTAGGACTTGCCAGGCAACATGGTACATGCACAGAACCCCAAAGGAGCGTCTCTCAGAATCTTCCTCGAGTACAAGCAACACAAATGATCACTGAGATGGACAATTTCAAATCTGAACCCAGTATCTGGAATGCAATTTTCCACCTGAAATTGGCATATCATCTGCACTGACTGCAGCCTGGAAGGCATCTACCCGTTGAGCATCGGAACATCCCAGGTTCCTCCTGAGAACGTCACCCACCTTTAAGGGTTCTGACAAAGTATCTGAAGAGCTCTCGATACGAGTCCTGGTAGCGGCTAGCCTGGGTCTGGGAGCCGAGGGACAGGGACGTGCCCCGCCCAGTGATGCCCAAGGGATTCTGATTCTCCATCTGCAGCGCACCTTGGGACCCACGCACCTGGGAGCCATTGCAAGACAGGAGTTAACCAGGCCGAGCACAGGAAGTGGGGAGGGGAAGGGGATGACTGAACACCACCAGGGCTTTTGCTGGTGGGGGTGGGGCGGGCAGGTGACACATGACGCAGGCCTTCCAGGACCGTCATTATCACTTCCCATGGCACACCGTGACCAACACCAGCTTTCCATGTAATGGCCAAGGAAGCACAGGCTTCTATAGAGCAACAGCCAATGTAAAGGAAAGCCACCGTCACAAAACAGCTCCTGGAGGCCCAGAGGCCAGAGAACGAACTCTCTTCAAAACCTGAAGACGTGGCTCTCACCAGAAAACTAAAACGAATATTTACCGAGCACTGACTATGCACAAGGTGTGCTGCATGTGCTCCGACTGGGGATGGCCAGGTGATGACCTCTATTTAATCAGCAGGATCAACCCGGCTGATGACCTCTATCTAACCCGCACAATCAACCCAGCTGAGGGTGGCCGGGTGACGACCCCTATCTAACCCGCACAATCAACCCAGATGAGGGTGGCCGGGTGACAACCTCTCTCTAACCTGTACAATCAACCCAGCTGAGGGTGGCCGGGTGACGACCCCTATCTAACCCGCACAATCAACCCAGCTGAGGGTGGCCGGGTGACGACCCCTATCTAACCCGCACAATCGACCCAGCTGAGGGTGGCCGGGTGACGACCCCTATCTAACCCGCACAATCGACCCAGCTGAGGGTGGCCGGGTGACGACCCCTATCTAACCCGCACAATCGACCCAGCTGAGGGTGGCCGGGTGACAACCTCTCTCTAACCCACACAATCAACCTGGCTGACGACCTCTATCTAACCCATAGAACGAACCCAGCTTTTCACAGTGGACTGGCGAGGGGTGGAAAAGGGCAGGGGGTCACCTCCAATCTCTGGTCACAGCTGTCTGTACGGTGCTGGCTGACGTCCACGCTGACCACAGCCCCACAGGGAAACTTCATGCTGATCATAACAGTGCCTGCATCTTTTAAGGCGGCCATATCTAAGCAGAAGAAGACTTTGGATGATACAAAAGTTAATTTAGGCAAATTATAAACTGCTTTGTTTGGTTTTTTGAGAGTCTTGTTCTGTCGCCCAGGCTGGAGTGCAGTGGCACGATCGTGGCTCACTGCAACCTCTGCCTCCCGGGTTCAAGCAATTCTCCTGCCTCAGCCTCCCAAGTAGCTGGGATTACAGGCGTCCACTATCACACCCAGCTGATTTTTTTGTATTTTCAGTAGAGACGGGGTTTCACCATGTTGGCCAGGCTGGTTTCGAACTCCTGACCTCAAGTGATCCCGCAGCCTCGGCCTCCCAAAGTGCTGGGATTACAGTGCTAGGATTACCACCACATCCAGCCTGAACTCACCGCTTTAACTGAAGCAGTGGACGAAAGGCATAGCCAAGCAGTTTCACAGAAACTGGTCCTTAATAGAAAATTAACTCTAAATTGTTCCAAAATGGGTCCCTGAGAGGCATGGGGACGCTGCCCAGCAAGCGGTCCAGTTCCGTGTTTGCTAAGCTTCTACGGCACCGGCAGTCCCAGGCCCAGGCACCTTCTGGACCCTGGGGGTACAGCCATGAGCCTAGCAGAGCCAGTCCCCATGTCCCCACCTGGGGAGCAGGCCCCAGACAGGTACTTGTCTGGCCTTCTGAGGAAGAGCGAGAAGTGGACAAGAAGACAGTGGGGTTGCGGGGGACGGCACCTGCAGGCCTGAGGCAGGAGATAAGGGTCTGGAGGCAGGGAACCTAAGGCTGTTTCCCAACAACTTTGAACTATATTGAAGGGAAAACCCTAACTTTACACTCCTAAGTAACAAAAGGACCAGAGGCTACTGCCTTTGCAAACCCCTTCACCTCTTCTGCCTGGCAGATGGGAAACTGGCTGTCTGCAACAAATCAGACTGACTGCGGGTCAAGTCTTCGTTTGCAACTTTGTGACTTCAGTTCAGCCTCTGAATGGTCCCGGTCCACACCGATCAGACTGACTGCAGGCTGAGTTCTAGTTTGTGAACAAGGATAACTTTGTAACTTCACCCTAGCCTCTGACTGGTTGCTTTTTGCAACCACTTCATTGACATGAGGTGAGCACGAAGTGGCCAATGGGAAACTTCTAGCCGGTATTTGGGTCCCAGAAGATTCTGGATCCAGGCCCTAGAGCTGCTGCTCGGGCCACTCCTACACTGTGGAGTGTGTTTCATTTTCAATAAATACCTGCTTTTGTTCTTTTGTTGCTTCATCCTTTCTTTGCTTTGCTGGGTGTTTTGTCCAATTCTTTGTTCAAAACACCAAGAAACTGGACAATGTGCAGTCCAGACCCTCGACCGGTGACAGGCCCGCGGGGTCGGTGGAGACCATGGCCTCCACCTGTGCTCTGGAGGGCTCAGAGCAGGCAGGCACCTGGTCCAACTGAGGTCTTACAGAGAAGAGATTGCAGGCAGATGGCCACAGCCAGGATGAGGACACGGCTGGGACTGGAGTGGTGGCCAGCGGAGCAGGGTGGGTGGGTGAACTTTGGGCGGATGGGGGAGGTGGTGCCAAAAGGGGGTGCTGACGAGACAGAGTGAAGCAGGTGCTGAGAAGAGTCAGCGCTGGCACCAGCTGGGCCTGGACTTGCCCGAGTACACAAAGGGTGGTGTAAGGGGTACCACGTCAGTCCTGGTCCAAGCCTCAGGACGTCTGAGTGTTTCCGCTTTGGTGCCCTGAGGCCATCAAATGTGTGGCCATGCTGCTGTGGGGACCTGAGGAGGCATGGGGACGACACAGAAGAGAACCCAGGTGACAGCAGGGCCTGGCCCTGTGACCCTGGTGGGGCTGTTCCAGGCAGGCCGCTGACCACCTGGCTGTAGTCACATGAGTGACCACTGGGCAGACCAAAAGAGGGACTCCAGCCAAGCCCAGTTCAAGCTGCAGAATCCTAACTACCCAGTGGCTGTTGTTTCAAACCGTGACGTGTGCGCGTGACGTGTGCGCGTGATGTGTGCGTGTGACGTGTGCACGTGACGTGTGTGCGTGACGTGTGTGTGACGTGTGTGTGTGACGTGTGTGCGGTATGTCATAAAGCAACAGATAACCTGTCCTCTGCAGCAGCCCTCAGGACCCACCCTGAGCTTCTGCTGCCAGGCCAGGACCTGGGAACCAGCACCCCCAGCCCCGCCTTCACCTGGAGATCACTGATGATCTCCTAATCTGTGTGCATCCCAGCCTGGCTGTGCTTCCGGCCAGAACTGTGTTTATTCACCTTCGCAACCTTAGAAACTATAGGGGGCCTGTCACATCGCAGGGGCTGGAGAAGTGGTTACTAAAACAGTGACTTTCAAAGTTCATCAAACATGAAATACTTCCTGCATGATGCCTTTCAACCTCGGGAAACGCCTGAGGGGTTCAGTGACGTGACCAGTTAGTCATCTTTTTTACATGTGCTCCACGTTACTTTATCTACTCCCCAAAGCTGAGAGTCGGGGAGGAATCCTGAACAGGGGCCCCAGCCTGTGCTACATTTCAACCAGCCTCGGTGGTCACAGGAGCACCTTGCAACAGTGAAGCCCACTCTTACCTGGGCAGAAGGCATGTCCCAGAGAAAACAGTGTCCGAAGTGGCCTCCCCCAGCAACACGCATGTGGCATCCACGTTGTGCACAGCAGCGTTGTAGAAAATCCCACCTGGACACAAGGGAGGGTGAGCTCTGGCTTCTGGTCTTGAGGGAAGCTACTGGCGAGAAGCACTGGAGGTTTCTGGGTCACTGTGTCCACGTGACATGGACACAGACGCCACAGCGCCATGCATTCCCCCAACAACGCGGATGCCCACCTGCCCTCTTTAGGGAAGCCGGAGAGGCTGCTGGGAACAGGCTGCTGATGGCGGTGATCCCGTGGATCCTCCCCAGGGCGTGGCCGACACAAACTTGCTTGTGCAAGAACTGGAAAGCCGGATCAAAGCGCCCGGGAGGGCCGGGCGCGGTGGCTCAAGCCTGTAATCCCAGCACTTTGGGAGGCCGAGACGGGCGGATCACGACGTCAGGAGTTCGAGACCATCCTGGCTAACATGGTGAAACCCCGTCTCTACTAAAAAATACAAAAAACTAGCCGGGCGAGGTGGTGGGCGCCTGTAGTCCCAGCTACTTGGGAGGCTGAGGCAGGAGAATGGCGTAAAAACACGGGAGGCGGAGCTTGCAGTGAGCTGAGATCCGGCCACTGCACTCCAGCCTGGGCGACACAGCAAGACTCCGTCTCAAAAAAAAAAAAAAAAGCGCCCGGGAGAGGAGCTGGGAAACGAAGCAGGCGAGCCCATTCCTCGAAGCCCATTCTCCCTGAGACGCGTGGGCACGGGGACAGCCAGCTGAGCTCCTGAAGCCAAATTCGACACCAGAGTCCCTTCTGGGCCACGTCCCTCAAAGCCCTGTTGAAAGCAGGTAAACTGATGCCCGCGACAGCCATCGTGCCCCGGGCAGGAGCCAGAGCAGGAGGCAATCAGCGCCACTGAGAGCCCTTCAAACACCAGCCCTGCCACAATGACCTATCTATTTACTCGTTTCTCATCTGTCCTCCTCTCCAGACGGTAAGCTCCATGCGGCAAAGGCCACGCGGCCTTACTCACCAACAGATGCCAACCCAACAAGGTGCCAGCAACCAGGGGCCACCCAGACTCCGGTCAGTGGCCAGTAATGTCACCCATATAATCTGCGGTTTGCAGACGATGGAACTGCTCAGGAGTTCTCCAAGGCACCCACATAACCGAGCTGGCAGTTGGCAGAGACATAACTGAGAACCAGCAGGACCCACTCAAAATCTGCACCCCTGCACACCCCGCTGTCGCCAGGGCTTTAGAACAAGACCAGCAAATGAGAAAAATCAGTGGCAATACCTATTTCCCTCTTCTGGAAATGAGAATCTCATTTAGAGATTGCAGGTTAACTTTTTTTAAAAAACAAAGTACCCTGAGTATTTTGCATAGTTTTATTTGAAAATGAAGGAAAAAAATCACAAGGAAACTGTCCTTACTTGTAAAATCCACAGACCAAAGGCTTTCCACGTCCGTCAGCTTCATCGAAGCAGGACTGGGCAGCCTGACAATTCAAACTCGGCAGCCTCTCGCAAAGCACCCCCTTCCCTGGAAACCGTAAAATGAAAACCAAGAGGTCACAGCTCCGAGAAGAGAGCATCACAGACCAAAAGTCCCAGCTTGCCCCTAAGCCTGGTAGCTGCCATTTAGATTCTGATTCCTGGTGACACAATGAGTCAGGCACACTAACAGGAACACGTTCATCTCAAACCTGTAACTACAGATATAATTTTTTTTTTTTTGACATGGTCTCGCTCTGTTGCCCAGGCGGGAGTACAGGCGTGCGATGATCACTCACACTGCAGCCTCAGGCTCCCGGCTCCAGTGATCCTCCTGCCTACCTCAGCCCGCCGCATAGCTGGGACCACAGCGCGCACCACCACGTCTGCCTACCTCAGCCCCCGTAGCTGGGACCACAGTGCACACCACCATGTCTGCCTACCTCAGCCCCCCGAATAGCTGGGACTACAGTGCGCACCACCACGCCCAATTTACTTATTTTTTGTAGACAGGGTCTCCCTATGCTGCCCAAGCTGTTCTCAAACTCCTGATTTTAACCGATCCTCCTGCCTCAGCCTCTCAAAACGCTGGGACTACAGGTGTGAACCACTGCGCCCAGCCCAGATGTAATTCCTATCAGTATTCTTCGAACTTGAATAATATACAGATACCTTTTAAAGGAAAGCAAAATTCTCATCGTTCCCCAGTGTTGACTTCAATTATTTTGAACATAGTGCTACTTAAATATGTATAAACATAAAATCAGGTATCAATTCCTTTTATATAACTATTAAACCAAAAATCATATATTAGATTAAGAATAAAACCACAAAACCAAGTAAATCCAAATCCATGCTTATTTGATGTGAAGATGATGTTCTGCTGCAACTAACCAGCCCCAGCAGAGCATCTGTGCCCCCAACAGCCTCCACGTAGTTGTTTCAGAGACCATGGGCCCCGCAGAGGACTCCGATTCCCCCTCATGCTTCCCTATTCAAATTGCTGCAGATGCCTTCCTGGGCTTCAGGGCATCACTCACAACACAAGGCCAAGACAATGAAAGTGTATTACTTGATACAGGTGGGTCAACAGACACCGCTTTGGTCACTGAATTACATGGCTCTGCTGGCTGTGAAGTGGCTCAGTTACACTTCACAGCCGTGTAATTCACTGGCTGTGAAGTGTAACTGACCACGCTCCATGAACATAGGGACCAAGTGGGGACCTGGGGAGCAGAGGAAAGCCAGGGTCTGTGACTGAGTGTGCTCCGTGAACCCAGGTACCAAGTGGGGACCTGGGAGAGGAGAGCCAGGGTCTGTAACTGAGCATGCTCTGTGAACCCAGGAACTGAGCATGCTCCGTGAACCCAGACACTGAGTGGGAAGCAGGGGAGTGGAAGGGAGCCAGGGCTGGGTCCCAGCATCTCTAGTCTAGATGGCTCCATTCAAATGACCAAAATATGTGCCTAGTTTCTTTCTTTTAGATTACCAGATGGAAATGCCAAATTATGACCTGTTTGTTGAGAACTTAACAGATCTCAAAGGACACCATCAATGTCTTGGAGGCTGTCAACACCCATTTGAGAAACGCTACGTCCCATTTTGTATTTAAGCCTTCCTGTCCCTAATTGGCCAAGAGATCAGTCACTAGAAGTGGTGGCACCTTCAGAAGAAGTGATGTCAAGTAATTTTCTCTGCTTGTGCAACACAAACCTATCTGCGGCCTTGTGGAAGGATCTCCTGAATCATTTCCAAAAATTCTTTCCCACAAGTAACTGTCAGCCTGTAGTTCCTAAATAGGTTATTACTTAGGAGCCTAAGCAAAGTTCCTTTTATGGAATATTGCAATATTTTGCTTAAGATAAAAATAAGTTACAATGACTTAAGCTTCTACCTCAGGAAGCCAGATCCCAGGTCAGCAAACCAGAGCCAGGTCTGTTTCTGTACATCCTGGGGAGCTAAGAAAGGTTTTCAAATTTTTAAGGATCAGTTCCTATTCTGCACAGACAGTTCCAGGAAACTGGAGGAGGAAAATGCTTCCCGACTCAGTCTGTGAGGCAAGCATTTCTTTTTTTTTTTTTTTTTTTTTTTTGGAGACGGAGTCTCGCTCTGTCGCCCAGACTGGAGTGCAGTGGCCGGATCTCAGCTCACTGCAAGCTCCGCCTCCCGGGTTTACACTATTCTCCTGCCTCAGCCTCCCGAGTAGCTGGGACTACAGGCGCCAGCCACCTCGCCCGGCTAGTTTTTTGTATTTTTAGTAGAGACGGGGTTTCACCGTGTTAGCCAGGATGGTCTCGATCTCCTGACCTCGTGATCCGCCCGTCTCGGCCTCCCAAAGTGCTGGGATTACAGGCTTGAGCCACCGCGCCCGGCCAACGAGGCAAGCATTTCTTTGAAACCAAAACCAGGTAAGGCCATTACAAAAAAAGAAAACTACAGACCGATATCCTTCATGAACACAGACACAAAAATTTTTAATACAAAATTAGTGTCAGGCCTCTGAGCCCAAGCCAAGCCATCGCATCCCCTGTGACTTGCTCCTATAAGCCCAGATGGCCTGAAGTAACTGAAGAATCACAAAAGAAGTGCAAATGCCCTGCCTCGCCTTAACTGATGACATTCCACCACAAAACAAGTGAAAATGGCCGGTCCTTGCCTTAAGCGATGATACTATCTTGTGAAATTCCTTTTCCTGGCTCATCCTGGCTCAAAAACTCCCCCACTGAGCACCTTGTGACCCCCACTCCTGCCCGCCAGAGAACAACCCCCCTTTGACTGTAATTTTCCTTCACCTACCCAAATCCTATAAAACGGCCCCACCCTTATCTCCCTTCCCTGACTCTCTCTTCGGACTCAGCCCACCTGCACCCAGGTGATTAAAAAGCTTTATTGCTCACACAAAGCCTGTTTGGTGGTCTCTTCACACGGATGCACATGACAATTAGCAGACCAAATCCAACAATGTAGAAAAAAAATACGACAATATGATCAAGTGGGGCTTATCACAGGAATGCAAGGTTGGTTCAACATCAGAAGATCAATCATTTATCATCTCAACAGATGCAGAAAATGCACTCACTGAAGTCAACATCTATTCATAAAAAAAATAAAAAAAAAAAACTTTTGGCAAATTAGGAACAGAAAGTGAGTTCCTCAACCTAATAGAATGTATGTTAACTCAGACCTATAATGAAAGGCTGAATGCTTCCGCCCTAAGATTGAGAACAAGACAAGGCTCTTATAACTCTAATTCAACATCACATGGCAGGTCCTCACCAGTACAATTAGGCAAGAAAGAGAAAGCCACACTGGGAAGGAAGGAAGGGGAGGGCAAGAGGGAGGGAAGGAAGAAAGGACGGATGGAGGGAGGGAGGAAGGACGGGCAGGTGAGAGAGAGAGTAAAAGTAAGAAAGTAGTCACTATTCACAGGAAAGATGATCACCAACATAGATCACAAGTCTATGACAATGTAAGAAATCTAATAAATGAGCTTAGTGAGGTCACAGAACCCAAGGTCAGTATATAAAGTCAATCATATTTCTAGATAGTAGCACTAAACAACTGGAAACAGAAAATTAAAACAGTACCCCCCTTTTTTTTTTTTTTTTTTGAGACAGAGTCTCGCTCTGTCGCCCAGGCTGGAGTGCTGTGGCCGGATCTCAGCTCACTGCAAGCTCCGCCTCCCGGGTTCAGGCCATTCTCCTGCCTCAGCCTCCCGAGTAGCTGGGACTACAGGCGCCCGCCACCTCGCCCGGCTAGTTTTTTGTATTTTTTAGTAGAGACGGGGTTTCACCGTGTTAGCCAGGATGGTCTCGATCTCCTGACCTCCTGATCCGCCCGTCTCAGCCTCCCAAAGTGCTGGGATTACAGGCTTGAGCCACCGCGCGCGGCCAACAGTACCACTTTTAAAAGCACCAAAATAGGCCAGGTGTGGTGGCTCACACCTGTAACCCAGCACTTTGGGAGGCCGAGGCGGGCAGATCACCTGAGGTTGGGAGTTTGAGACCAGCCTGACCAACGTGGAGAAACCCTGTCTCTACTAAAAATACAAAATTAGCCGGGCATGGTGGCTCACGCCTGTAATCCCAGCACTTTGGGAGGCCGAGATGGGTGGATCCATCTCAAAAAAAAAAAAAAAGCATCAAAATAACAAACATAAGATCTGGACACTGAAAAGTACAAAACACTAATCACAGAAACCAAAGATGACCTCAATAAATGCAGAGATGTGGCAACTCTGTGAAGATGTCCATTCTTCCCAGGCAATTCTACAGATCCAATGCAACCCCAGCTGAAATCCTAGCAGGATGTTAGTTGTAGAAACCAACAAGGGGACTCGAAAACATATATGGAAGGACAAAAGTTCTAGAATAGCCAAAACTATTTTGAACAAGCTGGAGGACTCCCACAACCTCATTCCAGACCCAGCAGACAGCAACGGCAACTGGTGGAACTGGTGAGAGGGCAGAGGGCTCTGTGGAGGAACAAGAGGCTGATTCTGGACACAAGTGCCAAGGCAGCTCTGAGGAGGATGGAGTCACCTCCACAGCACCCCAGTGTCTGTAACCAACTGCCCTCAAAGCAGCTGTGCTGTCCTGGCCCCGGGCTGTGGCTCTCAAAACCAACAGTCCCGGCAGCAGCCTCCTGCTGCCTGCGTTCCTGGACACGGCAGAGGTGCATTCTGCGGCCACCCCACCTACAGCCCCGTCACCAGTCCTTCCAATGATCCTCTCTGCAGTGGTTCACCTCAGCAGCTTCTGCTTCCCACACTGCTGCCCCCTGGAACCGACACAAAGGTCAAAGAGCATGGGAAGTCTCCAAGAGACAGAGCTGCACACCTGCATTCACAGCATTACTCACACAAGCCAAACCGCGGAAGCAACCCCGGCATCCACCTACAGACGAGTGGAGGAACAAAGTGTGCTATGTCCACAGCACGATGACTCTTCAGCCTTAAAGAGGTAGGAAATGCCGCCACACACCACCACACAGATGAACCCTGAGGGCTCTGTGCTGAGTGAAATAAGCCAGTCACAAAAGGACAACAATCGCACAATTCCTTTTCTGTGGGGTCCCTGGGGCAGTCAAATCCAGAGTCAGAAAGTAGAGGCCGGGCGCGGTGGCTCATGCCTGTAATCCCAGCACTTTGGGAGGCCAAGGCAGGTGGATCATCTGAGGTCGGGAGTTCAAGACCAGCCTGACCAACATGGAGAAACCCCATCTCTACTAAAAATACAAAAAATTATCTGGGCATGGTGGTGCATGCCTGTAATCTCAGCTACTTGGGAGGCTGAAGCAGGAGAATCACTTAAACCCGGGAGGCAGAGGTTGTGGTGAGCTGAGATTGCGCCATTGCACTCCAGCCTGGGCAACAAGAGTGAAACTCCATCTCAAAAAAAAAAAGAAAGAAAGTAGAATGGGGGGCCGGGCGCGGTGGCTCAAGCCTGTAATCCCAGCACTTTGGGAGGCCGAGACGGGCAGATCACGAGGTCAGGAGATCGAGACCATCCTGGCTAACACAGTGAAACTCCGTCTCTACTAAAAAATACAAAAAACTAGCCGGGCACGGTGGCGGGCGCCTGTAGTCCCAACTACTCGGGAGGCTGAGGCAGGAGAATGGCGTGAACCCAGGAGGCGGAGCTTGCAGTGAGCTGAGATCCGGCCACTGCACTCCAGCCTGGGCGGCAGAGCGAGACTCCGTCTCAAAAAAAAAAAAAAGAAAGTAGAATGGGGGTCACCAGGGCTGGGGGAGGGAAAAAGGAGAGCTGCCATTTAATGGGTCAGGAGTGTCAGTTTGGGAAGATGGACGGGGCGGTGATGGCTGCACAACAGTGTGAACTTAATGCCATGGAAACTCTACACTTAAACGGTACATTAGGCCGGCGTGATGTCCAGAACTCTACGCTCAAACATGGTACATTAGGCCGGGCGTGATGGCTCACACCTGTAATCCCAGCATTTGGGGAGGCCAAGGCAGGTGGATCATGGCGAAAAAAGAGATCAGATTGTAACTGTGTCTGTGTAGAAAAAGGAAGACATAAGAAACTCCATTTTGATCTGTACTAAGAAAAATTCTTCTGCTTTGAGATGCTGTTCATCTGTAACTCTTGTCCCAACCCTGTGCTCACAAAAGCATATCCTGTATGGAATCAAGGTTTAAGGAATTTAGGGCCGTGCAGGATGTGCTTTGTTAAAAATGTGTTTGTGAAAGTCATCGCCATTCTCCATTCTCGATTAACCAGAGACACAATGCACTGTGCAAGGCCACAGGGACCCCTGCCCAAGAAAGCCTGGGTATTGTCCAGGTTCCCCCGCACTGAGACAGCCTAAGATATGGCCTCATGGGAAGGGAAAGACCTTACAGTCCCCCAGTCTGACACCCACAAAGGGTCTGTGCTGAGGAGGAGCAGTGCAAGAGGGAGGCCTCTGTGCAGTTGAGATAAGAGGAAGGCATCTACCTCCTGCTTGTCCCTGGGAATGGAATGTCTCGGTGTAAAACCCGACCATACATTCTATTTACTAAAATAGGAGAAAACCGCCCTATGGCTGGAGGTGAGACATGCTGGCGGCAATACTGTTCTGCTGCTCTTTACTGTGCTGAGATGTTTGTGTAAAGTTAAACATAAATCTGGCCTACGTGCACATCCAGGCACAGCACCTTTCCTTAAACTTATTTATGACACAGAGTCTTTTGTTCACACATTTTCCTACTGACCCTCTCCCCACCATCACCCTATAGTCACACCGCATTCCCCTCACCAAAATAGTAAAGATAGTGATCAACAAATACTGAGGGAACTTAGGGACCAGCGCCAGTGCAGGTCCTCACTTGCTGAGCGCCAGTCCCCTGGACCCACTTTTCTTCCTCTATACTTTTGTCTCTGTGTCTTATTTCCATTTCTCAGTCTCTCATCTCCACCTTGCAAGAAATACCCACAGGTGTGGAGGGGCAGGCCTCCTTCAAAATCACTTATGCTCAGGAGTTCGAGATCAGCCTGGGCAACATGATGAAACCCCATCTTTACAAAAAAATTTAAAATTTGCCAGGTGTGGTGGCACACGCCTGCAGTCCCAGCTATTTGGGGCGGCTGAGGCAGGAGGATTGCCTCAACCTGGGAGGTTGAGGCTACAGTGAGCTGAGATTGTGCCGCTGCACTCTAGTCTGGGTGACAGAGCAAGACCTCATTTCCAAAAAAAAAAAAGTACATTTTATGTGGATTTTACCACAATTAAACCAAAACAGTAACAGATAACAGACACATAAAATGATTGGCGTGGTGGCACGCGCCTGTAGTCCCAGCTACTCTGGAGGCTGAGGCAGGAGAATTGCTTGAACCCGGCAGTGGAGGTTGCAGTGAGCCGAGATCGCACCACTGCACTCCAGCCTGGGGGACAGAGTGAGACTCCATCAGAGATTGGGAGACGCCAGATTCTAGGTGTATAAAAATATAACATATAAAGTTGGGGAGGCCATGTTAGTTACCTTTTCTACTTAACTTCTTGTTTTTATTCCCCAAATGTCCTGAAGAACAAACTCTCCCTTCCCCAGTATGATACCAATTAGCATTCCCAGGAGCCCACATCTTCAAGAACACAATCCAGGAATGCTAACCAGACCACACGGCCCTTCCCAGACTTCCCAGTAGCTTTTCCTTTCATGCAAACCCACCAGACACCGGGCCACATCAGCGGACAGGTACTGCCCACTAGAAACACAAGTGTGTGACCATGAGGGTGGACAGAGTGGCCCGGCCCGTACCTGCTCGGAGAGCATGCATCATGATTTCAGAAGCTGCCTCCGGCGGAGAGCAGACAGCTACTCCAGAGACGCTGCAGGAATAAAGCGGAATGTTAAGAGCGTGCTTTGAGACCTAGAACATTTCAAAATCCATGCTGCTAACACCACTCTATAAACCATCTCAGGCACGAGAAAAACACAAGAAAAAGGCCTCAACAAAGCAAATTGTGAAAACATTTCCAGTATGACTTACTTCAGAATTTAACTTGCTAATTTTGAGGAATAAAATACAGATTCCAGCCAAGTCACAGAATAGGCTTCTGTGAGTCAAATTCTATTAAGATCCTCAGGGTCAGGTGCAGGGGCTCACACCTGTAATCCCAGCACTTTGAGGTTTAGCTGAGGCAGGAGGATCCCTTGAGCCCAGGAGTTCAAGACCAGCCTGGGAAACATGGCAAAAACCAGTCTCTAGAAAAAATACTAAAAAAAATTAGCCAAGCTTGGTGTCACACACCTGTAGTCCCAGCTACTCAGTAGGCTGAGGTGGGAGGATCACTTGAGCCCAGGAGGTTGAGGCTGCAGTGAGCTGTGATCGCACCACTGCACTCCAGCCTGGGTGACAAAGCAAGACTCTTTCAAAAAAACGATCCTCAGAATGAGTCTATCTCCCCTTCCTCAGCCTACAGAGGTCAGCCTCAGGTGTGGGCTGGACAGGAGCCCGGGGATTTCCGAGGACTGTGATCTCCAGGCTGGCCACACAGGTGCATGCAGTTCGTAAAAACACACCAACTCGGGCACTTTGCTGTGTGTCTCATGTATGAATGTGCACACTCTGTGAATGTGATACCCAAGTGAAGTGTGCAAACCTGCCTAAAGCAGATGCCACACAAGATAACCGAAAACTAAAATTTGCAGACCAGGCGCAGTGGCTCACGCCTATAGTCCCAGCACTTTGGGAGGCTGAGGCAGGCAGATCACGAGGTCAGGAGATCGAGACCATCCTGGCTAACACGGTGAAACCCCATCTCTACTAAAAATACAAATTAGCCAGGCGTGGTGGCGCACGCCTGTAGTCCCAGCTACTCTGGAGGCTGAGGCAGGAGAATCGCTTGAACCCGGGAGGCGGAGCTTGCAGTGAGCCGAGATTGTGCCACTGCACTCCAGCCTGGGCGACAGAGTGAGACTCCGTCTCAAAAAATAAATAAAATAAATAAATAAAATAAAACTTGCCAACTTTCCAAAAACACACACAAAGCGATAACATTCACGAACATTCTTCTGCAGTGACAATGGGCTTTGCTGAGATACAACACTGCCCAGCTGATACGTTCAGAGCCCTCCACGTACATTAACAAGCTGGGGTCAAACTCTCCTCTTACTACGCTATTAAGAGCATGTCCAAACCTGGACATGCCAAAGGTGAGCCAGGCCTGTCCTGTGAGCAGCACTGGCCAGCTCTGCGAAACACCAGGCAGTGCCCAGCCCAGGCCTGAACACAAGGGCTGCACCTGACCCCAGGGCTGGGTGGCTGCCCTGGAGCCCATCTACTTGCTGTGGGCCCGTCTACACCCAGTGGGCAGCAAGTATAGATATTGCTCCAGCTGCTGGAGACACTGCTCCTGAACAAGATAGACATGTCACACCCAGCTGCTCGAGTGAAGGGAGGAAGCCAGGACCCCATCGCAAAGGTTGTACATTCAAAATATCCCAAATCCAGCCACACTGCTGCCCTGGTCCAAGCCCAGCATGCCTCATTGGCCCCACAATACCCCTCGCTGGTGTCCCTGCGTCCTTCTCCTCCGCCCCCTGAGTGGCTTTCAAACCAAACCAACCCCTGGTGGCTTTCAAAGCCTCTGGGTCACCCCCAGGCTCCTTGAGCCTGGGACCTCATTGCCCAGCCCTCACCCTGAGTTCACTCCATTCCTGCCGGTACGGCCACTCGGCTACATCAAGGCCTGGAGAAGACTCAGTGTCCTCTTTGTAGAGTGTGCTCATCCCCAGATACCCCCATGGCCATCTCACTGACCCACCTAGGTCCCTGCTCCAATGCCCCCTCCTCAGAGTCTTCCCCAGCCATCTCACCTAAAACAGCGCTCCCACCAGCCTCCCTCTCCCGACGGCGTGAGTTCTCTCCACAGAGTTTATTGCTACTGATGTATTGAGATCTACTCAGCTGCCTCTGCACCCAATTCAGCAACACAAGGATGGGGGCTTTGCAGCATTCAGAGCCATTTCTCCAGCCCCCAGGACGGTGCCCGGCACACAGCAGGTGTTCAGTGAACCTCTGCTGACAACTGAAACCGCACCGCTGGTCGTTGAGGACAATGTCCGCATCCTGTTCCCGAACCACTCTGGTGTTGGCCAAATGCTCAGCTCTGAAGGCTCACTCCACGCCACACAGCTGGTCCTCCACCACGTACAGCAAGCAGCAGCCGTTCTCATCCACCACACTCGGCAGCAGTGCTGGGCTCCCAAAGCCCACCCCAAAGATGGCCAGGCCAAGGTGGTCGGCCACCCTGGCTCCAAAGTCATGACAGCATCTCAGGCCTCCTCCACGGAGCACCCTATGGGAGGGAGGCTTCGGAAAATCTCTGGGTGGTCCGCTCTGAGGGCACTGCTGGTGTCTTTACTTGGAAAGCAGAAAACACTGAAAGGTGGCGGGTGGAGGTAGATGGTGTTGCATCCTCCTGGGCAGACAAGTCGCTTGTGGTGATGCTGATGGCAGTAGGGTTGACAGGGAGCAGAGACGTGTGGCCCACGGCGGGAGGAGGTACCGTGCCAATGCTGGGACTGCCTGAGAGAATGAGCTGGGGCTGAGGCTGATGGGGCAAAGGCTGGTGGCGAGGGTGTGCGTGAAGGCCGGTGGCAGTGAGATCCGAGGCGGCCGAGCTGGACAAAAGACACATTCATTTAAACAAAGTGGTAGGACTCACAGCACCCAGTCCACAATCATCTCAGAGGATCAAAAGTGGAGAGTCACTCTGCAAACCAGTATGTATCTGGCTTGTGATAAGACAGCATGCGGGTGGCCACGCACACTTTAACAAAACTGCAAGACTTCACAGGGTTACTCCCCAAGTGGGCAAGCCACTAGCAGATCCGTAAACGTAGTGTCATCAGGCGGCCTGTCCACATACTTCGGAAACTTTTGCAGGGCAGAGAATCCTAAAATAGCCGGCAGCCCGCTGGGATGTGTCCTGAAATACTAGCGTTGGCACTGACACTTACACGAGAATGGGCGTCCGCAGGCCGTGCTGCGGATGAGTCTGCGGTTCCTGTGGTGCCTGCCCGAGGACAGGTGCTCCGGGATGCGGTCCCTGGGCACGCGCATAGGCAGCTCGCAGGCCGTGCAGGAAAGGGTCTCCACCACAGACGTGTCCCCAGAGTCACTGTGCTCAGTCAGGGGCTGCTACACCACCAGGTCGGTGAACTCCGCCGCGCAGTCGTGCAAAGTCTTTTTCCGGCCCATTGTCGGGTCCGGGATGGAAACGGAGGCAGCCTTGACCCCCGACCGAGGGCCCCGTGGGATCTGCGCTCACCGCCTTGCGAGCAGAGGCGTTCGCGTCGGAGGCCCCACACTTGGGGAGCGGGGAGCTGGGGTCTCTGGTGGTCCCACAGGAGGAGGAGGAGGGACGGAGCAGGTGGGAAGGATGAGCGCTCCCGCGTGCAGCGGTGGCTGGAGTGGGTCCCTCTGAGCTGGAGTGGTCTCCGAGGGGCGGCGGATGCTCGGAGGAGGCGGGTCCCTTAGGGCCGGGGGCCAGGGCGATCCCACCTGGAGAAGCCTCGCGGGCGAGAAGCGGGTCCCTTCCTGGGGCAGATGGAGACGCGGGAGTCTTCCCCGAGAGGTGACCGAGGCCAGTCAGCGGCCCCTGGGGCCCAAGGCCGGGGACTCTCGGCCGCCGGTGGACGGGCAGGGCCGGCCCGCCTGGGTAGGCGGCGGGGTGAAGGTCTCCGGGGCCCGAGGCGGCAACGTGCCACCCGCCGGGCAACCAGCCCATCCCCAGCTCCCATCTGGGGATCCGCACCCGCGCGCCGCGGCGCCGCAGTTTAAAGCCCGTGAGATCCTGCAACAACCCGGATCCGGAAGTGCGGGGGCAGAGCAGGGCGAGGATAGGGGTGGGACCTTCGGTGCACAGCCGGGGCCTAGTCGAAGGAGGTTCAGGGCGCGGGGCGGGGCGGGGCGGGGCTCCCACAGAGGGGCGGGGTCTTGGGCGTGGGGGCGGAGCCTGTGCGGGGCGTGGAGATCTGACGGGTCCCAGATGCACGTGCACCCAGGTGCTGACCGCCCCACCTTAGGCGGTTTCTCTGGGCCCCTTATTTCCAAGTGGAGTCGCTCTCCCCACAGGATTTCCCCGATTGGCAAGAGGGTTTTATTTTCTTATTAAGAAAATAAAATTGACTCTGCAATTTACAACTTTTTTTTTTTTTTTACCGTAACCAAAAATCTTAGGCTTGTTAGTGTTTGACTTTCCACTCAGTTTTTGTTGTTGTTTTGTTTTTGGTTTTTGGGTTTTTTTGAGACAGAGTCTCCCTCTATCACCCAGGTGGGAGTGCAGTGGCGTTATCTCGGCTCACTGCAACCTCTGCCTCCCGGGTTCAAGCGATGCTCCTGCCTCAACCTCCCAAGTAGCTGGGACTACAGGCACAAGTTTTATCAGCAAAGACCCTGAAGGCCCAGGCTGCTTTTCCGTGAGTACAAGGACACAACACCTGTGGGAGGTGTGGGCCCAGGCGCGGGATGCTGAGCTCACACGACCCCTAGGCCTAGGTAGCAAATAGACGCACGTGTGCCTTTCACACTCCGCCCTCACTTCACACTGGCCCACCCACTCCTTGCTCTGGGAAATGAGGACGCAGCAGGAGATACCTGTAGCTCACACACACACACACACTCTGCCCCCCGCAATGGCCAGACTTCCAGGGCTGCCTCGCTTCCGAGATACATTTTCGGGTGCCACTTGTACGGTCCAGCCCTACGGGGCTTAGCGGGTGTTCTCCCCGTGTGTAGAGACGAGAGATTGTAATAAATAAAGGCACAAGACAAAGAGATAAAGAGAAAGCAGCTGGGCCCGGGGGACCACTACCATGAAGACGCGGAGACCGGTAGTGGCCCCAAATGGCTGGGCTCACTGATATTTATTGCACACAAGACAAGGGGGCAGGGTAAGGAGGGTGAATCGTCTAAGTGATTGACAAGGTGAAGCAAGTCACATGATTACAGGATAGGGGGCCCTTCCCTTTTAGGTAGCCTAAGCCGAGAGATAAGACAGCATACGTCAGCGTTTTCTTCTCCGCACTTACAAGAGAGATCAAAGACTTTAAGATTTTCACTATTTCTTCTACCTCTATCTACTACGAACTTCAAAGAGGAACCAGGAGTACGGGAGGAACATGAAAGCGGACGAGGAGCGTGACCACTGAAGCACAGCACCACAGGGAGGGGTTTAGGCCTCTGGGTGACTGTGGGCAGGCCTGGATGATATCCAGCCTTCCACAAGAAGCTGGGGGTACAGAGTGTTCCCTGACTCCTCCAAGGAAAGGAGACTCCCTTTCGTGATCTGCTAAGTAACAGGGGCCTTCCCAGACACTGGCGTTACGGCTTGACCAAGGAGCCCTCAAGCGGCCTTTATTGCAGGCGTAACAAAAGGCTCACTTCTTGCCTTCTAGGTTACTTCTCACAATGTCCCTTCAGCACCTGACCCTATACCTGCCGGTTACTTCTAGGTTATGTTGGTAATGCAACAAAGAGTAATATTAAAAGCTAATGATTAAAATGTTTATAATAATGATTGATAATTGTTCATGATCATCTCTATATCTAATCTGTATTATGACTATTCTTATTCTATCTTCTTTATTATATTGAAACAGTTTGTGCCTTCGGTTTCTTGCCTCAGCACCTAGGTAATCCTCCGCCCACAGCCACTGGCCCGCATTTAAGCCAGCTCCAAACATACCTTCTAGATCTGGGGGAAATCTAGCCATTTTCACACGAAGTGACAAGACTAGAAGCTTTGATTTGTTTCTATAGATTGAATGTCGGCCCCAAGATAAGCTTTCTATTTAATATTGGCTTCTCTATCGATCAAACTGTCACCATGAGTTTCTGGTAACTGAACCAGAAATCGACTTGAGTGGTTTAATAGACGAGGAGTCTGCTGAACAGCATTTCAGAGACCAATGTAAAAACAAAGCACAATACATGTGATTTTCAAACACGCTGGACCTCAGGCCAATGTGACAACATTTCCTGTGGTCCAAGTCCCCAAAACAATTAGAAATTGCATGTGGAAGACTACAAAATAATCGCCAAAAGAGAAATCGGCAAAGCAAGAATTCTTTCTCAGTATTTGAGGCTGGTAAAAGTGCTTTATTTCTTATTAAAACACAGTATGTGTCACTTAATAACAGGGATATGTTTTGAGAAGTGCATCATTAGGCAATTTCATCATCCTGCAGACATCATACTGTGTGCTCACACAAACCTAGGTGGTTTACAGCCTAGTACACCCCTAGGCTATATGCTATACCTGTTGCTTAGGCTGCAAACCTGTACAGCATGTTCCTGAGTATTGTAGGCAGTTGGAACACAATGGTATGTGTGTATCTACACATGCCCAAACACAGAAAAGGTATGGTGAAAATACACTATCAGATTCTTTTTTTTTTTTTTTTTTTTTGAGACGGAGTCTTAACTCTGTTGCCCAGGCTGGAGTGCAGTGGTGCAATCTGGGCTCACTGTAAGCTCCGCCTCTCGGGCTAACGCCATTCTCCTGCCTCAGCCTCCCAAGTAGCTGGGACTACAGGCGCCCACCACCATGCCCAGCTAATTTTTGTATTTTTAGTAGAGATGGGGTTTCACCGTATTAGCCAGGATGGTCTCAATCTCCTGACCTTGTGATCCGCCCACCTCGGCCTCCCAAAGTGCTGGGATTACAGGCATGAGCCACCACACCCGGCCAAAATACAGTATTAGATTCCTAAGACACTGCCATTGTATTGGTCTGTCATTTGGTCTATCATTGACCAAAATTTCATTATTTGGTATATGACTGTAGGTAAAAAATTCAAATATATACTAGGCTTGTTTTGTACTTTTATATTTAGATGCAAAAAACTGAAAGAGATTTTTGGGTGGTAAATATTTTTTATAAAGTCATATTGGAAAGGATGGGGTCATGAATTTCTATGGGGAAAAGAGATCAGATTGTAACTGTGTCTACGTAGAAAAGGAAGACACAAGAAACTCCATTTTCATCTGTACTAAGAAAAATTGTTCTGCTTTGAGATGCTGTTCATCTGTAACTTTAGCCCCAACCCTGTGCTCACAGAAACATGTGCTGTATAGAATCAAGGTTTAATGGATTTAGGGCTGTGCAGGATGTGCCTTGTTAACAATATGTTTGCAGGCAGTATGCCTGGTAAAAGTCATCGCCATTCTCCATTCTCTATTAACCAGGGGCACAATGCACTGTGGAAAGCCGCAGGGACCTCTGCCCGAGAAAGCCGGGTATTGTCCAAGGTTTGCCCCCACTGAGACAGCCTGAGATATGGCCTCGTGGGAAAGGAAAGACCCTACCTCCCCCAGCCCAACACCCATGAAGGGTCTGTGCTGAGGAGGAGGAGGAGAGAAAGAGGGAGGCCTCTTTGCAGTTGAGATAAGAGGAAGGTTTCCATCTCCTGCTGGTCCCTGGGAATGGAATATCTCAGTGTAAAGCCGACCATTCGTTCTATTCTGAGATAGGAGCAAACCGCCCTGTGGCTGGAGGTGAGACATGCTGGCAGCAATACTGCTCTGTTACTCTTTGCTACACTGAGATGTTTGTGGAAAGTGAAACATAAATCTAGCCTATGTGCACATCCAGGCACAGCACCTTTCCTTGGACTTATTCACGACACAGATTCCTTTGCTCACATGTTTCCCTGCTGACCTTCTCCTCACCATAACCCTGTTGCCCTGCCACACTCCCCTCACCAAGATAGTAAAAACAGTGATCCATAAATACTGACGGAACTCAGAGACCGGCGCCAGTGCAGGTCCTCGCATGCTGAGTGTGCCAGTCCCCTGGGCTCACTGTTCTTTCTCTATACTTTGTCTCTGTGTCTTATTTCTTTTCTCAGTCTCTCATCTTCACCTGACGAGAAATACCCACAGGTGTGGAGGGGCAGGTTCCCTTCAAATTTCCTTCAGTCAGCAAGCAGAGAAGGCTTTCTTCCCACTCAGACCCCAATCAAGGCTTCTGGAAGTGGGGGTTTTGTCTTTCTCTCCCTAAAAGATGTCCTGAGGTCGGCATTTGAAGCCTGGAAAGTCATTCCCAGGGAGCCAGACTTCTCTCTCTCTCTTCCAGGAATTTCTTCGCCAAATGGTTCTAATCCCAGAACCCACCCCCTAAACCTTTTCTAATACAATTACTGTCTTCAAGCCAGCACGTGGAGACAGATTTGAGCTGGACTCCTGTGTCCTTGGGAGCTGACTTTTCTTTTTTTCTTTTCTTTACTTTTTTTTTTTTTTTTTTTTTTTGAGATAGGGTCTCACTCTGTAGCCCAGGCTGGAGTGCAGTGACGTGAACACAGCTCACTGCAACCGCGACCTCCCCAGGCTCAGGTGATCCTCTCACCTCAGCCTCCTGAGGAGCTGGGACTACAGGTGCGTGCCACCATGCCTGGCTAATTAAAATAAATAAATAAATAACTCCTGGGTTCAAGCATTCCTCCCACCTGGGCCTCCCAAAGTGCTGGGATTACAGGAGTGAGCCACCGCACCCAGCCCAGAAGCCAACCTTCAGTACTGAGCTTTGCTCTTCTCAAAAACCTGATGTCACAGCACTGGCCTCCAGCACATCCAGCCGTGGGGCCCTTTTGCTGCATAACAGTTTCTATGGAGACATCTGTGATGCCACCACTGCTCCCAGGAGCCTACAGGACCTGGAGCTCTGGAAGCTGATCTCCTCCCACTGGACCAGCTAGCAGGTTCATGTTCGAGGCCATTTTCCCCTCAATACCCCAAGCCAGGCTGAAGAGAGATCCACGGGAATAGCTGGGCCTGTCCTCATTCAGGTCCACATTCAGGCAGCAAAGCTCACTTGGTCTTTGCCTCATGTTACCTAAGGAGGCCAGCCCATCTGAGAGGCACAGTTTGATGTCCAGCTCGATGGCCAGGGGCCTGGCACTCCTCCAGAGCGTGGCCAGCCGGGACGCCGAGTGCCCAGAATGGAAACTGCGCCAAAAGCCACGCACGCTCAGCAAGTCAGTCCAGACCATCAGCCGCTACTACAGGAAGACGGTATGGGGTCCTGGGAGGAGGGCTGCCACGGGCCTTGAGGTGACCTGCTTCTCCTCCTCCCCAAGGACCCATGGAGCCGTCAGCCCACAAAGCATTCCACAGGCCTTCTGGTGATGGGTAACCAAAGAGGGATTCCAGGCAGGCAACGAATTGAGCGCTAGTGGTGGAAAGAGCCCTGAGGTCCTCTCCGTTTCTGAAGGGCCTGGTGCCTTAGTCCCCACGTGCCACTGGCTTCTTTTGGGTTAGCTGCTTTGGGCCGGTCCTCCCCTCTTGCAGACCTTGGCTCCCGGTGTCTCTGGTTGGCCAAGGGGAGAAGATGCACAGTTTGCCCCAAGACTCCCAACGTGCATCTTGAAAAGGAGAGTGAAGGGGAGAAAATGTGGAAGGGGACCTCAGCCGGACAGGTACACTGTGCCACCGTGTATTAGGGGAGCCCGAGATGGTCACCCCGGCTCCTGGCAGCTTCCTGGGTGAATGCATTGCCTGGACCTAGTGGACTGTGGTTTCTTTTTTTCTTTTTTTTTTTTGAGATGGAGTTTCAATCTTGTTGCCCAGGCTGGAGTGCAGTGGTGCGATCTCAGCTCACCACAACCTCCGCCTCCCGGGTTCAAGTGATTCTCCAGTCTCAGCCTCTCAAGTAGCTGGAATTACAAGCACGTGCCACGACACCCAGCTAACTTTTTTTTTTTTTTTTTTTTTTGTATTTTTGATAGAGACAGGGTTTCTCCATGTTGGTCAGGCTGGTCTTGAACTCCCAACCTCAGGTGATCCGCCCACCTTGGCCTCCCAAAGTGCTGGGATTCCAGGCGTGAGCCACCGCACCCGGCCAGGTTATGGTCTCTAAAGTGGGTCTGCGTGGCTCTTGCTGAGTATCCAGTGTGCTGGAGAGGGGACGGAGGGGACACACCACTGCAGCCTGCACACACGCAGGCCCTTTCAACCTCAGTGGGAAAGTAGCTTAGTGCCCGTGACCAGCAGCATGTGTGGGTGTGGGGGAGCCTGTCCGTGAATCTCAGCCGGCAGTCAGGCAGAAGCAGAGCCCCCATCTATCTAGGCCTCAGGGTCTCCAAGAGGCTCTCAGTGGGCAGCCAGAGCTCCAGCACCAGGGGGTTGTCGTGGGCAGGTCTCTGGGGGAGGCCTGAGGGGCAGCACGGTGTCCTGGGTGTGGGATCTGTGTCCACATACTGCTCATAGGCACCTGCCACTGGGGTGATTTGTGATGGTTTAGGGAAGCAGGGTCTGCCCTTGGACGGGCTGACCTAGAGTCAGGGGCCTTCTGCACCTGTCTTATTTTCCCCGCTCTGCCAGAGTGAACCCAAGGATGCCACCAGCCTCACCAGCTTCATGTCCAAAATGGAGGAACTTCGAAGGGTCTTCCCCAGGCGTCCTCACTGCCCCCAGTTCAGCACCAGGGCCACATCCATGTCGTACTGTGGTAAGAGCCCCCCACCAGGGCCGCCTGTGAAACTGCCTGTCAGAGTCGAGGGGCCTGGGGAGGACTTGCTGCACCCTTCAGTCTGCGAGCAGCCAGCCACCAGAGTTGGCCTCCACGGTGGCCCCAGCTGCTGCTTTGGAAATCCGCCCTGTGCGCAGGGAGCCAGGGCAGCAGTGAGGCTGCAGGTGGAGGGAGGCCCGCTTCTCCTGGCCACTGTGATTATAATTTGTCTCCCCAGACTTCTTGCTTTTTTATTGTCTCACCCACTAAAAATTCAGTAGGGTCAGGGGCTAGGGGAGTGGAGATGGTTGAAGATTCTGGAAGCTTCAGGAAAGAATCCCATAAAGCCAGATAGTTCGTTAGGGACAGTGCCCCTGGGGAGCCCCAGCAGCTGTCCGGTCCAACCCCTCACTGCTCTGATGAGAACAGGAGGCTCAGAGCAGGCAGCTGCCGAGCTCCGTGGTCACCTGGGGGACGCTGCCCAGAGCCAGGGCTTTATCCCAGCATCTGCTCCTGGACCTGGACTGGTTCCATGTCCCCACACAAGACACCATTCTTAGGGATGGCGAGCTTGAGCTTAATTCCTGTGACCAGTAGCCGGGCCAAGGTGGGGGTTGTGGGGTGGGGGTCCCGTGCTGTCCACGAATCTCAGCCGGCATCAGGCAGAAGCAGGGCTGCCACCTTTCTAGGCTTCAGGCCCCCCTCTGCCTCAGCAAGAGGGTCTCCACGGCGGCCAGGGCTCCAGGACCAGGGATTGTTGTGGGCAGGTCTCTGAGGAGGCTGAGGGGCCGCATGGTGTCCTGGGCGTGGGGTCTGCGTCTACATACTGCTCATAGGCAGTTGCCATTGGGGCGCTTTGTGATGGTTTAGGGGAAACAGGGTCTGCCTTGGATGGGCTGGTCTGGAGGTCGGGGAGCTTCTGTTCGACTTTTAGGAGGGCACGTTTTTACCGAAGGAAAGTGGGGTCTGCCCTCCAGGGGACAGGGGGCATCAGCTAGAGAAATTCAGCCACACGCGGGTCTGTTGAGGCAGAGACACCAGGGCAGGCAGGAGGATGAAGCCCACCTTTTGGTCCAGCCCCTTGCTCAGTCCCATGCATCCATTAAAAACAGCTGCCTGTGCCCCTACCTGGTGCTTAAGGATAAATAAGAGTCTGCCCTGGAGTTCTTGGGGAGATGAGACCACAGCAGTCACCAGATGGCATCTTTAACACTCTGCAGGTTCACCCACCGAGACCGATTTGTCCTGGGAGATTGACAACAGCTCGGAGACCTGGAGGGGCACCCGGGACCTGCTCTTGGCCAGGCGGGGTTCGGACATGAACCTGGATGGTGAGGGAGCCCCTAGGGCCTCTGCCTGCACCTGCTGGGCCCCTGAGCTCGAGGCCTGCTTCTTGCAGGGTCGCTGCTTATGCCATGTGGAATTCCCTTCCAGGACTGCCTGCCTCCTGAGGAGTCACACAGAAAGGCCCCCGGGCTCCCTTATGCAGAACTAGCCCTGCCTTGCCTGACAGCTTAGGCTGCAGTCCCCCCAGGACCATGGCCCCTTGTCTTTAGGAAAAATCGTAGTTGAAAGTTTTGTCCCCTCCGCCCTTACCCAGAGGCTGATGGGTGCATCCCTCACTGTGGGTAGAGACCCCTCAGGACACTGTTCCCGCAGACAGGAGTGCCTGTTTCCATTTACCAAGAGGAAATTCACAGCACCGTGTTTCCTTTCTTGCCTTAATTGGAGGAAACCTAGAGTCTGCAGTGACCAGCTGCCCTCAGGCTCAGGAAGGTGGAGAATCCCCTCCCTCCCCTCAGTTTAAAGTTGGAGAAACTGGGCTGGGCGCAGTGGCTCACGCCTGTAATCCCAACACTTTGGGAGGCCGAGGTGGGTGGATCACGAGGTCAGGAGTTCAAGACCTGCCTGGCCAAGCTGGTGAAACCCCATCTCTACTAAAAATACAAAAAAAAAAAAAAAAAAAAAAAAATTAGCTGGGCATGGTGGCGGGCACCTGTAATCCCAGCTACTCGGGAGGCTGAGGCAGAGAATTGCTTGAATTTGTTAGGCAGAGGCTACAGTGAGTTGAAATCGTGCCACTGCACTCCAGCTTGGGAGATAGAGTGAGACTCCGTCTCAGAAAAAAAAAAAAAAAAAAAAAAAGGTGGGGAAACTAAGGCCCCAGGAGGTGACAAGCAACCAGGTGTGCAGGGACAGCATCAGGATGACCCCCTTGTCCCGACTCCCAGCTCTGGCTCCTCTGTCCTGGGTGTCTTGGCCGGAGCTTCCACACCTTCCTTCACTCCCTCAGCAGACGCACTGGGCTGGGTGTGGGCGCCCCATCGTGTTCACAGCAGCAGCACGCTGTGTCCAAAGTGAGGTGACAAGAGCTAGGAGACAGATCGGAGTCGATCTGGGCAGACAGGGGTTTCCGAGGGAAGTCTCAGAAGGGTGGACATTGTCATCCAGGACACCAGAGGAGCTCGGCAGGGAAGGGTCTGGCTTCTCATTCGGCCCCTGCTGTCGCCACAGGGCGCCTCCTTCCCTTCAGTAAGAGCGCCTGCGAGTTTGATTACTTGAGGAAGAAGAGCAAATCCCAGACTTTGAGTCCGGTCACCAGCAGCTCAGTCGCATCCCAGAGCTGCTCAAGAAGGAGGATGCCCTGGTACCTCTCAGTCATCCATGAGAAGGTACTGGCGGAGAGGGTGCAAATCCCAGTTCTCTACTCCCTCGCTCTGCTTCCGGCTGGGAGGACAGCCCTGCCCCCTGACAGGCTCTGGTTCTAGTATCTGGTTAGCTGCATCAAGCAGGTCCCCATGGCCTAAAATGACCTCCAGACCCCCCGCTTTGACAAAGCTCCTCACTCCTCTCCATCCTCACCCCAGTGGGTGGCAGTTACGCCGGCATGGAACTCAGACTCACTGGCACACATGACCTCCAGCCATTCACACATCTTTGCACGCACAGACTCTACTTCAGAGAATGTATTCTAAATAAAAATCATAACAGGAATAACCAGCTTGATTTCTGTACAAGTTGATTCATTGTAGTGTCATTTTTTAAATCTATATTTATAAGAAAGACTGACCTATATTTTCACTGTCTTGTAATTCCCTCATCAAATCTTAGTATCAAAGTTATTCTGGCTTCATTAAAATGAAAGAAAAGGCTGGAAAACAGTTACTTTTTTTCTTTTTATTTCTTTTCTTTATTATTATTTGAGACAGGGTCTCGCTCTGTCACCCAGGCTGGAGTGTGGTGGTGTGATCCCGGCTCACTGCAGCCTTGACCTCCCTGAGCCCAAGCAGTCCTCCCACTTCAGCCTCCCAGATAGCTGGGACTACAGGTGTGCACCACCACACCTGGCTACTTTTGTATTTTGTAGAAATGGGGTTTCCCCATGTTGCCCAGGCAGGTCTGGAACTCCTGGGCTAAAGTGATCCACCCGTCTTGGCCCCCCAAAGTGCTGGGAGCACCACTGCACCCGGCACCTTGTTTCTTTTTCTATTCTCTGTAAGAGTTTGTATAAGATTGATGCCGTTTCTTCCTTAAATTCTGAAGAATTCGCCATTGAAGGAGTCTGTGTCTGGAGACTCCTCACAGGAGCACTCTTATTAATTTATTTATTTTTGAGACGAAGTCTCGCTCTGTCACCAGGCTGGAGTGCAGGGGCGCCATCTCAGCTCACTGCTACCTCTGCCTCCCGGGTTCAAGCAGTTCTCCTGCCTCAGCCTCCCAAGTAGCTGGGATTACAGGCACGCGCCACTACACCCAGCTAATTTTTGTATTTCTAGTAGAGACAGGGTTTCAGCATGTCGGCCAGGATGGTCTCAATCTCTTGACCTCGTGATCTGCCCGCCTCGGCCTCCTACAGTGCTGGGATGACAGGGTGAGCCGCTGCGCCTGGCCTTTATTTATTTAGAGAAAGGGTCTCATTCTGTTGCCCAGGCTGCAGTGCAATGGCACAATCAGAGCTCACTGCAGGCTCCATCTAAAGGGGCACTTTTAGTTTTTAATTTATTTATTTAATTTATTATGATACAAGGTCTCACTTTGTCACCCAGGTTGGAGTGCAGTGGAGTGATCCCAGCTTACTGCAGCCTTGACCTCCTAGGGTTCAAGCAATCTTCCCACCTCAGCCTCTCGAATAGCAGGGACCACAGGCACACGCCACCATGCCCATTAACTTTTTTCTTTTTTTTGTAGAGACGAGGTCTCTCCATGTTGCTCGGGTTTGCCTCGAACTCCTGAGCTCAAGTGATCCTCTTGCCTTGGACTCCCAAAGTGCTGGGATAGCAGGTGTGAGCCACTGCACTGGGCCCCTGCAGGAAAACTTTTAAAACTCACAAATTAGGCCAGGCACAGTGGCTCACCCTTGTAATCCCAGCACTTTGGGAGGCTGAGGTGGGCGGATCACGAGGTCAGGAGTTCAAGACCAGCCTGGCCAACATAGTGAAACCCCATCTCTACTAAAAATACAAAAAAAAAAAAAAATTAGCTGGGCATGGTGGCGGGTGCCAGTAATCCCAGCTACTTGGGAGGCTGAGGCAGGAGAATCGCGTGAACCCAGGGAAAGGAGGTTTCAGTGAGCTGAGATCAAGCCACTGCACTCCAGCCTGGGTGACACTGTGAGACTCCGTCTCAAAAAAAAAAAAAAAAAAAAAAAAGAAATCACAAATTCAATTCCTTTAAAATATATCCAGATTTTCTTTTTCCTCATTTCAGTTTTGTGTTCTGTGTTTTTCTAGGAATGCATCTATTTCATACAAGTTTTTTAATGGATCAGCCTAAGGCTGTACATAGTACAAGCATAATTACTATCCTTTATGCGGCAGCGTGGGCAGGGTAAGGACAGCCTCTGTCTCACTTCCAACGTGGCTGCCTTGTGCCTCCTTTCTCTGTTTCCCCATTGGTCTCGCTGGAGTTTTATCAGTGTTAATAACCTTCTCTTAGAATCAGCTTTAGATTTTGTTGATTTTTCTCTAGTGTCTGTTTCCTTTCTCTGCAGTCTTTTGAAGCTGGTAAAGTTTTGATGAAAATTATGGACATGAGTCACAAAATGTTGTCGAGTTGGTGCAGGGCACAGAGACCTGGCGGGGGGGTCATATAATTGCATGGAGACACAAGGGGGCTTGACAGTCCCAGCTCCTGCTCCTGTGGGTCCATGATATTCATTTTGTTTACTCCTCCTACTCTACCTGTACATTATTAGAGATTTCACTGCTTTAAAAGTGTTCCTACCTTTTAATCAAGCAATTTCATTTCTGAGAAATGGCCTGAGTGTACCATTAGACAAAAGTCAGGCAGATACGCTGTTGTTATTCGTGCAGGCAGCAGGGAGGGGATTTACCAGGTCATGTGCATGAACCATCCAAGGGAAGGGCTGCAGGCTTGGCTGCCTCCAGGAGCTCCAAGGGGCTCGTCAGGCTTTCCTTTATCTCATCTCTGCCTTCATCTGGGCTGTCACAGATGAACTCTTCTCATTTGGTGGCAAGAGAGCCACCTGCCACAACAAGTTTGCAGCTGGCATCGTGTAAACTCGGCAGCTCCAACAGGAAATCAGATCTCCTTTCCAGCAGTCCTTGAACTATTTTGAGACGTGAGAGTGTCTTAGGTGACCATGACCAGGGTGATAAAATGTGATTTCTGCACATTTTTTCCCTTTAACTTTGTATTGCAGGCATAAAGGGGTAAGAATTCATACTATAAAGATTCCCATGTACCTTTCCATTCCCCGGATGTTAAATGTGGCCACGTTTGCTTTATCCTTCTCTCCTCTCTCTCCCCCTTGCTCCTCTCTCCCTATATCATAAATTTTCGCACCTAACTTTATTCCTTCTACTTTCTATAGGATTAATTTTTAGTTCTTTTTCTGAATTCTTGAGATAGATACTTGGATCATTGATTTTCCATTGCCCTCCCGCTATATGCATTTTAAGGCTGTAAATTTGTTGTTAATCACAACTTTAACTGTGTCCCACGAGCTTTGATGTGTCCAGATGTTCATTTTCATTAGTTTAAAATGTTTCTAGCTTTCTTTGTAATTTCTTTTTTGACCCATTGGCGACACAGAAGCCTATCACTTACTTTCCAAACATTTAGGGGACCTTCTAGTTATCTTTCCTTCCAGAATATTCTGTTGGGATCATTTTCCTTCCCCCTGAAGAACTCCCTTTAGTATTTCTCTAAGTTCAGATCTGCTGGTGACAGATTCTTTCAATTTGTTTGCCTGAAAACATCTTTATTTTTGTCTTTAAGTTTGAAGAATTGAGGGAGTTGAGATTCTGAGAACAAAAGTTTGAGGAGCTCCCCAACAAGCCCCTAGGGAAGCTTGGAGGGTATTGCCAGTTAAGTGTGGGGACTGCAAAGAAGACTGGCGTCCTGTGGTATAGTGGGGTGCAAGGACAGACCACGGGCCAGGTCCGAAAGGGAAGCTACCTTGCAACTCCTCGGAGGAGGATTTAGGATCTGCTCTTAGGATGGTGCAGAGGCGCTGGAGGTGCCAGGCATGGCTGCAGTAAAGAGCTGGCACATCTTGGTCTCCAGATGTGTAGTGCTAGTTCTTTACTGCAGTACACATCTTGAAATCCCTGGGACCGTGGGGTTTTGGGGTCCCAGGACAGCAGATCTGCTCCTCCTGGGTGGGCTGGAGGCAGGTTGGGGGAAGAGTGTGTGGCTGCATGGCCCACGGAGACTGCCCCTGGTTTTCTGCCCAGGATCACTGCCTGTCCGAGCTGGAGATACAGGTTCAGAAGAAAGACGAGGAGATCCTGCTGCTCCAGGAGGAGAGGGAGGCCCTGAAGATGCAGCTGAAATGCCTCCTCAAAGGCAAAGGCCAAGAGGCGTCCATGTCCCCAGGCAGGAGGGTGAGCCAGCCCCAGCGGGGCACAGTGCAGAGCTCTAAGACAGTCGTTTCCAAAGCATCCAAAACTGCTGGTGACACACAGACCCCTGGCAAACCCCCAGGCCCCCTGGATCCTACCAGGTCCTTGCTGGAACGCGGACCAGTTCTCAGGGTTCTGATCAACAGGCAGGGGAAAAGCGAACAGAGGCATGAAATGACAAATGAGAGCCATGAGCCAATGCAACAGGCAGGGGAGAGGCGAACGTAGGTGCAAAATGACAAATGAGAGCTGTGAGCGATGATGTCTAGGCACCTGCACCTGGTTTCTGACTTGCTTTCTGCCTGGGGCAAGGCATGGCGCTGTCTGGGCTCAGGGTCTTTATCTATAAAATGAGGGCTGAGCTAACCTCTGAAATCCTGGGTCATGGAGGCCACCCTGCAGGCGGATTCCCCGGGCCTGGCCGTGTGCATCATGGGCAGTGGTAGCTTGGACCACCCTGCCCTGGCCGGGAATCCCCTCTCCCTACTCTCTGGCTGTGAGCCCCACTGTGAGGTTGGGGATGGGGTGGGGGTGGGGGTGGGGTGGGGGTGCGGATGCTATCCCACCTCTAGGTCTGGGCAGACGACTGGATGTGGCAGGTCTGTGTTGTGCCCAGCGGTGGCCACCTGATCTTCCTAAGACCTGATTTCTTTCATACCTGAGGAGACAGCCTGAGTTTATGCTGGGGGCCAGAGATGAAGCAGGGACCAGGGGGAAGGCCTCTGACCATGCCAGATGCCCTAAATGCCTAAAGGGAAGGCTGCCTAGACACACAGGGCAGGGGCAGGGAAAGGTGGTCAGCCAGGGGCTTCCACTCTCTGTCCTCCCCAGGCTACTGGTGGGTGTCTGAGGGTGGGGCACCCAGGCAACGACATGCACCGTGGGCGTGTCTAAGGCTGGCTCCCTGACTTCCAAGGCCTTGTCTTTTACTGCAAGGCCACTTGCTGGGGGCTGCTCTGGGGCTGCCTAGAGCCCCTCTGCCCCCCAGGGTTGCCCATCCACAGGTTCCTGTGCCCTCCATTGCCACAGCACCCACATCCCCCAGCCCCTTGGCAGGAGGATGCAGGTCCCCTCCCCAGACACGAAAGGCCACTGTCCCTTCCAGGACAGGCAGTGGTCCGTTCCTGGGGTGCTGCAGGAGGGATGGAAAGCTGAGGGTCCCCGGGGCATCTTGCAGGAGCGGCTCTCAGATGCTTCGCTGAAGCTGGGCAGGCTGAGCCTCCTGAAGGCCTTCTCCAGAGATGAGGAGCTGCAGCACTGGCAGCAGGTACAGGCTGCCTGGAGAGTGGGCACGCAGTGGGGGACCCCGGCCCAGAAGCCACCCAGGCTGCTTAGCTAAGAGGCCCAGGCCCCGTGTCCCCACTGCAGCCCTGACCTGGGGTGCCCCCACTCCAGGGGAGCAGGTGAGGTGGGTGGGTTGTTAACCCCTTGAAGTCACAGGTCAGGTGCAGTCTCCTGACAGAGGGAGGACCCATGACTGAGGCCGCAGTGCCTGGGCCATTGTTGGTGACCTTGCCAGGCGGATGCTCCCCCGCTCCCTGGATCCTGCAGCAGCCTGGAAGGAGGTGTCCTCCCCGGTGCCCCCGCCGTGAGCATTAGAGTTCCCCACCCTGGGGGTGCCCCGCAGCCCTGCCCAGCCCCTGCCCTACCCATCTCGCAGATGCAGGAGGAGTCTGCAGCACCGGAGAGGGGCAAGGAGCTGGACCTGGGAGGTGGCGAGGAGGACGAGGGCCTGGAAGGGGAGCCCAAGGGGGTGGAGGACACAGGTGCCAGGGGAGGTGTGAGCCAGATGGGGGCTGTACATGAGGAGGGACGCAAGGAGGAGGAAGAGGAGGAAGAGGACAGGGATGAGGACTCCGAGGAAAGGGAGCTGCCAGAGGAAGAGGAGATCCCCAGGAGAAGTGCTTCCTCCCTGGCCGAGTCGTTTGAGGAGGAGCTGCTGGCCCAGCTGGAGGAGTACGAGCAGGTCATCCTGGACTTCCAGTTCAACCTGGAGGCCACCAGGACCAGATACTCCCTTGCAACAGGTAGGGCCTTGGCAGGGGACTGGGCTTTGGCCACTCAGCGGGTCCTGGCCCAGGAGCTGGGACGCCCAGACGCTGCCTGCTCTGGTCAGTGAGCTGGAGCAGGGGCAGGTGTCAGCAGCCTCACCCAGGCTCGCAGAGCCCTCCCAGCTGGCGCGGTGGCCCGGCCCTCTCCGGTCCCTCATTGCCCCTGCTTGCTCTTGTTCACCGCCTCTGCCTCTGCGCCCAGGAGTGATTGCGTCTTTACAACAACAACTGGATTTCCAAGAATCCCAACTGCGGAAGATCAATAGGGAAAATGAGACGCTGCAGAAGGAGCTTCGAGAGCGGAAGCAGCAGCTACAAGCCATGACCGACAAGGTGGCCGTGCGCTTAGTACCGGCCTCCGCTCCGTGAGCACGGGCCAGACTTCATTAACCCCCAGCAGCTCGGGGCAGGCGCCACCTGTCCCATCTACTGATGGAGACTTTGAGCCTGGGGCGTCCAGGCAGCTGGCCCAGGGTTGTGTGGCTGAGAGCGGCCCCGCCAGGATTCCCCCAGGTGTGTGGGAGGCTGGAGCCCATGTGTCCAGCCACAGCTCTGCCCTGCTCCTGGGCTGGAAGCATGTGTCCCTGTCTCATGAGCCACTGTGCTCTTGGCCTCTCCTCAAGCATCTCCTGGCCCCTGAGTCCTGGGGGTGAGAAGGTGCTCTCTGTGCTTAGAGAGACTGCTACTCCACTGAGCCCACTCTTGTCGTTTTTGTTAAGTGTTTTAAGTTTTTATTCTTATCAAAGTTATTGATGCACATCGCTTAAAGGATCAAATAGTTCCACGAGGCCTGTCATGAAAACCAGGAGCCTCTGACCTCTTCCCTCTCATCTGCCCTCTCCTAAGGCATCATTTTAAATTCTTCCAGCACATTCTTTATGAATCTATCTCCATATCTCTAAATAGCATGCTCATAATGCCCGTTCTAGATTTTTCTCCATCTTAACATTATTTAATGCTTCCTTTTTTCCTCCCCTGTCGCCCCCCAGCACACACAAGGGCAGCCTTTCCATCCACCCTGCTCCCCATATCATTCTCTCACAATCATGTTGCAATGACATCATTGGGACAGTTATTTGTCTCACACACACACACTCAAATAAGTTTTACAGAACAGTACTAAGATTCATAAACCACAACTTGAAAACGGCTGCATCCCATATCTTTTGCTTTCTTGCCCAGTTCACTTATTTCTGGTGGAGCACATCCTCCAGTAGTTTTATCAAAAAGGATGACTGAGGCCAGGCGCTATGGCTCACACCTGTAATCTGAGCACTTTGGGAGGCTGAGGCAGGTGGATCACCTCAGGTCAGGAGTTCAAGACCAGCCTGGCCAACATGGTGAAACCCCGGCTCTACTAAAAATACAAAAGTTAACCGGGTGTGGTGGTGGGTGCCTGTAATCCCAGCTACTCAGGAGGCCAAGGCAGGAGAATCACTTGAACCCAGGAGAAGGAGGTTGCAGTGAGCCAAGATTGCACCATTGCACTCCAGTCTGGGCGACAAGAGCAAAACTCCATCAAAAAAAAAAAAAAGGATGAAAGGGGGTAAAGTTTTGGGGACATGATATGTTGGCAAATGTCCTTACTGTACACCCTTGCAACATCTGGGTTGGATATAGCATTCCCGTCTGAAAACCATTTTCCTTCAGCATCACAGAGGCATTCCTCTGTTGTCTTACAGTTTTCAGGTTTGCTGATGAGAAGTCCAAAGACGTTCACGGTTCTTTGTGGGATGGTTGTTCCTCTCTGGAGAGTTGTAAGATCTATATTTGTCGCAGGTGATCTGAAACCTCCCAGAGTTATGCTTTATTGAGGGCGTATTTTCATCTGTTGTACCGGGCACTCAGGGGCCATCTGGAAACTCATGTCCTTTAGTTCTGGAATTTTCTTTGGTTTTATTGTTTTTTCGTGTCCTCTCAATTTTTTAGCGATTGGACCTCCTGTCCTGCTCTTGTTTTATCTGTTAGCTCCTCCTTTTTGTCTCCTTGTGTTTTACAGATACTTTCTGAAGATTTCCTTAACTTTATCAACGGCTCTTGAGTTTTCACTTTGTTATAATATTTTACTCTGATGTTCTCTGAATGTTCCCTTTCTCGTTTTTTGAAGTGCACTCGTGTTTGGTTTCACAATTGCAGTATCTTCTCTTCCCTCGATGACAGTGTTCATCATAGTGTTAGTTTTCTAACTTGTTGCACCACTCCTATTTCCTACAAGTTCCCTTTTATTTTATTTTATTTTTATTTTTATTTTTTTTGGAGACAGAGTCTTGCTCTGTCGCCCAGGCTGGAGCGCAGTGGTGCGATCTTGGCTCACTGCAAGCTCCGCCTCCCGGGTTCATGCCATTCTCCTGCCTCAGCCTCCCGGGTAGCTGGGACTACAGGTATCCACCACCACGCCCGGCTAATTTTTTGTATTTTTGGTAGAGACAGGATTTCACCACATTAGCCAAGATGGTCTCTATCTCCTGACCTCATGATCCACCCACCTCAGCCTTCCAAAGTGCTGGGACTACAGCTGTGAGCCACCACGCCTGGTTACAAGTTCCCTTTTGAAGTTGGCTTTTGGTCTCTCATTCATCTGAGAGCTTTGCTCCAATGTTCGAGCTGACTGGACTCTGAGCACACAGGTGACCACTCCGTGCTCCCTGGGCAGAGCAGTGCGCTTTGCTTTGGCATTTTAATGGAGAGTTTCTTTTGTTTTCTTTATTATTTTTATTTTTCTGAGATGGGTTCTCACTCTGTCATCCAGGCTGGAGTTCAGTAGTGTGATCACAGCTCAATGCAGCCTCAGCCTCTCCAGGGTCAGATGATCCTCTCATCTCAGCCTCCTGAGGAGCTGGGACCACAGAGGCATGCCACCAAGCCCAACCAATGTTTTTATTTTTTGTAGAGACAGGATCTGTGTTGCCCATGCTTCTCTCAAATTCTTGAACTCAAGTGATCCACCCACCTCAGCCTTCTAAAGTGCTGGGATTACAGGTGTGAGCCTAGGGCTCTTCATTTCTGACATAACATTCCACCAGTCATCCTCATTTTAGTCTCCATGTTTAGAAGAACCCGGACCGACAATGTCTGAGACTTTAAGGAACTCAAGTGCGAACTGGGCTTGTTTTCTGCTTTCCCTACTGCCGGCTACTTGGCTTTTTTGGATCTGGGATGTCAGATACCACTCAGCCATCTTCAAACTCTCCAAAATATTTTTAGTCTTCTCCTCTTCTCCCTGCCTTCAATAGAAATCCCGCTGCTATTATTTTAGTGAGCTTTGGGGAAGGGAAAAAGTTAGATGCCAGTGTTCAGTCTGTTATTTCAACCTGGGAGACCCCCATGCCAACCCCTCTGTCTCCTTCCAGTTCTCCAACCTCCGAGAAGATAAGAAACACCAAGAGATGATGGGGCTTATTGAGAAGGACAACCAGCTCCTCCGACAGGTGACAGCCTGGGTGTCGTTACATGGTCAGTCAGGCCACTGCTCTTGCTGTAAGTCCCGTCAGTGAAGGGCAAGACGGGGCTGGAGCATCTTCACAGCCCAGCCAGAGTCCCTTAACTTAGGTAGCATGCCACTCGACATGTCTCTGGGCCCCACGTCCGCACAGAAAGCTCCTGGCAATCGCTGGGCCCAGACTGGACTGGAGGGACCCAGCAAGAGTTGCTGGTCTTTTTTTTTTTTTTTTTGACAGAGTCCTGCTCTGTCACCAGGCTGGAGTGCAGTGGTGCGATCTCAGCTCACTGCAACCTCCGTCTCCCGGGTTCAAGCAATTCTCCTGCCTCAACCTCCCGGGTAGCTGGGACTACCAGCATGTGTCACCACGCCCAGCTAATTTTTGTATTTTTAGTAGAGACAGGGTTTCACCATGTTGGTCAGGCTGGTCTCAATCTCTTAACCTCGTGATCCACCCGCCTCAGCTTCCCAAAGTGCTGGGATTACAGACGTGAGCCACTGTACCTGGCTGCCGGCCATCTTTTAGGAAAAAGTGGACGGGTATCACACGTACTCAGGTTGGATGAAATGACCCCACCTCTTTGTCCTCCCCGGATGTCCCCAGCAAGTGTCGAAACTGGAGAGAAAGCTCACCAAGCGGGACCGCGTCATCTCAGAGTTGGACACCAAGGTCAGCCAGCTGCAGGAGCAGGTGGAACTGGACCAGAACCACTTGCAGAGGTGGAAGCAGCTGCAGGAGGATTTGCAGAGCAAGAAGGAGATGATTCAGGAGTCGGAGCAGCAGGTCCGCGTGGCCCTGGAAAGTTCCCAGTCCAGGGTATGCCCAGCCCCTCCTCCTGAGGGTCTGTCCCAGCAGCTGGCGGCCAAGCACCCAGGCCCCTGCCCACTGCCCACCGAGGTAGAACCGGGCTCTGAGTACACGGGGGCTTGGGCTGTTTCTGCTGTGTACACCAGCACCCACACAGAGTTGACGCTCAAGAAGCGTGGGTAGAGGATGGAGTGAGGGTGCGACGGAGCACCCCGGAAGCATTTGTCAATGGCAGTGGTGGGCGGAGCCCCGCAGGCAGGGCTGCGGGTCTTGGCTTGCATTGTGAAGGGGATGGCTCACTGGCTGGAAAGGAGGAGGGCTCCTGGATTGAGAGGAATGGTGTTATCAACCCCTCTCTGAGTCATGGTGTGCTTGCTGGGCCAGGCACCATTCTAAGTACCTTCTTGGTATCAAAGTCATGTGGCTCCTTTAACCAAACTATGAAGTAGTTATCATGATCCTCACTTAACAGACAAGCAGGAAAGGATAAACAGTCCCCCTGGACCCCAGACCTGCTTCGCAGTGGTGCTGGGATTTGGACCAGGCAGTCTTAACGGCAGGACCCCACTGGGGCGTCATATTAAACGTGAGCAAGGCCAGAGCGCACCCTGCTTGTGAAGGCCCCATGCCAAAAAGGAAATCAATAAAGAGCTGACTTTTTTTTTTTCTTTTTTGAGGCAGGGTCTTTCTCTATCATCCAGTCCGGAGTGCAGTGGGGTGACAACAGCTCACTGCAGCCTCGGCCTCCCAGGCTCAAGCCATCACCATCCCACCTCAACCTCCTGAGTAGCTGGGACCACAGACCTGTGCCATCATACCCAGCTAATTTTAGAAACTTTTTGTAGCGACAGTCTCACTATGTTGTCCAGACTGGTCTCAAACTCCTGGGCTCCAGCAGTCTGCCTGGCTTGGCCTCCCGAAGTGTTAGGAATACAGGTGTCAGCCACCATGCCTGGCCCTGACCTTGATTTAGAATCCAAAATTAAGCAAAGGTCAAGGTCATGTATGGAGGCTTTTGAAGTCATGTTCCCACCAGGAATGCCAACTGCAACTCAACTGTGTTCTTTTTCCTGCCTGAGCCTGCCCCCTTCCGGCTGGGTCAGACTGTGGCACCCACCCCTGGTATCCCTTGATAAAACAGTTTGGGATCCAGCCGTAGTCCTGGTGAAAGCATTAGACCAGAGGCGGTCTAGGTGTGTCCATTTGTGCGTCAGCCTGCACGGACCTGGTAGAGCCTGGAAAGCTGAGTTGAGAAATACTCTGAAGCTAAGTCCGGGTGAGCAGGAACTAGCGCCAAGCCTGATGGTGAAGCCCCATGGATGTGGGGAAGTGAGGCTGGACACCCTGGGTAGCTGCCAACCTCTACCCTGGGGAGGCACCCCCAGAACAAAGGCCCAGTCCCTTGTGGCCTCAGGACCTCCAGCACTTGGCACGATGTTTGTACAAAGTGGGCACTCAATAAATACTGGAAAGAAGGAAAGGATTCCACTCCTCACACAGGCCAGGGGCCCATGACATTCCTGCTGTTACTTAAACCTGTCCGAGTGGCAGTGCGGACGTGCTTCCACTCGGAGGCACAGCTGAGCCTTTCGGGCCCGGCTCCCGTTGGGCACCTCTGCGTCGTCACGGTTTCTGGACGAGGAACGGGTGCTGATCGTGCCGCATAACTCCAGGGGTTTCTTTCTGAGGCTCCTGGGGTGCAGATTGGAGAGATTTCCTCTGTAGCTTCCTGGGAGGCATGATTAGCTACCTCTGGGGAGGTGGCTGCAGTGTACAGGCAGACAAGGATCTTCACGGCAGCAAAAGACTGGAACGCCTTCCGGGTCTGTGCGCAGGGGCCAGGTTCAATGCTGCTGTCCGTGGCACAGACGCCTCCTAGTCAGCATGGAAAGGAGGAAGGGCCAGCAGCACACTGTTAAATGCCTAAAGTGAGAGTGTCGCCAAGGGCCAGGAAGTCCACTCACTGCAGCTCCCCTGGGCAGCGGAGGAAGGTCCAGGGGTTACGTGCAGCTTCTGTACTATTTTGGTTTCTTGGTTTAAAAATATGTGTGTGGGCCGGGCGCGGTGGCTCAAGCCTGTAATCCCAGCACTTTGGGAGGCCGAGATGGGTGGGTCACAAGGTCAGGAGATCGAGACCATCCTGGCTAACCCGGTGAAACCCCGTCTCTACTAAAAAATAACAAAAAACTAGCCGGGCGCGGTGGCGGGCGCCTGTAGTCCCAGCTACTCGGGAGGGTGAGGCAGGAGAATGGCGTGAACCCGGGAGGCGGAGCTTGCAGTGAGCTGAGATCCGGCCACTGCACTCCAGCCTGGGCGACAGAGCGAGACTCCGTCTCAAAAAAAAAAAAAAGCATACCAGAGGATCAAATGAAGTGTAAGGTGAACCCGTCTCAAAAAAAAAAACTAGCCGGAGGTGTGGGCGCCTGTAGTCCCAGCTACTCGGGGGTGAGGCAGGAGAATGGCGTAACCGGGAGGCGGAGCTTGCAGTGAGCTGAGATCCGGCCACTGCACTCCAGCCTGGGGCAGAGCGAGACTCCGTCTCAAAAAAAAAAAAAAAAAAACAAACAAAAAAAAGTGTGTGTGTGTGGGTAGGTTTTACTTTCCAATTAGAAAAGCCCATGTGGTGTCAAAGAGCCTTTGGGCTTTGGGGCTGGGCCGTGCAGGGTCAGGGGTTGGATCCGGCACCTCCTAGCTCTCAGGCAGCCTACATTGACTCCTCCGGCCCCAGTTTCCAGTTTCTAAAGCCATGAAAAGTGAGAGTGAGCTGTTCCTTCCTGGCCTATAAAAAATAAAGTGCTGGGGGTGCAGCCCACTGGCCAGGTGCCTTCTTGGGCAAAGATGAGTGACGATGTTGTCCCTTTGCTCATAGCTCGAGAGGCTAAGGAATAAGATCATCCAGGCCACCTTTAGCATCACCGGGACCAAGTCCTTGGTCAACGAGATATCTGACAATGACATCCTGGAAGCCCTGCAGGTACACCCCTAAGCTCAGCTGCCTCCATCCGGGCCCCATCCCCCTAGGCCACAGCTGGGGTAGGGGGTGGGATGGGGGCCTAGGTTAGATTCAAGGGACCCTGTTCTCATCCTAGCTGTGTCACCTATTCACCCGGACCCCAGGACCCCCCTTTCTCTCTGCTCAGGCAGAGGGGACCAAATCATCCTAAGGTGGGTGGGGGCATGGCATGGGAGTCTTACTCACGCTCAGCAAAAAGGGGGAGGGGCATCAGAGACCAGCAGTAACCACCACAACCCATCCTGAGCACTGTGGACAGGGAACAAGCCGCTCGGGTCATGAAGACTCTCCCGCAGCAGGAGCCCAGCCCCCGCTTTGTCCAGCTTGGTCCCCTCCGCTGGTATCCCCACCCACTGATCCAGGGCCCTGCCTGGCGCAGACTCTTCCCACCCTGGCTACGGCCTCCTGGGCTCCTTCCTGACCAGGGGTCCCCAAGCAGGGGCCTCGGAGAAGTAGAGGGGTATAGGAGAAATAATTCAGGCCTTGGGGTCACTGGGCATGAGGGGGTCACCACCCACCAGCTGTGGGCCACACAGTCACTTCTCTGAGTCATAGATGCCTCCCTCTGTGACGGACAGCGCATGCTTACCTGCAAGGTGTCGTGAGACTCAGAGATCTGGGAGTCTGGCACCGGCTGTGGCTCTGTGTGGGGCCATGTGCTATGCAGGGGTCACCTCTCGCCAGCAGCTGCTTCTGGTCCCAAGACCCACACTTTGCCCTCTGGGGCTGCCCTTAAACCCCAGTGTGTGCCCACGACCTTCCAGCACCCACGTTCCTGGGGCCTGGTTCCCTTTCTCTGCAGAGCAGATGGGCCCCAGACAGTGCCTTTCCGGCAGAGCTGTAATATGGGCAGAGATCTCTGCGGCCTTGGTACTGTTGTCTGGGGGAGGGGAGGAGGAAGGGGAGGGAAAGAGGAAGAGAAGAGGGAAGACAGAGGATGGAGGGAGTATTCCCACTGCACAGTAGCCAGGGAAGAGCACCTTTGCTTGTTTGCCATAACCTGACACAAACCAGCAACGGCCCAGAGAGGAGACTGGAAGAGGGGTGGGGACAATGTTCCCTATGCACAGGACAGAAAGGACTTGAGGGATAGATGTGACGACCTCAAAGGTCTCTAGGAGTCTGGGGTTCCTCACAACTCTTTTTTTTTTTTTTTTTTTTTTTTTTTTTGAGACGGAGTCTTGCTCTGTCCCCCAGGCTGGAGTGCAGTGGCCCGATCTCAGCTCACTGCAAGCTCCGCCTCCCGGGTTCACGCCATTCTCCCGCCTCAGCCTCCCGAGTAGCTGGGACTACAGACGCCCGCCACCGCGCCCGGCTAATTTTTTGGATTTTTAGTGGAGATGGGGTTTCACTGTGGTCTCGATCTCCTGACCTTGTGACCCGCCCGCCTCGGCCTCCCAAAGTGCTGGGATTACAGGCGTGAGCCACCGCGCCCAGCCGGTTCCTCACAACTCTAAGAGGGCTGAGGAGGGGACTTAGTGCAGGCTTCTGTGGGCTGGTGGTGTGCACCTGCCCCGGCTCCGCGTTCTGTGACTTCACTTCCGTGGCTGAAAATCAGCCGCCGTGGGAGTATTCCCACCACAGAAATTGGCAACGCCACAAAGCCGAGCGCAGTTTTGCTTTTTCCTCCCCCCTGGAGAGCCAGTTGTAAGTATTCACCAGCACACCCCTGCTGCAGCAAGCCCCTCTGGAGGACGAGAGGGTGGTGTCCCGGGCAGCTGGCATGAACTGGGCAGACCAGCCTCAAGGCCAAGGTGAGGAACTGCGAAGGCCACCTCCACGGTTGTGTTTCTTGTGTAGAGAATTATCTCAGAGAGAAGCGACTACTACAATCAGCTGAAGCAGAAAGGCGTCAAAGTGCCCCCCCTTCAACAGTCAGAGACCTTCCTGCCCAGCAAAACCAAGAAGGGGACCTCCAAGTAGGCCCAGCCAGGCGCCCAAATACGGTCAGCCCAGCAGAGGCCAGGGCCCAGCTCCAGAACCACCCGCCCCCACCACGAGTCCTGTTCTCAGACTTAGAATTAAACTCCGGCGTTGGCACTGTCCCACCTTTTTCTTCTCTGGGATCCACGTGGGGGCCTATTCTCCTCTGCGACCTTGAACTACTACCACACTCCCCATTCCAAAGCTCACTCACTGGGGGTCAGCACACCAGCCTATGCCCCTAGCTCCTAACAGGTTCCCTTGAGGCCCCAGGCTGCCAGACGCCTGAGCCGGGGTGTCCAGCCAGCACTCAGCACAGACCTCACACCTACTGAACAGAGGGGGTCTGTGACCTCCTGCCCTGGGGCCTCTCCTGGTTGGGGCACTCTCTTGCAGGAGGATTGGAAGATGGTGAGGGTGGGGGGCTCTGTTCCCATCCCCCTGGTCCTGGAAGGAAAGTTTTACGGACAGCAACGGTGTCTGTGGTCCCTGACGCTTCCCCGGAGCCTCGCAGGCTCTGGGCGCCTGAACACATTCGGAAGGGGCTCTCCCCATCGCCCTTCTCTGCTCCCCACCCACACCCGCTTCCCTTCCCGCTGCGAGCACCGAGCGTGGGCCATGTGCGGGCACCATGCCCCTTAGGCCCCGGAGGGGGACGGTCCCCGCGGCCGAGTCTTCGATACCCAAGATTCAGACCCAGACGCGCCCAGAGCCTCCCGTAGTCTCGTCGGCGCTGCAGCCGGGTCCCCGCGGGGCTGGGGGGCTCGTGGCGTCGTAGCGGCTCCAGCAGGGGTGAAGGAAGTCGGGGACCCTGGAGGCCCCGAGGGCGGGCCGTCTGGGGGCGGGAAGTGTAGCCCTCAGACCCTGCCCGGCCCCCTGCACCTCCAGGCCCCGGGACTGGGCGGCCTCAGGCCCCGGCCCCACTCGCCCAGCACCCAGCCACTTTTGGACTACGCACCTCCGCGCTGCTGGCTCCAGCCCTTCCCCGCATGACCCCGCCCCCTCTCGCCCCGCCCCCGGCCCCTTCTGAACCAGGCACCTCCCCGCTGCTGGCTCCCGCCCTTCCCCGCATGACCCCGCCCCCTCTCGCCCCGCCCCCGGCCCCTTCTGGACTAGACATCTCCCTGCCGCTGGCTCCAGCCCTTCCCCGCATGGCCCCGCCCACCACTCTAGCCACGCCCCCTTCCGGACCAGGTGCCTCCCGGCTGCAGGCTCTAGCCCTTCCTCGCGTGGCCCCGCCCCCGCCCTCGCCCCCTGCCCAGGCCCGGCCCCTGCGGAGCCCAGAGACGCGCGGACGCAGGTGAGGCGCGCTGGGGTCCGGGCTGCAGTTTCCCGGTGCGGCCACAGTGGGCAGGTGGGCCTGTGCGCGGCCTTGCTAGCTGAGAATTGGCGGGGGCTGGGGGCGTGCCTTGGACTGACCCCCACCGGCCTAATCCGCGGAGCGGGGCCAGGCCCGGAACTGTCCGCCCGGCTCCTTGTGGCCGCTGGGGACCCCCGACCCCAGCCACTTTCCCTTCCCAGCCCTTAGCAAGGCTGCTTCTCCGGTTATTTTTTTAGGCTCGAGGCGTCTACCGAACCTCAGCCCACGACCTGCCCCTCTGGGAGGTGCGGGCCGCGGCCAGGCTCTGACCTCAACCTGGCATAGAGGCCCCGGCCCTCAGGCAAGATTGTCCGGGTAAGTGTGGGGCCCTGAGGCGCTGTGGTGAAGAGGTCTATGCAGGGGCCGCTGTGTACCTAGGATCTTCCTGCACTCACAAACCCCCAGGAGGTGCCAGGACCCCGGAGGCTCCCAGGGCCTGGAGGGGCGTCCCCGATGGGTTTGTGCCGCCACAGCTGTGACTCTCACGTGAGTGTGGAGAGACGTTTACTGGGCAAGTGAGGGAGGCCAGCCTCAAGGGCCGGCTCTGGTGGCTTTGTCCAGCGGGGTGACTTGGGAACCACGCGATCTAGGTCAGCAAGACAGGAACCCAGGATCCCAGAGTTGAATACACTGGGCTTAACCCCTCCCACCGGGAGGCCCATGATGGGCTGCTGCAGTGGACTTGGAGACTCAGCACTCCTGGGACTAATGCTGCGTGCATGTCAGGTTGCAAGGTGGCTGCTGCAGCTCCAGCCATCACATCAAGGCTAGAAGAAGGAGGTGGCTGCTGCTTCTTTCACAGAAGCAAAAGCTTCCCCATCCCCTGCTGCACCCTGGCTCCTGGCCCACAGCTGGGTGACTTGGGAAAGCAGGGGTGGTGGTATTAAGCTTGTCTTACCCCGGTCATGGCTGTTAACGGGCTGCCACATTGCTGCTGGGACCAGACTGGAATTCTGCACACCAGGTAAGAGGGCGTGAAACTTGGGTAGGCGGCTGACAGCTCCACATGCTCCGGGAAAACAGCACCCATATTCCAGTAGAGGCTGGGCCTCCCCGGGCCTGAGTGCCAGGCTGCACTGAGCCCGGGCTCCCACCGAATGCACACTTTATGGCTTTGAGACAGCTCCCTCTGCCTGTTTGGGCTTTGGGGAAGGGCAGACACGGAAGTGCCCCAGGAGTCTCAGAACTGCCTGGGGCCTGAATTTCTGAGCTGGCTTCTTGCAGGGGAGTGGCTCTTGTGTCTTTAGACCTCTGTGCCGATGACCTGGGAGGAAGGTCAGCCTTCCTTGCTGGAGGGGGCCCAGCAAAGCCTCAGCCCCTAGAAGTGAGGGGCCTGCCACTGCCTGCCCAAGGACCCCACTCCTGGGGGCCAGATGCTGAGAAGAGACACTGGGGGCCTAGCAGACCGGAGAGCTAACCCCAGTCCCACAGCCTGGGTGGGTTGTCAATTTCTGGCACCCCCTCCAACCCCTGCACCCGCTTCCCCTTAGGTAAATAGGAGGTCGAAACAGAGGCCAAAGCGTAAAGGAGGTGATTAGAGTCTGGGCTGGCTCAGGCTGGCTGGGCAGCTGTGCTAGTGCTTGGAGTTCCTACTCAGTCCCCGTGGTCTCCTGGCCTCTGTGGGCACTTGGACTGCCAGGCACTGAGCTGAGTGCTGGCCTGTCCTGCAGCCACCCAGCCCACGACCCTCCTGTCTCTGTAGGGACTCCCTGAGGCCTTGAATCCACCCCGGCCCTGTGCTCAGTGCATCGTGCCCCCCAAGCCCCAGCCCTCCCAGAGGTGTGGGTGGGGGAGGGGCTGCAACCCACACAGGCCAAGGACACAGCTGCTGCCACTGCCTGAGGCCAGCCATGCATCCTCCCCAGGCAGGGACCGGTCTAGCTGTAGCCACTGCCCCGGACCTGCTGCCCTGCCCCATCCCACCCTCCCTGGGCCAGCCTCCCCAGAGGTCAGCAGGCGCCTTATCGGGCAGGGTTAAGGAGGGGGACAGTTATCAGGGGCTGCATCCTGGGTTGGGCCACAATGTCCTTGTCTCTTGAGGGTGGCAGGCTGTGCAGGCTCTCTGATAAAAGCACCCAGGAAGGGAGGCCCCTGGAGCGTGCTGGAAGGAAACACTGGCCTCCCACATGCCTGAGGGTAGGGCTTGGCCTGAGATGGAATTCCAGCGGCTTGGTCCCATCCTCCCAGCCGGTGAGAGAGCCAGCCCCTGACCCTTAGTGCCCCTCCCCTAACAGCAGCCCCAGAGGGGGTCTTTTTTTTTTTTTTTGAGACGGAGTCTCGCTCTGTCGCCCAGGCTGGAGTGCAGTGGCGCGATCTCGGCTCACTGCAAGCTCCGCCTCCTGGGTTTACGCCATTCTCCTGCCTCAGCCTCCTGAGTAGCTGGGACTACAGGCGCCCGCCACCGCGCCCGGCTAATTTTTTGTATTTTTAGTAGAGACGGGGTTTCACCGTGGTCTCGATCTCCTGACCTTGTGATCCGCCCGCCTTGGCCTCCCAAAGTGCTGGGATTACAGGCGTGAGCCACCGCGCCCTGCCTAGAGGGGGTCTTGACTACTGCCTTCCATTCGGTTGTTTTACAGTGAAGTCACAGCCTTGCCACCTGTCTTGATCTCACCACTGTGAAGGCCCCACCTCTCCTGCTGCAGCCCCACAGCATGCAGCCCCAGGAGAGCCACGTCCACTATAGTAGGTGGGAGGACGGCAGCAGGGATGGAGTCAGCCTAGGGGCTGTGTCCAGCACAGAAGAGGCCTCATGCTGCCGCAGGTAAGGGGCCTGGGGGCGGCCTGCCAGCCACAGTAGGCCGGTGCCTAACCTGCCCAACCACAGAGACGCCTGCCCTAACCCCTGCCGCCAGCCCCATCACCCTCCACCCCATCCTGGCTGGGAGCCCACGGTCCAGCGGCTCAGCAAACCGCAGCCCTTGGCCTTCCCTCTGGTTGGCTGTGGGTGGGGAGAGCTTCCTCTTCACTCCAGCAGAGCGCCAGGCCCCTCCCCCTGACCCGCACCAATGGCCACAGTCCACTTAGGGGCCCCTCACGCGGCCCTGGCCTGGGGCTCACCTCCAGTTGGTTCTCACCCCAGGATCTCCCGGAAGCTGTGCACGGGCAAGCTGGGCATCGCCATGAAGGTGCTGGGCGGCGTGGCCCTGTTCTGGATCATCTTCATCCTGGGCTACCTCACTGGCTACTATGTGCACAAGTGCAAATAAATGGTGCCCCACATGCACGCTGGGGGCTGGCTGCACGTGTGAGAGCACAGGCCTGGAGAGACACCCCTGTCCATATGGACCCCCACATAGACACGGACCCCACGGCACACACAGCAAACGGCACACGCGCTGGCAGCCACGCACACGAAGACACCAGGTGCACAGCTGTCACAGGCCCCACATGAGGGCGTACCACACACCTGGCACACAGTCCTTCAAAGGACCTACAGAATAACAGCTGGGTACACGTGGCTAGGAGGCCTGGGTCCAGCCTCAGCAGGAGCTGCAGGACACACCCAGGCTGGGCCCTGCAGCCTGGAGCCCCCAACCACAGCCTCCCCTCACCCAGAGCTCAGCCCCTTCCCTTGTCAAGGCCAGGATGAGGGGTTCCTTGGGCAGACAAACTGAGCCCACCTCCCTGGCAGCCCCCTGGGGTGGGATCCTCCCTGCTGCTTTCCTCCATGGCAGCAGTGTGCAGAGCTGTGCGGCCTGGGCAGGCTCCTGTCCTCTCTGGGCCTTTCTGAATCCTGGGTTTGTAAGGATGGCTCCAATAAGGGCTATGTGTCCCCTGCCCTTGTCTCAGATGTACCGTGTCTTCCTTAGTAAAGTGGGCACAGTTCTTCCTAGGCAGTCCACCATACGCAGGGGCTGGGTGCATCCTCTTGGGGCTGGTGGCTGCCAGGGAGGACCCAGGTCTACCCTCCCTTCCCCAGGGACGGGCCTGGCCCCTCCAAGTACTCCTTGTGGGCCAAAAGCCTGTGTACAGAGGCATTAAGCGTCTGTTGAATGAACGGTGGACGACAGCCTTTGCCATAGTTGCCCGACCAGGCATAACATCCAGGAAGGCTGTGGGAACGGCTTGTTTCCCCAGGGCAGGCCCCCTCCCATGTGGCTGTAGGAATGCACCCCTCCCAACTGGGCCCTCTGGCGAGGACACACAGCAGGCCTGGGGACCCGGATGTGGCTGGACCTCAGCTATGTCCCAGGGACTTCAGTCCCATTTCCCCTCCACCCCCATCCTGGCCTCCAGACCCAGCCTCTGGTCCCAACCTCCATTCTCTTCGTAGGTCTTTCCCGAGTCGTGTATTTGGCTCTCACCTACCACAAAAGACCCCAAAAAGCCTTGCCAGAAACATCTTAGGGAAGGGGTCCTCACCCCAGGCCTGGGGGTGGGAGACACGGGCAGCCACTATCTTCACGGGCACAGAGAAGGGGGGCCACAGGGCCAGATGAGGTTATCAGAGGGTTGAGGCTGCGCCTGCCCCAGGCCAGGTCCCGCAGAACGCATCAAGTCAGGTAAACAGGAGGGGCTGGGCCAGTCTTGGTGGGGAGGCAGACTCCACACCATCTGCCTTTTGGGCGAGCAGGCCCACTTGAGGTCTGCCTGGGGCCAGAACGGTGGCAGGTGGAGCTGCAAGGCTGATTGCACACTGCCCCAAGCCTCTTGGCTCCAAACCTGAGGAGGAAGCCCAAGGGCCTGTCCTGGGCTGGGGTCTGAAGCAATGATGCTTTCCTGGGAGCCTGTTGTTGGATGGGCCGCTGTCTGCCCCAGCCATGACAGCCTAGATCTTGGCACAAGATCTTCAAAAAGAGATCCCTACCTCTGACTTGCCACTCCCAAGGAGGGAGGGGAGTGGCCAGCTGGTGCCCTCCCTGGAGCCCAGCTTCACAGGACAGCACTGCTCTGGGGCTGCTGCAGTTTGGCTGCATGGGCCCCAGAAGGCAGCATTCTGATCTGGGGGTCCTGGGGCTGGGCATCCCCAAGAACTGGTGTGGCCCAGGAGCCAGACGAGGGTACAGGATGGGGATGGGAGTTGTCCCAGTTCTAGTGGCCCTGGTGCTTCTGCCACGGGTCCCACACGCCAGTGATGCCCACGCACCCCCACAAATGCTCCTCCCCGCCCTGTCAGGGGCCGGCAGCAGATGGCACGGGCGGATGTTAGGGTCTGCCCCAGAATCTGGCTGGCTGCATCTGGCTCCGCCCTGGCAGGGGCCCAGCATCTTCAGCCAGGGGCTCCACCAGCAGCCCTGCCAGCCCCAGCAGGGGAGGCTGCAGGCAGACACCCACGGGTGCTCACTGGGCCGGGCACTCAAGTCACCCACAGCTGCCTCTCAGGCACACTACTTGTCCCCTAAGTGGCCATGGTGGAAACAGCAGCTCCGGTCCCAGGATCCCAGGGTCATGGACCTAGGCTGAACTGGGCAGTGTCCTTACAGCTCTGGGAGGGTTGGGGAAGACGATGGGACAGGACCCTGCTAACTGGCCGCCTAGCTTCCCCTCCCAGAGACTTGTGAACAGGACGATCTGCTGTGGGTGCGTCTGAGGCCTGGGCTCCTCTGAGTGTGCACCTGGGGTATCCAGGCAGCCTGACACCTCTGGTCCATCTCGTGCTCCAGGCAGGGACCCAGCAGGGTGGGGCCGGTTCCCAGGACCCCTGGTCAAGGGTACTAGCTTCCCCGTGACAGTGGCAGGTGCCTCGTGCTCCCTGCTGGCAAGATCTGGGTGGGCACAGGAGGCCCTCAGCCTCCCCACAGGGAAGCCACCACTGGGCTAGAGTGAGTTTTGTGACACTGAGCAACAGCCTCTGGCGACACCGGTGGGAAAGGATCTGCTGGGCCAGGAGTGGAGCTGTTTTTATTAGTGAGTCGGGGGGTGGAATGGGGTGAAGAAAACATCAGAGACACCTGCGCTGCGAGTTAAATACATTCCAGCATCTCACGCATCACGAGCTGCATCAGGAAAGGGCACAGCACGTGGCAGCCTCATCCTCATCTGTCCACACAGTGACAGATGTGCTACAGCATGGACACCAAGTCCCTGGGAGCCAAGATAGCAGCTCCAGCATCCCTCCCTCCCGGACTGGGCCGGGCCATACAGAGAAAGGGCAGCCTCTGCCATGGCAGCCCAAAATCACCTCTCCGAGCAACTGTCTGGGGTCCCCAGCCCCAGAGCTCCAGCAGAGTCCTGGCCTGGGGAAGCCCCCGTGCCACCTCAAGCCTCCAACAAGGCAGGCTCCTGGCCAACTGTGGCATCTGCCTTGACTGCCCAGAGCAGCAGGAAATTAGGTTTTGGGGGACACAAGGCAAGGCAGTAGTCTGACACACCCACAGCAGTCCAGCTGGCACTGTGTGGGCCTCATCCTGTCTGGAGTCCCCTCCCTCCCACAGTGGGCCAGACAGGAAGGCCTGGCAGTGACCAGATAAGTGGGTCCAGGTCTCAAGGCAGCCTGGCCCGCATCCTGCAAGGCTCTGAAGAGCCCCCCAGCTGTTAGTCTGCCCACTGCACAGGGCCCTGGGCCTCTCTGGTTCTGACGACTATAGGTGTGTGGGCTGTGGGGCTCTTGCAGCTGCTCCCCAAAATCGCCAGTCATTTCTACAGACACAGAAATCGAGACACTGAACAGAGAACAAATGGTGTCATTCGATAAAGCTGATGAATCCGCTTCTCACATGGCACCCAGACCGTAAAGCAGTAGGGTCTGTGAAAGCCATCGCAGTGGCTGGCCGGGTCCTCGTGAGCCAAGCACACTGACTCCCGCAAGTGGTGTGCACGCACATGTGCCTGGACATACATGAAGACGTGGACATGGGGGTCTGACCTGGACATTCATGATGGAAACGTCTACAACAGAAGGTGCCCAGGACCCATCCATCTGGCGCACAAACGAAGATTTTTGGCTCAAAAACCTAAGCGTCCTCCAGCTACTGCTACCATCTGTCCCTCAGCTGACGACTGCCGATGCTTCCCAAGCAGAGCTGTCCAGTCCACTCATGGAGCTCCAACTGCCTGTCACTGTGGCACTAGCGTGCATACGATGAAAAGCCCACCGACGCCGCGCTCCTCTGCTCGGCCCCGCTGAGCCAGCGTGAGGGGCTGCCACTGCCTTCGGCCTACGGGCTGCTCGCCTGGAGGGGTCTCCACATCTCCACCCCCACAAGGCAATCCAGCAGCACTATGAAGAGACGCAATTCTGCCAATTCTAAGGTCACATTAAAACTTTCCCCAGATATTATGATCACTGCCAGCTGAAAAACCCAATGTCCTTGCCCAGCCAAGCTGCATCCTGACATGATATGGTTTTAAAAGATGCTGTGTCATAGAAACTGACTGTGCCATTCAAGGAAATGCACATTGGTTAGCTTCCTAAGTTTTCGGGTCTCCAAACCAGTGACACTCATGTGTCGCTTAGTGACATGAGAAATGTGTGCTCAGCCGCTGCTGTGTGATCACAGAGTGTCCTTACACAAGCCTCGATGGTGCGTGTAGTTTTATTTATGTGTTTTTCATCTGGAAATGCAAGTGTCCCAGCAGCATGACTGAACACCAATCACTTCCCCTACTTGATCTACAAGAGGCCAACGCCAAGAGCCCAGGCCAGGCTTCCAAACACTGCACAAGAATGTCGTGGGCCCGCTGTCAGGGAAGTGTCCATCGCTGACCCAGACGCTGTTATGTGGTGCATGACTGTACAGTGTTTTCTCCCATAAACAGTTACCTGCCACGTAGCTACATGATTCAGAACATTTTGAACAGTTAATTTTGACATCTGAATAATTCCATAAAAACCGTAAAATCAGTTTGGTGGTGTCACAACAACATAGCATCACTTTACGACAGAATCACCTGGAAAAACAGAACAGCGAATACATACATCTTAAAAAATGCTGGGGCGGGCCAGGCACAGTGGCTCACACCTGTAATCCCAGCACTTTGGGAGGCTGAGGCAGGAGGATCATGTAATCCCAGCACTTTGGGGCGGCAGAGGCAGGCAGATCATGAGGTCAAGAGATCAAGACCATCCTGACCAAAATGGTGAAACCCCGTCTCTACTAAAAATACAAAAATTAGCTGGGCTAGTGGCACACACCTGTAGTCCCAGCTACTCGGGAGGCTGAGGCAGGAGAATCGCTTGAACCCAGGAGACAGAGGTTGCAGTGATTCCAGATCATGCCACTGCACTCCAGCCTGGCAACAGAGTGAGACTCCATCTCAAACCAACCAACCAAAAAAAACGGGTGAAAATCTAATGGATAATTCAACATTGCCACATAGAAACCTCGGTAAAACAGGCCAAACAAACGCGGACAGGCTGGACAGGCGGTCCTGGCGTCAGCGCACGACAGTCACATGGGGAGGGGCAGTGGCCAGGTCGGCCTTGGACGGGTACACCACCTTCAGGCTCCCTTCCAGGTCCACCACCCGGACCTGCTCCACCACCAGCGGGGAGGGCCCGTCCTTTCCAGCACTGGCATTCGTTCTGGGATCTGAAAGTTGTCCAGAGACTGCATCAGCTTCGGTATCTGAGAGTGATCCTTCCTCTTTATTTTCTAAAGTGTACTTGTTCATTTCTGCCATTTTCTGCAAATGAAAAATACCTCTTTAACCTGGAGATGAGAGGTGACCCAGGGAAGACATGCTGCTGTCACCCAATGCAGTAAGCAAGAAAGAGGCAATCAGGACGGGTGGTAAGTCAGAGCAGAGCACCACTCACGCTCAAAACGCGTTTCTCAGGAGGAGCCACCACGCACTCACCAGAATGAGGGCATCCATGACATCCTTGCAAATCTGCAGACTGGTGGCACTTGTTACTTCCAAAAACAAATCAGAGGTCGTTTTCTTAACCTTAAAGAAAGATTTCAGAAAAGACAGTTATCAAATGTACACATCAGCAACTGCATCATTTGTTCTGAGGAAAAATCTACAAAACTGTGTGGCCAGGCAAAGTGGCTCGCACCTGTAAACCCAGCACTTTGGGAGGTGGATGTGGGAGGATCTCTTGAACTCAGGAGTTCAAGACCAGCCTGGGCAACACAGCGAGACCCCATCTCTACAAAAAAATACATCCCAGGACGTCGCGCAGCACTGAGCATAACAATGAACAGTGAACCGCGGCTCTGAGAAGCCAGGGCCTTTGTCCCCTCCGGGCTGCGTTTTCTATTGCACACAATGAGACCTCACAATGCAGCAGACACTTGTGTGTGTTCATTCTTTTTCTTTCTTTTTTTTTTTTGGAGACAGAGTTTCGCTCTTGTTGCCCAGGCTGGAGTGCAAGGGCGCAATCTCGGCTCACTGTAACCTCCGCCTTCTGGGTTCAAGCGATTCTCCTGCCTCAGCCTCCCAAGCAGCTGGCATTACAGGCATGCACCACCACGCCCGGCTAATTTTGTATTTTTAGTAAAGACAGGGTTTCTCCGTTTTGGTCAGGCTGGTCTTGAACTCCCAACCTCAGGTGATCCGCCACCTTGGTCTCCCAAAATGCTAGGATTACAGGTGTGAGCCACTGCACCTAGCAGACTTGTGTTAATTCTACAGGGAACAACCTAGAAGACACACCAAGTTCACACACATGCCACCCTACCTTTGTCTTCTCACTGTTGGTTATTGGTGGGAAGGAAATCACATCACCGTCTGCATCCACAAGACACGGGTAATTTTCATTTCCATCCAGCAAGTGAAGGTATCTGTGTGGGAAGAAATACAAATGATAGGCCTAACCATAAAAGGTATATTGTGCAGGGTATGGTGGCATGTGCCTGTGGTCCCAGCACTCGGGAGGCTGAGACAGGAGGGCTGCATGGGCCCAGGAGTCTGCTGGGCTGTGCTGCGCCCATGAACTGTCTACATTAAGTCCGTCATCACTATGTTGAGCTCCTGGGAGCGGAGGACCACCAGGCTGCCTAAGGAGGAGTGAACCAGCCCAGGTCAGAAACAGAGCAGGACAAAAAGCTCCGGTGCTGATCAGTAGTGGGATTGCGCCTATGATTGGCCACCTCACTCCAGCCTGGGCAACATGGCGCGACCCCATCTTAAAAACAAAAAAGAAAAAAGGCACAGCTGGGCGCAGTGGCTCACTCCTGTAATCCTAGCAGTTTGGGAGGCCGAGGCAGGCGGATCGCCTGAGGTCAGGAGTTCAAGACCAGCCTGGCAAACATGGCAAAACCCCGTCTCTACTAAAAACACAAAAATTAGCCAGGTGTGGTGGCAGGCGCCTGTAATCCCAGCTACTCAGGAGGCTGAGGCAGGAGAATCGCTTGAACCCAGGAGGTGGAGATTGCAGTGAGCTGAGATCGTGCCACTGCACTCCAGCCTGGGCGACAAGAGTGAGAATCAAAAAAAAAAAAAAAAGGCCGGGCGTGGTGGCTCAAGCCTGTAATCCCAGCACTTTGGGAGGCCGAGATGGGCGGATCACGAGGTCAGGAGATCGAGACCAACCTGGCTAACACGGTGAAACCCCGTCTCTACTAAGAAATACAAAAAATAGCCGGGCGAGGTGGCAGCGCCTGTAGTCCCAGCTACTCGGGAGGCTGAGGCCGGAGAATGGCGTGAACCCGGGAGGCAGAGCTTGCAGTGAGCTGAGATCTGGCCACTGCACTCCAGCCTGGGCTACAGAGCGAGACTCCGTCTCAAAAAAAAAAAAAAAAAAAAAAAGGCACACACCTGAAAACATACCTAAAGGGTAAACTGGAAGAATCAAAAAGTTTTTTCCACAAATGAAGTGTAATATCAAGGGCCAAAGCATCACAAGCCTCAGAGAACAAACTATTCTGCAGCCTGTGTTTACAGAAATCACTGGGCTAGTTATGGATGATCATCTTGCTTAGAGCAGCGCCAAGGACCCTGACTTGGACACCCAGCAGCGAGGGGCACGGACTGGGCTGGCATTTATGTTGGTTTCCTAATGGCTACTTTCTATTCTATCCTGTCCTGCCCCATCCCGAGGGCGACCCGCCTCCTGCGGAATGGCCAATACCTCCGCTCCTAACACCTTCCACTTCCCTCACGTCAGGGCCATCTAGATGACAGACTGGTTCCACAACGTCTCCTTTCAGAAGAGAATGCTTTCTTTTTTTCTTTTTACCCTGTAAGAAGCTTCCGGCTCTGGTAGCATTAGGTGTTCCTGAGAGGCACAAACTAACTCAGTGGAGGCTGGCATGCTGCACCCCCCACGCCCGGCCCCACCCCACCAGGCGCGCTGCCCACCTGTGCAGGCCCGACACACTCTGCCGCTTCTTCTGCTTCCTCTGCTCCTCGGCCTCCAGCTGCAGCTGCCGCACCAGCTCCTTGACCTTGGCTTCTTTCCGCCCCAGGGGAACAATCTATTGGGCAGAAACCCATAAACTCTACTAGGGTCACAGCCACAGAACTCGCCCGTCCGGTCAATTACAGCCTTAAGCCTCCACGAGCCCTCCCAACTCCCACCCTCATTCATCTCTACAGCAGGCAGGGAGCATCCCACGGGACACGCAGCAAGAAGCTGCATGCAGGCTGCGATCGCAGCATCCCTGGGAGACCTGACGCCCAAACACACCGATCCTACCGAGGCAGGGCTTAACCTCAAACCCAGCCATGCACAACCGTTTCCAGAGGTCTGCCATCCTCACAAGGCCAAAAGAGGAGAGAAAGCCTGAGCAGCCGGGACCGCATGCACTGCACAGAATTCAACATCCAGGATAGCACCACGATACAGCAACTCACACTACTGCCAACCCCACGCACAGGGTTTTACAATCGGGACAAAGACCAAGATTTCTGATTAAAGGGTAGTGAGCGAGTGAAGGAAACCATTTTCCCACAACTGCTCCTCCACCGAGTCCTCTCACAGCTGTGCACCGCTTCCAGGAACTGCAAACGTGGCCTGTTTCATTATTTCATGTCTTTGCAAGAACAGCATCGGATTCTACTCTAAAGAAAATGTTCAGGCCAGGCGCGGTGGCTTATGCCTGTAATCCCAGCACGGTGGGAGGCAGAGAAGGGTGGATCACCTGAGGTCAGGAGTTCGAGACTAGCCTGGCCAACATGGAGAAACCGTCTTTACTAAAAACACAAAATTAGCTGGACGTGGTGTGCATGCCTGTAATCCCAGCTACTTGGGAGGGTGAGGCAGGAGAATCGCTTGAACGCGGGAGGCAGAGGTTGTACTGAGCCGAGATTGTGCCATTGCACTCCAGCCTGGGCAACAAGAGTGAAACTCCGTCTCAAAACAAAAAAGAAAGAAAATGTTCAGGCCAGGCATGGTGGCTTACGCCTGTAATCCCAGCACTTTGGGAGGCTGAGGTGGGTGGATCATCTGAGGTCTGGAGTTCGAGACCAGCCTGACCAACATGGAGAAATCCCGTCTCTACTAAAAATACAAAATTAGCTGGGCGTGCTGGCACATGCCTGTAAACTCAGCTACTCGGGAGGCTGAGGCAGGAGAATCACTTGGACTCAGGAGGTAGAGGCTGCGGTGAGCTGAGATTATGCCATTGCACTCCAGCGTGGGTGACAAGAACGAAACTCCATCTCCAAAAAAAAAAAAAAAGAAAAGAAAAGGTTCGGGCTCCAGTATTAGCACAGCGTCTTTCAACACCAAGGAGACCCTTGAGCAGACCCTGCAAAGGAGGCTGCAACACCTTGAGGTCCTGTGGGGGCCGGGCGCAGTACAGCAGGGGCCCTTTGACAGCGCGGAGCTCGTGGGTGGCAAGGGTGGCGGCCGTCCTCTTCTCACAGAGATCTTCGTGGAGCTTGGTCTGTAACACAGGAGCAGTGATGAGCGAGGTCTTTTGTGCCCAGCGAGGGGTTCACGCTTGACCCTCGGCCGGGCTGTGCACCAGGAAACCCTCCCAGTCCAAGGTCTTCAAAACCCCGCCACACCCCTTTCCGAGACGGGGCTCCCCTCCAACTCCTCTCCACCCGGCCAGCCAGGCACTCACGTTGTGGAATCAAGATAGTTTTCATCAGGAAAACTATCTTAACCTATCAATCAGCAGACTTTCTCCCTTCTCTAATTCTAGACATAATATTTGAGATTTTAAAGAATCCATCTTGAACTTTAAATAAAGGCTAAGCTTTAAGTTTTAAAGCCCTGGCTGTGGTGCCTGTTCCCTTCCTCCCTAAACTGCAGGCAGAAGGACTCGCATGACAGTCACTCTCGGCCTGCCATGCACTGTCACTGCCACTGCGGGGCACGCGGGACTTTCCCCTGGGCACAGATGTGGTTTATATTTTAAAAGTTGGTCAGGTGTCACAGAAAAACAACAAACTGGGAAGTTAGTCTTGCCAAAACCTAAACAATTCACAGAAGAATGTGCTGGCAAGAGTTGATGACTTTAATACTATCTTACATAAAACAAAATGTGTCATTTACTGCAGAGGTCAGAAGACCCACCAAAATATCAAAAAATCAAGGAATCCTGATTTCTTTTCCTTTTTTTTCTTTGAGATGGAGTCTTGCTGTGTCAGCCAGGCTGGAGTGCAGTGGTGTGATCTCAGCTCACTGCAACCTCCACCTCCCAGGTTCAAGTGATTCTCCTGCCGCAGCCTCCCCAGTAGCTGGGATTACAGGCACTCGCCACCATGCCAGGCTAATTTTTGTGTTTTTAATAGAGATGGGGTTTCACGATGTTGGCCAGGCTGGTCTCGAACTCCTGACAGGTGATCCACCCACTGCAGCCTCCCAGAGTGCTGGGATTATAGGCATGAGCCACCACACCAGCTGGAACCCTGATTTTCAACTACAATGAAGCTATCCAGGAATTAGGATAGGCCAGGTGTGGTGGCTCACGCCCATAATCCCCACACTTTGGGAGGCTGAGGCGAGTGGACTGCTTGAGGTCAGGAGTTCAAGACCAACCTGGCCAACATGGTGAAACCCTATCTCTTTTAAAAATACAAAAAAATTAACGAAAAAAAAAAAAAAAAAAAAAAAAAAAAAAAAAATACCCATGGCGGGCCCTGTATCCCTATCTTAAAAAACTTCAATGAGAGAACATAGCGAGACCGTCTAAACAAACAAAAAAAAAAACAACAAAAAAAAAAAAAAAAAAAAAAAATTACCCGGACATGATAGCGGGCCCCTGTAATGTCAGCTATTCAGGAGGCTGAGGCAGGAGAATCACTTGAACCCAGGAGGCAGAGGCTACAGTGAGATTAGACTGTGCCACTGCACTCCAGCAGTGGAGACAAAGCGAGACTCCTGGAAAAAAAAAAAATTAGGATAAACCATTAACCCCATATGTGGAGGAGCAAGGGATAGGGCCAGTGACTAGGACTAACCAGGCCAGGCTGCGGGCATCTGGGAAGAGGCCATCTCCAAGCTGGGGACACCTGCCTCCTGGAGGGGACTGAGGCCTCACCCCTTCCTCAGCAACACCTGAGCCAGAACCTGCTCTATTCCCTCTTTGGAGCTGAGGAGACTTAGGCACACAGACATCTGGCTGGGCCCCACACTCCACTGCTGCTCCTTCGGACACGCTCGCCCCAGGATGTGTCCCAGCCTGCGGCATCCCACACCTCTGTCCTCGTCATCTGAGGACCCCATGGGCACCCACCTGTGAGGTGAGGAAGCGCTTGAGCGCATTCCCCGGCTGCAGGTCCATGCCTCGCACCACGGCCCCCACAATGTAGGGCCGCACGTCCCGGACCTCGGGGCTCACTCTGACTGTCAGGGGTGCGGGGTTTTCAGAGACGTGCAGGACCCTGAGCAGCAGCCGGCCGGCATCTCCCACGTCCTGCTCCTCCCCATCGCCGCCCTCCCGCCTCTGCTTCCTCTCCCTCCTCTTCTTCCGGCCGTCTTCCTTCTCCGAGCCCTCGGCACGGCCCTTGCCCTTCCCGCCACCGCGGCCTCCGACGCGCAGGTACTCCAGGATGGATCTTGTCTGGCAGCCGCTGACCATCTTCTCCAGGCGCTTGTCTCTCAGCTTGTTCCCGCGGAAATTGATCTCCTTGAGCTTGGGGCAGTCCGCAAGCTCCGCAGGGATCTCGCTCAGCTGGTTGTTGGAAAGGTCCAACGTCTGCAAAGAGAAATGAGGATGCGTCAGACCCCCAGACCCTGGGAAAAGAGTCCAGGGTCAGCTCCAGAGGCAGGGGGACCACTCATCACTCACAAGAGCCACCACTGGCCTGTCTGTGGGGACGTCCCTGGGGAACCACAAGTTATTCACCTGTGAGTCGCTTCCCCAGCTGTGCACCCCCACATCAAAGGCACTATCCAAGGAGGCCCTCCGAGGGGAAGCTGTCAGCCATGGTTAACAGTGATCTCTGCAAAAGCTTCTGACTCAAACATGTCACCCTCTTCAACAACCACAGCAGCACTGAGATCAATCATCAGGTTAGAGAACAGAAAGGCGACAAGGGATGAGGGATGTCTGGCTGTGAAACGTGACCTCGTGTCAGGACCTACCAGGACTGCTCAGGTGAGAAGCAGGTTCCCCAAAGTGGTGGGGTTTTTTTTTAATTAAATGAGCTAAAAAAAAAAAAACAGCAAAATCTCTCAAGAGCATTCTTCTTCATATTGAAGTACAAAATTGCCCACAGTGACACACACAGTGCTCTCAGGGGAAGGAAAGGGGAAAGCCGACTTCAATGGCGATGGGTTCTCAGCCTTCGTCTGACCCAGGGCAGGTGCATCGGGGCCACCACTGTGTGCCACACAGATGCCCAGGAAGCCCCATGGCCCACGGGAAAGCTCTTTCTATGACCATGACTGATCAGACTTTGGCAAAACGTGCAGGTGACCTCACTGAAAGCATGGAAGGGGTCCAGTGGCACCGGATGCACTCGTAGGGTGTCTCTCCCAGGGTCTGGGCAGTGCAGGGAACGTGTGTGCGAGGGCAGCCACCTCCATGACATGAGGCTGCCGCTGCGGGTTCAGGCAAAAGGGGCCCATCCGCCTCCACTCTGCTCTTTCCTGGCTTGGTACCCAGGCCCCACAGCCTCACCCCACAGGCACTGCCAGAAAACTCTTCTGTCCCAGCTTCCTCTAGGGCTGGAGGAAGACCCTGCTTGGGATGTAAGGCCTGACCCTCGGGGGTCTCTGGCAGCCTGGGTGCCGGCTCTGCCCCCAGAGAGGAGGCAACAGCATGTGGGCCCCCGGAAGCCAGCACTCACCCTTGGTTGGTGTGGCTGGTGAGTCCCAGTCACACTGTATGTGGAGGAGACAGGTGGGGCTGGACCTGATTGACTCTGAACAGAGATGGGAGGGGCTGATTACCCAGAGGACACCTTCTGCTTCGCCTGGAATGGACGGCAGGGGTGATGGAATTTCTCAAGCCCCAAGTTGTGAAGGAAATGAAAAAAGGAACCTGCCGGAATCCTCTGGCTCAAGCAATCAAGCTGCTCAGCGGCAGGTAAGGGCAGCATGGCTCAGAAATGCGACGGTGCTCACAAGCGGGAAGGGCGGCACGGCTCAAACATGGGAGGGTGCACTGGACAAGTTCCCACAGGGAGAGCAGAGACCCAGGGAGGAAGCGGACAACTTAACAGTCAAGGAGGAACAGCGTGTGTAAAATAGAAGGGATCAAGTGCCCTCCGGGAGAGAAGGGGCAGTCCAAGCAGCAGTGGTGCCTGCTGGGGAAGAACGGGAGGCGGGGGCTGAGACCAAGCCCAGCTGCTGAGCACTACCTGAGCTACGCGTCCATCGGCTCTAACAGAACTGCCACAATTTTGTGCTTCTCCAGACAGGACAGGATGGGCTGGGCTGGTGTGGACTGGTTGGACTGGTGACTCCAGCCCAGACCTCCCTTCCAGCCCCACATGGGACGGGAGACAATCTACCCCTGGAATCCAGGTGGTCTCACAAAATACCAGGAGCTGTATCACGAACACTGTCGCCAGCCTGCAGCACCAGGAACAGCGCGGCCGTGAGCTCAGGCTTCTAGAGCTCCTCGCCTCCCTGTCAAGAGCCCTGGCTCCAGCGTTAGAACCAGCCTGGGCCAGCAGCCCAGGGCACAGCTCGCCTGGCAGAGGCCACGGGAAGCTCTCGGGTTGGAAGGTCGTGGGTGCGGGCATCTGAGGTTCTGCTCGGTGGGCTTCTGCACTGCCCTAAGGGGCTTTGGTCAAAAAGCTTGAGAGTTCCCCTCAAGTGAAACCTCCTTACTGCCTGCAAACATGCAGTGGAGCGTCTCCCCCAGCTGACGAAGAGCAAGTTCCTTAAGACCCAGGACCAGCAGCAGAGGCAAAGGAGGCAGGCAGGGCCCCACTGGGGCGCCCATTGCAGCCCGAGCCAGGTTCAGCCCACAGCCTGCAGTAAGTCCCCAGAATGACAATGGCGGGCACTCGGAGAAGGGTCTTCCTTCCAGGCAAAGACTGTCAGAGAAAGGGCATCTGAGCAGCTCAGGACCTGCCTGGAGGCTCTGTGGGAGTTGGGGGACAGGAAGGGAAGCGGGGGAAGGAAAGCAAGAGGGAGGGCAAGAGAGTCACCATCTGGGTGGGGTGCAAAGCCGCAGATGTTGGGGAGTCCTTGTCAGAAATGCGAAGCCCTGCTGACGAGGTCACACGCTGGCCCCTCAGCCCAGCGCTGGGCACCCAGTGGCAGCCTCAGCAGGAAATGAAGCCAGAGGTTTCACATATGAAGGGTGGGATGCGGGTAGCGTCAGTTTTCAATTGTGCGAGGGAGTAAGCAGGAGCGCCTGCAAGGATGTGAGGTGCACACTGGCTTCAGAGAGGATGAGTTACACGGGGTGGCTGGGGGTCGTCCTGACACCTGATGGGACGAACTGCCATCACCTGTCACCTGGAGCTGACACTCTTCTGCAGGAAACACAACCCCCGCGGTGGCTAAGCTGATGGCAGCAACGTGGGGCCTGACTCTGGCCTGGCACACTGGCTGCCTTCCGGGCCCATGGCTTTTGCAGGGGACCTGCTGCTAGGGAAGGATCCTAACTTCATGGTGGCGACAGGCTTACATAAACCAACCCAACAAAGAGCGCCAGTCCCTGAGTGAGCCCCACTCCCTCCGGCAGCAACTGAGACACTCGGAAGCGGAGGGGAGAGCATCTGGCTTCAGGAGGGTTCCCGTTGAGGCTGAACTCCCCGTGCAGCTTGACCTTGGGAGGGGAGTGGCCCAGGGCCTGAAAGGACATCTTTACTAAGGCACCGTCCTGCCCACATCAGCTGTTCAGGTAACATCTGTCCCACCCATCCCTCATTCCCACACGGACAGCACCACAGGCCTGCGTGATGGCCACTTACAATGCAGTCAGGAGAGGTGTGACGTGCCCCCATCCTTGGCTCACCACAGCGCTGGCAGCTGAACCCCACAGGCCACAGCAGCGGGAAGCAGCCGGGGAGGGCCAGCCAGGTGCTCTCAGAGCTCAGCAAGTCACGTGGCTCTGAGGCCAGGACGCTGGGGAAGCCAGGCTCCACGCAGGCAGAGCTACAGGTGAGGCCACAGGACAGCAGAGGCCTCGTCCCCAGTGGCTGGGAGGAAAGAGGGTCAGGGCCTTTGCACTGCAGGTCCCAGCCCAGGCTTGGGGGTGCTCCCTGGGGAATGGGTGTGGGGATGAGCACCAGGAACCAGGCTGAGCTGCTTCTACTTGCAGTCTCGTCCCTCTGGGCGGGGGAAGGACAGGCAGAAGCCTCTGTGCTGTTATTCTGGCGGCCTCTAAAGAGCCAGCCCTCCCAATGAACCGGAACTGGGCTTGCACTTAGTTAACCCACAAAACGCAGGAAAGTGGCAGGAGGCACGTTCCAGGTCAATGCCTGAAGAGCTGGCAGCTGCTGCTTTTGTGCTGAGGAGCCCTGAGCCCTGCGACAGAGAGGGAGGGAGAGGCCCCGAGATGACACATGGAGAAGCCCACCCACCCCGGCAGCCCAGCGCTGAGCCCATGCCAGCTGAGCACAGCCACACAAGCGACCAGAAGCAAGAGCTGCAATGTCCACTGTCCAGCGGAGCCAGCCCAGAGTGCAGGGCTGCTGCTGCTTTAAGCCTCGTGGTTTCAGAGTCAAGCAGCCACGATGACCAGCACCACCTCCGGTCTCCCTCCCTCTTCGTGTCCTGCATTACCCTCCCAGCCTTCCTACAGAGGAGCAAAGAGCTTTCAAGAGCCAACGGCACACAGTCACAGAGAGGCAGGGCTGGAGCCCATGCCTTCTGTTTTTATTCCTTTCCTCCCCCTTCTTTCTCTCTCCTTCTTTTTGAGATGAAGTTTTGCTCGTTTCCCAGACTGGAATGCAGCGGCGCCATCTCGGCTCACCGCAAGCTCTGCCTCCCAGGTTCAAGCGATTCTCCTGCCTCAGCCTCCCAAGTAGCTAGGATTACAGGCACGCGCCACCATGCCCAGCTAATTTTGTATTTTTAGCAGAGATGGTGTTGAACTCCCGACCTCAGGTGATCCGCCTGCCTCAGCCTCCCAAAGTGCTGGGATAACAGGCGTGAGCCACAGTGCCTGGCCTTTCTCTTTCTTTAAGACAGGGTCTAGCTCTGTTGCCCAGGCTGGAGTGCAGTGGTGTGATCATAGCTCACTGCAGCCTCAACCTCCCGGGTTTAAGCGTTCATCCCACCTCAGCCTCCTGAGTAGCTGGGACCACAGGGGCACACCACCACACCCAGCTAATTTTTCTATTTTTTGTAGAGACAGGTTTTTGCCACGTTGCCCAGGCTGGTCTCAAACTCCTGGGCTCAAGTGATCCGCCCGCTTCAGCCTCCTGAAGGGCTGGGATGCCAGGCATGAACCACTGCACCCAGCCTGCCTTCCGTTTCTGAGCTCAGTTTTTTGGTTTTCTACACTCCCCATCTCCCCACAGCACCAGGAAGGACATCAAATGCATTGGCCTTTGTGTGCAAAACTCCAGTGTGTGTAGCTACATTGCTGGGCACAGTTCTGGTAGCCACTCCTCAGAAAGGTCCCCAAAAGGACATCTGAGTCCAACAAGGATTCCAATAGCTCTTGCATGACCCTCCAAGAAACAGGTCTCCTGATAGCCACTGGAAGCCTAAAATGTATGAACAGAATGGCCTAGGGGAAAGGGCACTTGGTCACCTCTTTTGGGATTTGGAAAACAAGACACACTCTTTGACTTGAATGACATTGTTTTGGGCACCACAAAGAGTACTGCTTTATTGGGCAGGTGCTAGAGAGAGCTGTAAACACAATTTTTTTTTTTTTTTTTGAGACGCAGTCTCAGTTTGTCACCCAGGTTGGAGTGCAGTGGCGCAATCTCCGCTCATTGCAACCTCCACCTCCTGGGTTCAAGCGATTCTCCTGCCTCAGCCTCCCGTGTAGCTGGGACTACAGGCATGCACCACCACACCCAGCTGATTTTTGTATTTTTTAGTAGAGACAGGGTTTCACCTTGTTGGCCAGGATGATCTCGATCTCTTGACCTCATGATCTGCCCGCCTCGGCCTCCTAAAGTGCTGGGATTACAAGCGTGAGCCACCATGCCCAGCCCACAACACTTTAAGAGCTTGAATACTGAAAGACATCTATGAATTTGAAAAGAAAGATTGTAACCGACTGGGCGCTTACATGATGTAAGGTACAATGTTAAGATACAGGCCTACTACATCAACATTCTGGAAAACCAAAAGTATCTGTCAGGTGGGAAAGTGGGGGTAGACCGTGTTGTACCCAACATCACACCTTTGTCCTAGAGGGATGCCTACAGCCCCGAGGACCAAGGAAAATGCCAGTGAACTCACCTCTTCCAGGAAATGCCAATGAAACCACCTTTGCAAAACCTGTAACAGTGACAAAATTACGGTGGTGGAAAAGATCTGATCTAACCAATCCCCATCTTCAGCCTTCAAACTACCTTTTTTTTTTTTTTAATTTTTATTTTTAGACAGAGTTTCACTCTTGTTTCCCAGGCTGGAGTGCAGTGACATGATGTTGATTCACCGCAACCTCCGCCTCCCGGGTTTAAGTGATTCTCCTGCCTCAGCCTCCCGAGTAGCTGGGATTACAGGCACGTGCCACCACGCCCAGCTAGAGACAGGGTTTCTCCATGTTGGTCAGGCTGGTCTACAACTCCTGACCTCAGATGATCTGCCTGCCTTAGCCTCCCAAAGTGCTGGGACTATAGGCATGAGCCACCAGGCCTGGCCCTTCAAACTACGTTTAATTATTCCTGGGCTTGGGCCAAGCTAACTTTGGGAGACATTTATAGTTTAAATGATAATAATCCTTCTACAAAACTCAATTGCCTTTGTAAAGCTAATGAGGGTCCACCAGGCTGGGAGGATGGAGGAGCCTGAATTCTGCTAAAGTGCAAACATATATGACTGTCAGTCATTATTCTGGAGATGACAAGATATGTGACCTCCCCAATTACTCCTGCAGATAACATCACTACCAGTACTGTAGAACCTAAGATTGGCCTTCGGAGCTGTCTTTTTCAGGGTTTTTGCATGTCTGATCAATGGCACTACCTGAAACCAAAATGAGCTCCCGTGGCCCCACCCAGAAGTGACTCAGTGAGCAGGAGGGCCATTTCCCACACCCCTACGATTGCACCTCAACCAATCAGCAGTAAGCACCCATTGCCTAGCCACCCTCCCCTTCCCCCAGACTATCCTTGAAAAACCCCAGCCTCCAAATTTTGGGGGAAACTGGTTTAGTAATAAAACTCAGCCGGGCGTGGCGGCTCATGCCTGTAATCCCAGCACTTTGGAGGCTGAGATGGGCAGATTATGACGTCAGGAGATCGAGACCATCCTGGCTAACATGGTGAAACTCCATCTCTACTAAAAATACAAAAAATTAGCCAGGCATGGTGGCAGCGCCTGTAGTCCCGGTTACTCGGGAGGCTGAGGCAGGAGAATGGAGTGAACCCAGGAAGCGGAGGTTGAAGTGAGCTGAGATCGCGCCACTGCACTCCAGCCTGGGCGAGACTTCATCTCAAAAAAAAAAAAAAAAAAAAAATGGAGGAAGAAATGCAGGACTGCCTTAAGGATGAAACCAAAAGAGAAGATGCAGAGATGCAGAGACCATCCGGCTGGGTTTAGGTTGTGGTTCTGCCATGTGGCTTCCCCACTATCTTTTAGGCAACAGATTTAACGGGGCACCTGTTATAGGCCAAGCATTATCCCGGGGCCTGGGGATCCCAGATTAATTAGTAAACAGACCCTGGACAATCTAGTCTGGAGAAAAACCCAAGTTACTTGCTTACTTTGCGCAAGCCCTTTGACTTTCTGTAAAACAGCAATAACCACTCCTACCTTGGAAAGCTGCTATTAGGATGATGCTATTAGGATGAAGTGAAATACAATCTTTGAGATCACAGCATGTGGCATTATGCAAAACCCAGGGTGCCCCCTTCACCACAAGACTCCAGTCACTTCACAAGTATTAGATACAAAAAAGACAGGTTTCGACGCCCGACCTACGGGAGAAGCCAAGTTTGCTAACAATTACAAAATAGCGTACCACGTGTAAAAGTCCAGTTGTTAACAGAATGAGGGGGAGTTCAGAGACCACCTAGTATGTTGGTGTGGCCAGGAGAAGGGGGAGTTGGAAGGCGGCAACTACTTCCCAGGGTGATGCCCCCGCAGTTGGCTCCTTTCAGCCTTGCAGGAATTCCCTGGGCCCAGTGCCCCAGGGGGCGTCACTAGGAAGGGCTCGGTCCCAAAAGGGGTTCCTTCTCCAGGGCTACTCCAAGGCCCCATCCCGCCCCGCCCGGGCAGCTCCCGCTGACCTTGAGCGAGGCCAGGTGGGCGATGTCGGGGCTGAGTTCTCGGAGGCAGTTGTCAGCAGCCGCCAGTTCACTGAGGAGGGGCAGCGCGCCGGGGCGAAAGAGCTCGGCGGGGAAGGAGTCGAGGCAATTGCCGGTAAGGTTGAGGCTCTGCAAGCGCGGGGCGCAGCGCGCCAGGTCGGCTGGCAGCTCGCGCAGCCGGTTGCCGCTGAGGTTGAGGCTCTGCAGCTGCGGAAGGCCAGGCGGCTCGGCGGGGCCCAAGCCTTGGCCCGGCGGCAGCGCTTCCAGCGCGTTGCCCGACAGGTCGAGTACCCGAAGGGCAGGCAGCGGCCCTAGCTCGGGGCTCAGGCCGGGCCCCAGCGCGTTGCGCCGGAGCACGAGGCTGTGCAGCTGCGGCAGGCCCTGCGCCAGGCCAGGCCCCGGCGCGCGCAGGCTCCCGCAGCCGCTCACTTCCAAGTAGTGCAGCAGCGGCAGGGTGAAAAGCCGCGGCGGCAGCTGCCCACCCGCCGCCCGCACTCGCTCCTCCAGCCCGGGCCCCGTCAGCAACAGCTCCCGCCGCCGCTCCCGCTCAGCCAGCTCCAGCTCCGGCCAGGCCTCGGACACCGCCGCCGCCGCCATGGCGCCTCAACTACTGGCAGGCACCCACCCACCAGGGTGCTTCCGGGGCAGCGCGCGCCACTTCCGGCCAGTGCCGAGAAAGCCCATAGAGAAGTCGCCTGGCTGCTAGAGTGCCGCCGCGCGTGCCATATCGGAGAGGGGCGTCTCCTGCGTGGAGCGGCGGAGAGGCTGGGGAGCGGCCCGCTCTCTCCGCGGGTGGGGGTGAGGGTGGGGGCTATGACCCCAAAAGTATCTGAGACAGGACTCAATGAAATGTAAAAAGTTTATTTTTCCAAGTTTAAGGACACACCATTGTCACAGCCCTAGGAGGTCATGATAATGGTGCCCAGGGAAGATGGGGTGCAGCTTGGTTTTGTACATTTTAGGGAGACGTGAGACATCAATCAACACTTGCAAGTGTACCTTGGTTCGGTCCAGAAAGGCAGGACAATTCCAGGAGGGGGCTTCCAGGTCACAAGTACAGAAGAGACCGGAGGGTGAATTCTTTTTGAGTCTTTGATCAGCCTTTCACTGACTACGCAATTTCTTATACGTGTGAGACGCAGGTAGAGGAATAGTCGCTTATGCTTTAGTCTGGCTCATTGAATCTGCATTTCTACAGAAATGATAGAACAAAGGAAGCGATCAGAAATGCATTTGTCCAGGTGAATGACTTTGAGTTCAGTCCTTTGTCCCGCATCTGTGAAGGGAAGCTATCAATTTGCATTGCCAGGGTGGAATTCAACAAAACTGTTTTAGGGTAAAGATCTTGAGGCCCACTGGGAATTTCTCTGTGGGCAAATTGTGAGGGAGGTGTGTAGCTTTAAAAATATATATTTGTAACTATCTTATTTGGGAATAAGATGGGAGGCCGATTTGCCTGAAGCAGTTCCCAACTTGACTTTTTCCTTTGACTTAGTGATTGTGGGGTTTTGAGATTTATTTTCCTTTCACAGGGTGGGGTGTGGGCAGATTGAAGAGCCAGAGTCTGTCCTCCACTGTGCCCTGGCCGGCTTGTTTTGGAATTTCTGCACTTTTGAGTGGTGTAAACCAAAACCAAAATTCTTTTTTTTTTCTTGAGACAGAGTCTCGCTCTGTCGCCCAGGTTGGAGTGCGGTGATGCCATCTTGGCTCACTGCAACCTCCGCCTCCTGGGTTCAAACAGTTCTCCTGCCTCAGCCTCCCTCTGGGACTACAGGTGCGCGCCACCATGCCCGGTTAATTTTTTTTTTTTTTTTTTTTTTTTTTTTTTTTTTTTGAGACGGAGTCTTGCTGTGTCACCCAGGCTGGAGTGCAGTGGCGCGATCTCGGCTCACTGCAAGCTCTGCCTCCCGGGTTCAAGCCATTCTCCTGCCTCAGCCTTCCGAGTAGAAGGGACCACAGGTGCCCGCCACCACGCCCTGCTAATTTTTTTGTGTTTTTAGTAGAGATGGGGTTTCACCATGTTAGCCAGGATGGTCTGGATCTCCTGACCTCGTGATCCGCCTGCCTCGGCATCCCAAAGTGCTGGGATTACAGGCGTAAGCCACCGCGCCCGGCTGCCCGGTTAATTTTTATATTAATTGGGTTAATATAATTTTTATATTAGCCGGGTTTCGCCATGTTGGCCAGGCTGGTCTCTAACACCTGACCTCAGGTGATCTGCCCGCCTCGGCCCCCCAAAGTGGTAGGCTCACAGGCACAAGCCACTGCACCCAGACCCCAAATTCTTATTTATTTGTTTGTTTGTTTGTTTATTGAGACAGGGTCTTGCTCTGTTACCCAGGCTGGAGTGCAGTGGTGCTAACTCAGCTCGTTGCAGCCTCGACTTCACTGGCTCCAGTGATCCTCCCACCTCAGCCCCTGAGTAGTTGGTACCACAAGCATGTGCCACCACACCTGGCTAATTTTTGTATTTTTTGTAGAGCTGGGGTTTTGCCATGTTGCCCAGGCTAGTCTCAAACCCCTGAGCTCAAGCAATCCACCTGCCTCAGCCTCCCAAATTGCTAGGATTACAGGTGTGAGTCACCACACCTGGCCAAAAAATAAAATTCTAAGCCCCCCAACCACCTAAGTGGACCCCTCCTGTGGGCCAAGGGCATTCCCTAGTTAACCTGAAAAACTAGTTCAGGCCATGATGGGAAGGGTCGGATGTGGGGGGTGTGGGTTGGACATGCCTCATTATATACTCCTCCCTGTGGGAATTCAGGCCCACCTGACCATCATTAACATCAATGCAGACCTTAAGACTGAGAAAACCAGGCCAGGCCAATGGCTCATGCCTGTAATCCCATCACTTTGGGAGGCCGAGGCGGGTGGATCACTTGAGGTCAGGAGTTCGAGACCAGCCTGACCAACATGATGAAAACCCGTCCCTACTAAAAATATAAAAATTAGCCAGGCGTGGTGGTGGGCACCTGTAATCCAAGCTACTCAGGAGGCTGAGGCAGGAGAATCGCTTAAACCCAGGAGACGGAGGTTGCAGTGAGCCAGGATTGCACCACTGCATTCCAGCCTGGGTGACAGAGCAAGACTCTATTTCAAAAAAAAAAAAAAAAAGGCTGACAAATGACTCTTTGTAGCAATGATACCAAATTCCAGCCTGCCTCTAGTAGAGCATTATGTGACAGATAAAGAAATTGAAATATTTTACTCCAAATTATATTTCCTTGCTATATCTTAAAATAGTCCTGCAAGGCTGTCTCTTGTGAGGGAAATCTGCATTCTGAAGGCAGTCTCCTTGCTTTGCTGGGCCTTTTTCCTGATCCAGGAGAGAATCAACTCTGATAATAAAAAAAATAAATAAACAAAAATCATTTACAGGCTGGGTGCTGTGGCTCACTCCTATAATCCCAACACTTTGGGAGGCTGAGGCAGGCAGATCGCCCGAGGTCAGGAGATCGAGACCAGCCTGGCCAATATGGTGAAACGCTATCTTAACTAAAAATACAAAAATTAGCCAGGCGGGGTGGTGGGACCCGTAATCCCAGCTACTTGGAACCTGAGGCAGGAGCTTCAACCCAGAAGGCAGAAGTTGCACTGAGCTGAGATTGTGCCACTGTACTCCAGCCTGGGCAACAGAGGGAGGCTCCATCTCAAAAAACAAACAAACAAACAAACAAACAAAAAACTTTCAGGGGCTAATTTTGAAGCAAACCAGGCTCAGAGACCCAGATATGAATCCTACTGCTCTGGGGGAGTTAGGAACAGTGAACCCACCACTACTGGGCCAAAGTCAGGATGGCCCAAACTGGACCTTCAGACAGGCTATTTCTCGAGATCACCTTCAGAACAAGACATGCAGCCCTGCATCCCCCTGCACCCCCTGCACCCTTGTGCACCCCCCCACACCCTTCTGCATCCCCCTGCACCCCCCGCACCCTTGTGCACCCCCCCGCACCCCCCTGCACCCTTCTGCATCCTCCTGCACCCCCCGCACCCTTGTGCATCCCCCTGCACCCCCCTGCACCCTTCTGCATCCTCCTGCACCACCCCTACATGTTTCCCACACCAAGTTTTCCTTCCAAAACCTCTCAGACCAGAAGACAGAGGGTCTCTTGGAGGCATGAGCCCAGCCATGTCCCGTCTGCTGGCATTGTTTTTTTTAATAATCTGCTTTCCTTCCACCACACCTCGCTTCTCATGTTTTTGGTCTTTGAGCAGCTTATATATCTGGTGCCTTGTGTGAGGCACCATGTTGTAAGTGGTTCAGCCTGTGTGCCTGGTTTCCAATGAATGCAGAGATCGGACATAGCAGTCCCAGGGCTTACACACTCTCGCTACCAGGCAGGACAGCAGCCACTTGCAAATGCCAACTGCTCATGGTCAGCTGACCCCGGGGCTAGGACCTTAGGGAATTCCTAGTAGCTGCCGAGACTGCCTTTGCCTTGGGGATTTTCCCTTCCCTCCCCTCTGCTGGTGGGAGGGAAGCAGCATGTGGGATGTGAACTGAAGTGCACCTGGAAATCCTCTGCGTCTGCCCTCTGGGGCTCTAGCTGTCTAGAGCTAGTATTGGTAGTCTGTGGTGCCGCCTGGGTCTCTGCCATCTGGACCTAATGCAGGTCACTCCCGTGGTGCTCTCTGGGTTTGGGACAGGACCTCAAGACTTTGCTGCAGTCTCCCCTCTGTTTGGAGGGCTCTGTCTACATTGGATCTGTTTGTGTTTGTGTCTCTGTTTAGTGTTGCACCACCCTCCGAGGGTGCTTGAGCACAGTCTGCATCACAGTGGCCAAGACCAGGTCCATCTGGTTGTCAGAAAGCAGCAAGATAGGCTGCGCCTCTACTCACTAAGTGTATTAGTCCATTTTCACACTGCTGATAAAAACATACCCGAGACTGGGAAGAAAAAGAAGTTTAATTGGGCTTACAGTTCTACATGGCTGGGGAGATCTCAGAATCATGGCGGGAGGTGAAAGGCACTTCTTACAAGGTGGTGGCAAGAGAAAATGAAGAAGATGCAAAAGCAGAAGCCCCTGATAAAACCATCAGATCTCATGAGACTTATTCACTACCTTGAGAACAGTATGGGGGAAACTGCCCCCACGATTCAAATTATCTCCCACCTTGTCCTTCCCACAACTCGCGGGAATTATGGGAGTACAATTCAAGATGAGATCTGGGTGGGGACACAGAGCTAAACCGTATCACTAGGGGAGAAACACGTTCCAGGAATTTCCTTTGATTTTGTCATCCTCTTTGGAACTCCAGAGTAGTTCCTGTTTCTGTGTCAAATTTTGTTGGTGGAAAAAGCATGTAAACTATTTTCTAGACTATCTGAGACTCCAGCTGGTTACATACTGTGGCCCATTTTGTGCATGTTTTAAAACGATGGGCAGACTACAATAAGGAAAATTCAGAGCTCACATGGTTAACCTGCAATTGTAGAGTTCGAGTCTTCTAAAGCTCTCTCTATTTCTCCCTTTTATCTGCTGTTAAGTTACTGGTGTTGAGATAAAACTCACTGTTTTAAGGTTACTTGGAAACTTTGTTTTTCTTATATGGTTCAGCCAGTTCTAGCTAAAATATAAACATTGGAAACTTACTTGAAACTGAAGGAAAAAAGGTTTTAAAATCAAAACTGCC